TTTTTGCTTTAGATTCATCGACTTTCTCAGAGAACGCGTGTTAACTGAAAATGTAAACTTTGCTGTAAAATCAAAAAATATCAAACTTAAGCGAGTTGAATCCTTGCTAATAATCAAATAAGTTGAAGAAATAAAGTGTTGGAAAGTCGAAAAGGATCTTGCCTTGAAGTTCCTCTGCGATCCCCAAAAATAAAACTTATATCGATTCAAAGAATGATGACTATCCATTGAAGCTTTCTCTTTTTATGAAAATGTTTTCCGTCACTTCGAGCTCCACTCCAAAAATACTTACAATTTTTTTAATGTCAAAAACTGAAAAATAATCGAAAACTGGTAAGGGCAAATGCTGAAAATTGTCTTTTGAGCTGTTTCCGAAACTTTTTCCAATATATTGAGTCTAATTATCAATTCTCAAGTTTATAGCCTTTTTTAGCTTTTCATCCTTAATTGTAAAAATTGACGCAAGTGTCTTGAATGCGCTTTAAAGCTGAAAACGGCCTGTTGATGTTTTTTTTTAGAAGTTGCTCAAGTAGTTTTCATTCGTATCAATAAGCCAGTTCATTTTTTAGTAAATCAGTCGAATAGTTTTCTCTGATTAGGAAAATAATAGAATTGTTGGAAAAGTCTCCTCAAAACCGAAATACCTATAAATCACATTGTTTTCCTGCTTTTCCTTCTGCTTTCCCAACCTGAGACTCCGCCCAATTTTCCGGCTTTGCTCATTTCGCCTTTCGGTTTCGAGGACCGATAAATTATGGATGTCCCCTTCTCCTTCAGTCAAATTTCAATCAGTCCGATTCTTTCCATTCTCCTTTTCTTCTAATTTTCCTATTTCATCTCGTTTTTTTTCCAGTGAAAATCGGAGATGTGAGAAAAAAGTCGGAAATTTTCAATTATGACCCGCCTCCAGCTTCTTCTTCTCGCGGTGCTAACCAGCTTTGTTAATGCTCAGAAACTGGTTGTCGTTATCGGTAAGACATTTTTTTATACTTTTAAAAAATAATTTTTAGCTATTGACAGCTGTGTGTTATTTGTAACTGCCTTTTTAGTTTACAAAGCCTCAGGGAGAAATAAAAAGTCCAGTAAAATTCTCAAATATAAAAAGAGTGTAATTGCGAATTAGCAAAGATTCTGAAATGATAACTTGAATTATTTTTTCTTTCAAAATCAATTCTCTCACCTCAACTCATCAGAACACTTTTTTCAATGGTGGGACGAAAAAAAAAACTAACTCGTGAATGCTGGAGTATCCTCGGCTTCGCTCCAATTTCCCTTTTGGGAAAGACAAGATCTAAAAACGATTTTAATTGGCAATCAAAAAATCTTGGTTTTCATAATTTTTTGATCTGGTCCAAAATAAAATACTCAATTATTTTTCCTCGTGACTAATGAATTGTTGTTTTCGAAAACTCATATCATTTATAAAAGCTTCGTGATTATCAGAAAGAGCTGATAAAAAATTAGCTTCATCTCAACAGCCTTTTTGATAGTGTCAAGATAATGTAAAATGAATAAAACCAGATACAGAACTTTCTAGAAATATAAAGTTTTTAATGAAAAATCGGAAAACCGTTCTTCCTTCCTGTCTCTTTGAACTACTTACATATTTTTCTCAGTTGACGGTTTGTCGAGTACAAACTTCCATCGATTCGCCCACCTTCCGGCATTTCGGACTTTCGAAGAAGAAGGCGTCTGGTCCACCAAACTTTTCCCCGTCTTTCCGTCTTTCGGCATCTCCAATCGTCATTCCCTCTTAACAGGTACACAATTTAATTGAATATTTACGAGCTGTTTATACATCAACCTGAACAGAACCATTGTCTCAAAAAAAATCACTTCAAATAGATATTTTCCAAATAATTTAGCTTTTTTTTTTTCTTACTTGATTTTCTCCCTATACTCAAGTACTTAGCCACCACCCGGAAATCATTGGAAACTATTGACCGAACTATGTTTGACCAATTCTTGTTTCTTTAATATTTTCTATTTCAGTTTTCCATTTACTTAGACTTCTCGGGATTCACATTGATCTCAAATAACTTTCTGATTTGTACTTTTTGTTCTCATTCGTACATTTCAATCAGTTATATGAAATCCGAGATATTAAAACGAAATGAATTTCGGCGTTTCAAATGGCACGCAATTATTTGCCATGTCTCCGTTATTCACGACACGCAACACGCTTTCATTGCAATAACAGGACAAAATAAACAAAAGTTGGAAAGAATTTTTTGGCGTTTGTTCTTCTTTTATTAATTCAATTTTATTCGGATGTATTCTTCATTGTTTGATCTCAGGACTTCCCCCACGACGCCATGGGTTCATCGGAGACTACATGTTCAACTGGCGTACCGGCGAAACATTCAGAAACTTCACGCAACCCGGCGATTACAAATCGTTCGCAATTCCAAGGAATTTTTGATAGATTTGCTTTTCAGTGATTGGTGGACAGTTGAGCCGATCTACGTGACAGCGAGTCGGGCAAAAGCCTCGACGGCCTTGTTTTTCTTCCCTGAATGCGAGGTTTTCATTTGTTTTTGAAACCGTCGAAAACATGTAAGAAAACTTTCATAGATTCGAAAAGTAGGTGTGTTTGATCTATTCAATAATTATATGCGATTTTAAACCTATTTAGAAAAAATTCTCATCTTTTCGCCAACTTTCTTAGAATTTCCTTTATATTTGAAATGTTTTTTTTTTCAAGTTTTTAATTTTTATACTCCTTTTTTTGCAAATTGGTTCTGTTAGAAGCAGTTAAATAAAATAAATAATTAAATAAATGATAGGGAAAACTGAAGATTAGCTTCTAAATAATGAAGAATTTTAGATGATTTTCGTGTTGATAAAAGGAAAAATAAAAAACTCAAAAAGAACGCTTTCCAGACTTTCATCACTTCGTTCAGGAACAGATTTTCTCATCATTTTGATCAAAAAAATTTGATAGATCATTTCTAACTTTCAGGTCGATTGGGATCCTTATCCTCACACTTGCGTCCCTCCGAGACCCGATGGCCGCACTTTTTCCGACGAGTCCGAAGCCAAAGCTGTCGTTCAAGCTAGCAAGTTTGTCTTTTCAAATCTAAACACTTTTCCAACACGCTTCTGTCGTTTTGAAAAATTTTCTACATACTTAACGTCACTATTTATAATTTTAGAACACACGACCTCGTGCTGGTGTACCATCCATGGATTGGCGCCGAATTTTCCGCCGCCGGCGCGGCTCATTCAAACTCCAAAACTTCGCGGGAGATCAAAAAGTTTCAGCATGTGAGTTTGTGGAGGTCATCATTTGGTGAAAAAAAAAACTTTGATGTGATTCTTTGTTTTCTTACTGTCAAGAAAGCTTGATTCAACACTTTCCATCTCAATGGAGATTTAGCCCCTACGAGTCCTTTCACAAACATTTCTGTCTACCCTAGAATTCAAAACTTCTTTTTTTTACAGTCACTGGAAAGATTGACTGCACAAGCGAGAGAAAGAATCGATTTGAACGTTTTGGTGGTTTCGACGCACGGATTGGTCGATGTTCCACGACAAAATATTCGGTTAACTCGGGTTTTAATTTTTTGAAAAAAGCAGCTCACAAAAATAGCCGTGAAAAAAGCTTTACAAAAGTCTCGATGTGCGCTCTATGACTAACTTGAAAATTCCGCTTTTTTTGACGAAAAATAATTTAGAGTACTGGACGAGTTTGTTCCGATGGAACTTATCAACACGACTGTTGGCAGTGGGGCGATCAAGCAGCTCATCGTCAAAAACGGCAAAACTCATCAAATTTACAGGTTCCCTCAAACTTGAAAAACTAAAATAGAGAAGGATTTTCTTTCAGTCAGTTGCGGCATCACAATCCGATTCCAAACGTCAGAGTCTACTATACCACACAAAAAGTATTTTTTCTGTTGTTGAAAGTTACGCATAAATCAAAACCAAAAAAAAAAAATTATTTCCCTGTCTTTTTTCAAGCTTTCGTCTTTAATCAAAGTGGCTATTTATTCCGTCTTGTAACTCGTATTTTGTCGTATTTTGCTACAAACGTGGGAGTTTCCAAGCTCCTTTGAAAGCTTTTTCTGAACTTAAGAAAGATTAAGGTGAGTGACATGCCGGACTGGTACAACTATAAGAAGAGCGAAAATGTTGCCGATTTAGTCTTGGTTGCAGATCCTGGCTATGCGATAGTCACAGTGAGTTCATCTTCTTCACTATAAAAATGAAAAAAACTCTCATGAGTCTAAAATTCTTGTAAAGAGCAGAACCATAAGAAAAATTCTTTTTAGGCATGCAATTTTTTGACAGTTTTTTTCCCATTTTTTTCGAACCAGTTCTATTTCTTGAAGAGCTTCCTTTTCAGTACACTGTTTCGCTTATTGAACTGGGACCTTTCCTCGAAACTTCATTGATCTTTTAAACTTTGAAAAACAGTTCCCGACGTCAAACGCTAAGAACTTTTCAGGGCTTATCAGAAACATTTATTTTCTGTTAAATACTTCAGAAAGACGTGACCAAACAGTTCCCGACGCCGAATCTGCACGAAATCCCACGCGCTATCTCGGGATACAATAGTCAATTTCCTGATGTAGTTGGCGTTTTTCTCGCATTTGGGCCAGGTAAATGGATTATTCAGGTGAAACATCCCCTTAAAGACTTCGTAACCTGGAGCAACGTCAAAAACCTTGCAAAGATAACGGGACTATGGCTGGCCAATTAAGAGAAAATGCCGCTATCACGAGCAATACTTGGAAAAGATCCCCCAATTAAAGAGTAGCGCAAATGTGCGACGTAATTAGGAGCTTCGTTTATTATTTCCTTTTTCATCAGTGTCATGTATGATTCAGTAATCTGACAGGTTTCCACTGAAAGTTCGCATTCAAGGAACAAGTCAAGGACTTTTCAGAAAAGTATATGATTGTTTTTTTTCAGCGTTTCGATCCGGTTATAGGAAAGGCGGAATGGAACTGTTTGACGTGTACTCCTTGATGTGTTCTTTATTATCAATTAAATGCAATCCGACTCCGGGAAGGTTAGTTTTGGATCTCTTTATAACAAAAAGAAAGAGAAAATCTGAGAAATAAGCTGAAAGCTTTGCAGATAAAAATAGGTTTTTTTTTGCTAGATATTGGAAAATTTATGCATCAATCCACCGCATTTCAAGATTTAGGAGCCAAAAAAGTTTTAAGTTGATTTGCTTCGAATTGAGACGCCGTAGTTGCATGAGAAGTGGCTCCAAGCGTATTGGGGATACTTTTTGATATACCTGTGCCTGTTTCGGGTCGGGCACGCCTTCGAGCGTCGCTACTTGTCAAGCCACTCCGCGTGCAATCATGAGCTTCGAAGTTTGAAGAGATGAGCCAATTAGAACCTATTCTATCTATTATCCTGTACCGAACCTTATTTGTAGGATACTTCGGATAGATGAAATTCTGACGAGCGAAACGCGCGTGGCCATCCGAAGATCATCGTCTTTTAATCGACTTTCAATTACCATTGCTCACGTTTCCATTCTTACCTTTTTTTTATTGTGATCACTGCAAATATCACTCCAATACGGTGTAGTAAGATCAAAGAATTCTTTCACGAAATCTAAGGCGCCCATGCTTCTCCGCAGTTATGATGCATTTATCGGCACAATCAAGTGACAAACGCAACGAACTACGGGGAATCCCAGGCTTCCTTTGAAGGAATAACAAGAATCGGACAGGAAGTGGCTAGAGAGTGAGTTGACCGACCAGTTGTGGACGTCGTCGACGAGCTGACTGACTGATTTGGTTTCCAACCGTCGCAGGAGTTTTGGGCGGTGCCTACTTCTGGAGTGGTGGGCGTGGCCGAACAGTACCAGTGAATATAGTGGAAGTGGCGTCGCAAAAGTTGCGCCTCATTTGCATAATCCTCATGTGGAAGTGAAAATCAATCCCGACTTCATATTTATGGAGTGCAATAGAATCGATAATGAAGTGGATGTGTGAGAAGATTACGGTGGGTGAACCTGTTTGAAACTAGCGATTAAGGATGATAAAACTCATCAAATTCCTAAAAATTTGCGCACTTGTTATCACAATCTTAACACGAAATCCTCAGTTCGAAATGAGCAGCTTCAAAGCTTTTCTTACGGCTCCGAGGTTAAGCCTCAGATATCTATGACGCGGAAAGAAGCCTTGCAAGGTTTAATTTCGGACATTTTAGTCGAAAACTTCATTTTTAGACGGATTGAATTGAAAGCGTGGAGATTAGGTTTTTTTTCTCAAATTCAAATGTGAAAATTATCTAGACTGCTACCGAACTTCCAAAAATTCTATGAGAAACAAACTATCAGTGTCAATCAGGCTTCTGAATTATTCTCAAAAAAAGGATTTGCTTGTGAGAAAAAACAACATTTCGGAGGACTAGCTGTATGAAGAATTCAGAGAATCAGCAGATTAGGCTTGTTTTGAACCAGACTTTCTTCCCGTTTGAAGTGCGTTCAACTGATAAAGTTTTGAAAATCCTTCACATAGAGAAGAGGCGAATTCTGCGAAAATCTCAAAATCCTTGCAGATAATCAAAGAATTGTAGGATTGAGCTAGGTCATGGATGAAAAAAAAAAGAAGATTCCGACTCGGCAGCTCAATGGAAAGAACAAAAAAATCAAAAAATTTGGTTTGAATTTTTATTAAGCCAGAAATTTCTGAAAAAAAACTGCATTATGATGACAATGCGAGCTTCTGCTAATTGAATGAAAGCCTTTGATAATTTGAACTAATCACGAAAAATGTCGGACAGAATGAAGTTTAGAATTCAGGTTAATGTCATAAGATTCTCTAACAAACACAACTTTTCAATTGGCTTTCAAATACTTAATTTTGATGGGGAAACGTGGCAAACCACCAATGAAGGCGTTAGACAAAGGTGATCTACTCTAAAATCTCTGCGAAAACTAGAGTTCTTCATCAAGAGCTAAAAAGTGTTTTCGAGCAAATTTATAAAAAATTTCGAACTTTTCACCAGAAAGTTTTCCATGTTAGGCCTTTTTCGACAGAAAAATAGATAAAATTTGCCAGGTAAAACCCAAAGAGAAACTTGAAATTAAACAGCTCCATATGGTGTCCAACTACATCACACAACGATCGAAACATATCCAAGTGCTAGAAACCGAAAGCGGGAGGAAAATCGTACCTCAAGCCGAAGAAACAGCTATTCCCATCACCAGTGATTGTCCATAGAAGTCGAGCAGTTAGAGAATCTTTCTTGGAAGCAAGGAAGATGGCGTGCCCCACCAACAGGGTGCGCGGTGATAAAAAGAACACGTCGACGCTGATAGTGATAATGGATGACGTGGCGCTCTCACGCTCTCGACGGCTGCTCGCGGAGCTCTCGGAGCTCACGGAGGAGCCGCCGGACTGCCTGATTACCATGGAAATGGAATTCAAGTAGGAGGGACTTCGGTCCACACTTTTTCCGCTCTGTTTTTTGTCAGTGTTTTGGAGACAAGTGCAGCGGTTCGAAGAGCTTGAGTAATAAAAAGCAGCGTTAATTAATGAGCAGGAATAATGTGTCTCCAAGGATTTCTTTCAATCGAAATTCTCTGTTACAGAAAAAAAAGGTAGACTATACGGTATATAAGTATCCGTGTTGATCGAATTCAAGTGAGGAAGAGCCGAAAAATGAAATCAAGATAAGATACACATTTATTTATATAAAGACTTTCTGCGCTTATAAATTAACTTAAATCATTTAAGGCACTTGAAGTAAATTTTAGCCAGGAACTTTTGAAGCTGAGAACTTCGCTCCTTTTTATTGGATGACGTAAAATATGCGTGATTCAATTGATTCAATCAGGTTAATTGTCAAAAAGTATGGAATTCTTTTTTTGCTCTATAAAAATTTTGAATATGGAACTAGAATGAGTTTCAAAAAAAAGTTCACATTAAAGTTACTAGCTAAAAAAATGCAAATTTATTCTGACCGCACCACCCAAGTGACCACTCAATGTTCTGGCCACTTGTCGTTACGTCACAATCCGCCGCCGAGAAGGATTAAAATCGTTCGGTAGGATATTCAAATGCTAATTGTTTGATTGGCCGGTGCGAAAGCGCCTGAGAGTGAATGTATCCTTCATAATATAAAAACTTAGATGCGAAAGACATCCTTGGTCTTACAGCAAAAAAAAGGACAGAATTTTGACTTTCAAAATGTTTGAACCGTGATCTGAGAAAATCTAAGATAGGAAATAACCACATTACACAAAGGAAATGCAAACCATTTCAAAAAAGGCAAAAAAGAGTGAAAAGAAGAACAAAACTTCATCAAAAGCGGTTCATAGAAAAATAAAGTTTACGGTCTCCAGAATACTATCGGTATTAGATTGCTTTTTAACTCGGAGTTCAATTATGTAATTTTGCTCTCAGAATAGATTTTAAACTTTTTGTGCGAGTGCTTTAATAGTCTTTCGAAAAATGAACAATTTTTAATTTTTAATTTTCAAATTTTTTTCGAATCACTGCCAGTCACTGGTGATGTCTTTGAAAACAGGAACCTATCACTGGCGTTTTTCCGAAACTTTGAATAAAACGAATACTCTCTACAGCTAAATCAACGCAATGACCTGCTCAAACAACACTTTTTTTTGTTATTTTCCATCATTTATTTTTTACAAAATCAACATGATTTTCAAAAAAAAAAAGCTATGTAACATCAGAAACCTGACCCACGCGAATAGATTAAGTTTTCACCACATTCTTCCCATTTTTTTTTCTTGGAATGCTCGAAGAAGTGTGTGAAGAACGAACGGCCGGAAGTTGTGTGGTCCTTTTCGTTGTTCTTTTTCTCATTGGCCTCTTTCTATCGATTGCTAGGTCTTTTTTTGAAGCGAAAGAACTCTTGAAATTCATAAAAAGTTTGTACTCTGACGATTATTTATTCCAGCCAAAAACTGTTATTGACAATTTTGCCTCCGCCATCGTTTTGGACTATTCAATAGCAACTTCCCACACTTTCATTCTTTTCATTGTGCCTCAAAGTCTGTTTTCGAACTTCTGTCGAATCTAGTAAATTTCATAATTTTTTTATAACTTTCATAATTTTTCTTAGCCTTTTTGAAAAAAATTTTTACCATTTTTTTAATCTGAAAGTCATATGAAGCTTAAAGAAAGACAAAATTTTATTCACCTGTAGAGCACGAGAAACTTAAAATTTGCAAAACTTTTTACGTCAAAATATCAAAACTTAATTTAAGAATGACTCTCATCCTGAGTTTTTTTGAATATTAAAGTATTTTTTTCTTTAACCAATAGATTGATAGATTCGATATTTTTCTCTCATCGAGGAACTTTGAATTGTGTATTTAAAATAAATGATATCTGGAAGATAAAGAAAAAAAGAAACCAAGATTGAATAATTCATTTACATTTTTCTTAAAAAAATCTAATATCTTTGATTAAAAAAACTTTTTTTCATTATTTTTTTCTCATTATCCTTGCGCGACCTCCACATCCTTCAGAAATTAATGAAGTAACTCTTTTGAAAAACTCCTGAAATGTTTCATACTAACAGAATACTTGGCGAACCCAAGGAAGATGATGAATCCGATGGGATCAGCAGTGGGACAGCTGTGGAAATGTTTCGCCTGAAAGGCAAAACCGAAACGATTTCTCGGCGGCTCTGGACAGATGGCTCCAGCCACCTGTAGCGCCGGTCGTTTTGTCCTCTCTTTCTTATTTTCATTCTTCACTTTTCACGGTTTCTCGCGATTTTAACGTCGGGAAAATCTCTAAGCACTTGTTCAATTTTGTACTCCATGTTTCGTTTCGAGGCTTATCTTCTGAAATTCAGTCCTTTTGCGAATAGCTTTTTATATTTGGTCCAGAAAAACAACAAAACAAGAATCGGGAAGAAATACTGAAACTACGTCCTATTTGTGGTTTTGTGATAACTAAATTTTGTAGAGAACATTGACTATCAAAACTTTTACCCCAGTCTAACTTTTACTCCGACCAGAACGATCATGGATCGTGAAAAATTAAAATGCTTTGAAAAAACTGTTAGTTTTCGAAACTTCGAAAGTCTTTCTCAATCTCTTTGAAAAATGACCATTCCTATATTTGTAAAGCTACAAATCTCTAATCCGCGTTATTTGTCATAACAAACTGACCGCTCTCTCCCGTATTTCTCGGATGGGACGAGGTGATTCGTATATTCCACGGATTCGAGTTGAAAACCAACTGAATCAAGAAGAAACCAGTCTTTTTTTCCATTCTAACCGGCTGATGGCCGAGCTCGTTGCCATGGGGCAAAGGAGCGTAGAAGAAAAAGGCCTAGGCGAGCTTTTTCTTCTTTTTTTTTTCGTCCATTCGGCTTTCTCCCGTAATGCACTCGCAATAATTGACGCTGTGAGCAATCACGCGTGTTTTTCTTTCCTGGAGTTTTTGTTTGTAATTACTTTGTTTACAAACGCCATTATTTGTAGCCTTTGGGTATTCAAAAGTGAAGAATAAAAATTATTAACGTTATTTTGAGCTAAATTTCCGTCTTCAAGTTTTAAACCGTTTTCCATCATCCTTTCTCTAATCCCCGTCGAAAGATTTCGTTTCTTTGATGAATTCTACTTCGTAGCTAAAACAAGTTTTTTTTAAATCCATATGCCTATTTCTTATTTTGTACTTTATGTTTTTTTCATTTTTTTTTTATTTCCTAGCGTATTTCCAGGAAAAAACAGAAAAGCTGATTTGGGTCACTTGGAAAAACGTGTTTAGTGGTCATGTAAAATAAATGAAATGCTTCTCAGGCATCCAAAATATTCGAAAAAAAATAATATATAGTTCAGATCAAAGGATTGGCAGAAAAAAAACCCTTTGAGTTGTCTTCGGCTATTGCGTCTGAAAATTGGAAAAAATCAAATCAAATCGAAGCATTGGAACTTTAATTTATGGAACTCGATTGATTCAACTTTTTTTCCCAGCTAGTTTCTTCCTTTTTTCGGTTTCGGATTAAGCGAGATATCACAAAAATACGTTTCGCGAGTACTGATAATACCTTATTCAGCCTTATGTTCAACAAAACCATAAAGAAAAAAAGTCCCCTTTTCCTTTTTTTAATTTCAGGATCATTTTTTTATATTTTTCATGGAAATTATATAACTTCTTAGTACGAATGATGTACTTTCCAGACTTTTTCAATTAATTTGAACGACTTCCACGTCACACAATACATAGTATGAAGATGGCAATTAGTCATGTAGAAAATTGAAAGCGTTGAAAACAATTAGAATAAAATGAAGTTCACATGTACTTTTCGAAAAATGCCTTTAAACTTTTTTCATGTTGCAGAAAAAAAACATGAAGAAAAGATTCTAACTTTTTGCAGAGGGTGTTGAAATTTCTCTCTCCTGCGGTATTATTTTTTGTATAATATGTGTTTCCTTTGCATCTGTCAATAAGTAAGGTTTCTAGCTTTCGGGAAGATTTTTTTTTCGTGTTTTCGAAAGATCCGAAAAAAGTTAATTTATGGCCCCTTTCATAACGATAAGAAGCGTCCATTGTAATAAACACTCATTAAAAATTGCATTCTCAAAGAGCAACGGGGCTACGCGAAAGATGGCTTATCCGTATTTGACTCACAGTAAACACGACTTTTCTCGTGATACTCAAAGTATGCTATTTGAACCAAAAAAATCATACTATTAGAGCGCATTCAACCGATCGCACAAAAAAGCAGAATGAAAAACTTCTACAAGGGAAAGCAACAGGAAGTTTAGCTTTATCATGTTTTCGGGCTCCCATGAGTCTTTTTTTTGAAAAGCTTGTTTTGAAAAAAAAAGATAAGAAACGCAGAAAAAAATTGATTGGACTATTGACGTTTGAAGTCGTTTCGTTCAAATCTTTCAATGTTTTAAAAAAATCTCGGAAGACGCTTTAAATTTTTTTAAACATTTTTACAAAAAAAGCAAAAAAATCAAAACTTCTTTCTACTCACAATTTTTTTCAAGACCTATAATTATTTCTGAGTATTCCCTGTAATTTAAAAAAGAAACCAACCCGCAATCAGAAAGGAATAACATTAAAAGTGTGACGTTGAAAAATTGTTCTCATGACTTAATTACAGACGAAAGTCTCGTAAATAACGATGATGAACAGTTACCGTCGTCATTCTTAAACTATTTTTGAATCAGAAAAAATTAAATTTGGATAAAAATCGTCTATTTGTGAACGCTATCCCCTGGTCTGTTAGTTTACTGATATTCTAAATAAGCAAAAAAATATTTTTTTATTTATTTATAGTGTGTTATATGTGAATCTACTACGAGTTCAAATTATTAAAATCTTCATAATGGTACCAGAAGGTCCCGTAGCTTGGACAGGTGGAACTTTGGGGGAACTACTCGACAAGAAATGAAATAAAAATCGGCATTTTGTCCCCTAAAACTTCCCTGTTGCGCCAATATATTTCGAGCTATGTAAACTTTCAAAAAGTTTGTTAAAAAAAAATTTTTAGGACCTCAACGATAGAGCTGATTGACCTCCTTATCTGTCGACGTGACCGAGGCCTTCTCGCGAGCTTATCCGGTCCGGTCGTGTGAGCTTCAGCTTCCACGCCGAATGAGCCGCCCGAGTTTGGCGGTCTCTCTCAAACGCCTTTTTCTTTGATTCTCCATATTTCTTCTCTTCCAAAAAAAATTGGCTACAGCCGAATGGAACTGTCGCTTGAGGTTGTTGGCATCCTCCTTCTTTTTATAATCATGAATCTTCTTTTCAGTTGATTACGGTAGTGTCAATCGCCAGCTTTTGCGTCGTGTCTTCTGTACTGTGCGTGACCGTCTGGTTGTGCCGATGGCGTCGGGATCAGGTCCGTCACATCGACGAGAAGGATGAACCGCGGTTGGAGATGCGCTACTTGGAAAGGTAAAGAAGGTCGCAGGATGAAAAAAATCTTTTAGTTGCGAAATTAAATGTCCTTCTCTTTAGGAAAATCTCGCTTTTTGAAAGATAAAACTGAAGAGTTGGAAGAGACCTGTACGGACTTTACAGTTAGAAATTTGAAATTTTCAGCAAGAACACAACAAAACCTCCTTCTACGACCTTCGAAAAATCCACAAGAAGAAAATCTGAACAAAAAGAAACCTCGTCAAGTCAAAAAATTGGGGATGCCTTTCCTGATGAAACTATTGCACAGGTATTTGTAACCTACCAGATTCGTCTATAATGTGTCTTATTCAGTTCGAGCAACGAGTAAAAGATAAACGAGGATCAGTGAACGATCGGCGCGATTCAACGGGTAAAAATGTCCGTTTCTTTTATTTTTCAGAGTTTCCATCCATTTGTTACTTTCCAGAAGCGTATCGATACTATTTCCGACATAACGGTGTCTAACGATTCTCTTCAAAGAAATGATTCGAAGGTTAGTTTTTTCGAAATGGCACTTACTATCTCCGAAAATATGTTTACGGTCAACTGACTTCAAAAGAAGAGTGAAGCAGTCCAAAACTTTCCCCCTACAAACTTCTTCAGTTATCCTTTTTTCAGGTAAACGTTTTCAAAGGAGATCGACAAAGTCGGTCAACGTCGGATGCACCTGACAACGAAATGCCGGACGAAGAAGACTTGAATCCAGGGCTCAACAATTCTATCAATCTTGAAGTCATTTGAGAATATACTCTTAAGAGGTCGCCATATCTTTTCGGAAAACATCTCACTTTCTATCATAATGATGATCAGGGACTTTTTTCTCTTTTTAAACCCGTTTCTTTCGGTGTTTTTCTTGCTTGATTTTGTTCTTTGGAGTGCTCGGACATGTCATCATGGTTTCCTTATTTTGAGCCTTCAGATGGTCGAAAATTACGATTAAAAGGAGAGTACATAGGGCGGGCTTTCGAGAAGATTGACAAATTCAGATGACTTGTAGCGATCTAATCCCACAGATTCCAGAAGAAAAAACACGTGCCACTCCAATATTCAAAATATTTTCGAATACTCCGTATGGCTAAACTTTCTCAGTTGCAAACAAGCATAGTTTTAGAAAAATAAGAAGGCCTACATATCTAAATTTGAAACAGCTTGATACCCGCTTGATAGATTGATATAGCTGATTCACGGCTGGCTTGAGCCATCGAAAAAAGGGTCCTGACACAATAATGCGTGAGATAGTGCCTGGCTCGTGGAGAGCGGAGACAGGCCACGCTCCCTTACCGTCCCAAGCTAGCCGTGAATCAGCTATAGACGCTTTGAAAATTGAAAAAACTGATTTAAAAAATTAAAAAAAGTGTGACGCTGATAAGAACCCATGAAGTCCTAGAACTCCAAGTGAACACAAATCTCCTTATCGCCATTATATTCCAAGCCATTTGCTGATCTCAGTTTCTTAAGTATTTTTATTCTTGTATGTTGCATAATAAATTGTTGCGTGGTTTACGAGAAACTCGACACCTCAAATGCAAACAATACACGAATAAATACGGCGCCTTTTACACGTCTCGAACCCCAGGCGCTTCTTCTTCTTCTTTTTTACTATTGCAAACTTGGCTTTCTTTTTTTTAACATTTTAGCGTATTTTCAACTTATTTCAAGAGAGATTTCGCGAAACAAAAACTAACCAGAAAGTTTTTTTCTCGACTCCCGAAATTGATCTGGTACTTTTCGTAATCAACAGTGGCTGACCAGCCTGTCTCAAAGCCAGGAATTCCAGTATTCGATTCTTTGTTCTGAAATGTTTCTTTTAAGTTGTTTTGAAATTTTTTTCTATCCGAAAATCGTCTTTTCTCCTTTCCAATTCATAAGTACGTGCTACAATATCAAAAATTGATGAGAATGAGCCACTCGAGATGCAGGCCTGAAAAGAAGGGCTGCTTTAAGTGGAGCCTCTATTGATTCGTATTCTTCTTCAGTTTCATCTCCAACAAAATAGTGAAAAATCCAATTTCTCAGTATGTTCGACCACACGCGAACCGACGAATTCATAGACTTCATTGCCGGAATTCCAGCCATTTTTCACCCAAAATATGCCGTCGATGACGAACAATTGGGGGAAATTTGGCGTCACGTCGGCCATTCGTTCAATATTTCCGGTTTTGTTTTGTTTTTTTATGAGTTTTAAATTATTGAACTATTGCGAAAAACTCGGGTTGAGTATTATTTTACTCACAGAAAAAAAATTAAATATGTTTGAGAGTTGCAGAAAAAGAAGCCAATGCACAGTGGGAGTTACTTTCAAGGATTCATCGTATTATGAACGACGATCTACCGCCACAGGTTACGTTTATAAACGTTTTTCAATTATAGAAAACTTTTGAGCGGCAGTTCTTGAAATTTCGAGGTTAAACTCTAATTTGTGACAAGAGACACTCCACCAAAAAAGATTACCCAATTACCATAAAAAAACTTGGGAAACTGATGATCATTAAAATAGAAAACGTAAAATTTGTTAACGATGTCGTGAGCTGGAACAATATTTATCATCTAGACTCCATGGGCTAGAGCTGGGAAAAAAACAAAGGAGTGGCTAAAAGATGGACTGCTTAAAATATTTCATCGAAGATTTATCATACTTTTTCCAAAAATTGATAACCTCGTATTGATGTAGAAACGTCAATAAATGAAATACAAAAAAGTCCACTTATTAAAAAATCAAAAAGCTATAAAAATGAATTATGAAAATAAAGGTGAGTGAAGACTTTTCGCACCTTTATTCAGAACTATACTGACAATATATCTCCCCTAGGAGAATCTATGAATCTCATTAGCGATAATTCAAAAATGTCTTTTTTTTTATCCAATGCGGAGAAACGTATCCACTAATTCTCTACGGATCAAACTTGATGGTCTCCCAATCACGGCTTTCTAAAAATCAATTCCTTTCCGGTTGCTTCAGACCTTGTATAACTCCGCGTCAGAGTCTACTCGTGAGGGCGAAATAATTCCCGTTACTGGTTAATCTACCGTATGCAGGGGATAAGCCTTCTATTGATGATACCATCTACTCTTCTCAACAAAAAACTTGACTAGCTTTTTCGTTAATCAGAATTTACTTCCTTTCTCCGTAGCCTTTCACCAATCTACACTCTAATGCCAATACTTCCAGGCATTCTACTCTACGACGACTTCGACGGGTTCGGAATGGCTAGAAGCGGAGCAAGCCCTCGCCGCCGCCCTCAGCCCGTTCTACCGACTCCGGCTGGACTTTCTCCTCACGGATGTTTGCAAACAAGCGCGACGGCGCGTTACACAGCGTCCTTGATTTATGACTCAGTTTCTGCATGCAACTGTTGTTGTTTAGATTCGTGTACATTTTATACATCTATCCATCTTGGAAATATTCGCACTATTCACTGATAAATGATTAAAGCTGGAAGCATGTGATGTGTGTAACAGCACCTGATCTGATTGTATTGGGACCAAGAACCATCTTTGGGATTTCGGAAGTCCTGTGGAAGCGGCCCTATCGCAAACGACATAAAATAACTTTTTTTCTTTCAATAAGTCAATTTACTGATAGAAAAGATGAACATCCTAAATTGAGTCTGAAAAAACGGCTGAGAACAGAAAAAATGTCCATTTTAACACTTTATCAGAAAAATTTCAGTGTATACAGTTGATTTTTTTTCCCTTATTTTTCCGTAAACATGATTCAATGAATACTTCAAAAAAATCAAGAAAAGTTTTTAAAGAAGAAGTATGTCATTGAAAAAAATGAAAAAAACTTCAATAGAAACAAATTAAAGAAGTATCGAAAAGTTTAAAACTAGATATTGAAATACCAAAAAGATACAAAAATTACTTTTCTTTTGATTTACGCCACGAAGGAAAACTTTTTGTTCCCTTCCTTATCATTTAGAGGCTTCCAGAAAGAGTTCAAAATCTTCGATTAGAACTTCGCAAAGAAGGACAAAATGATGGACCATTCTCTCAACTTTTTGACTATATGTCTATTGATTGGTCAACGAAAAAAAAAAACCTTGAACCCAGTCTACTGAACTACACAGGTGACTCATCCAGAAAAATATCTTGATTGATTGCGTTGAACACTTGAAGCAACCATGAAAGCTCAAAAGTCAATCATCAAACGGCAGGATTCCTTCTTGTTTAGTGCGAGATGCAGTGCTCGGAACAGCCGCGTCGCATCCACCAGTGCTGCTATTAAAAGTCTGTGTTCGTCAAGCAGTTAGGCATGGCTTCAAGGCGCGTGATGCACCTCCACGCCGAGGCGCCGCCCACTTTCAATCCAACCAAGACCGTTTAAATAGTCGGCAGCCGAGACCGGCCCTTCAATTGACCTTATGTTTTTTTTTCTTTTTGACTATTGACAAGTTTACACTGCATTCTGTCCGGTCCGCTCCATGCCATTTCTTTTTCAGAACCAACAGAAAATGAAGGCCGTCATCGGACTGGTAGCCATCGTTGCCCTGTGCGTTCTGGAGACGTCGGCGACTCTTCAGAACGTCACTGTCAGAGGCATTGCCGTCTGCAACAAGCGACGACTGGCCAACGCTCAGGTTCAGCTCTACGATCGCGATACTCGTAAGCTACGAATGTTCGTTCCTTAGAACTTGATCATTCTTACAGTTGATCCCAACGATCTGCTTGCTGAGGTCCACACCAACCGCGAAGGCGAGTTCGAGCTGTTCGGTAGCGAAGACGAGGTTCGTTTTTTTTTTTTCTGGCGTTTCTGAGCGCAAGATTCAATTTAACCTTCCGAAGACACGCTTCTCAAGCTTTTCTAATAGAAGGAAGCATTTCAAACAAGAATAGAAACTCGGAAAGAAAACCCAAACTTAGGGAAATTATTCTCTAGTTTCAAGATCTTCAGTTCTTTATTTATCCCCCGGAATATTTGCTAGTTTCAAGCTTATTCAAGTAAAAACCTTCAAAATTTAATTTAATTACGAAAAAGTGTTTAAAAAAAGAAAAAAAAGTTGCCTTTTTTCGGAGAAAAAAAATCGTTTTGCAGATCGGTTCGATTGAGCCCTTCATCCGGATCACGCACAACTGCAACGCCAAGCCGGGTTGCTCTCGCCGCGACGACTACGACGTCCCGAAGGAGAAGATCGGAGACGTCTACGACATGACCTACGTCACCCTCGACATCATCGTTCACGGAGAAAAGGAAATCTGCTAGATTTGCTCATACAATTTTGTCTTTTTTGTACATATGCCGCTCTTACTATCTCGCCTATTTTTCCCCTTTCCTGAATAAATTTTTCAAAGTTTGATAAGAAAACATCGCAAAAAAAAAAACAAGACTCAACTGAAGTTTATTTTTCGAGAAGACAGCTTACTTCCCGGTTCGCTGAGTACTTTTGGTTTCACCAGAGGTGGAAGAAATGAGGGGCCTTCCCGGCGCAACATGCCCGCCTTAGCCATACCACGTAACAATAGTTGGGCGAAAATTGTCATTTTTGTTCATTTCTCATTGATTATTGGTTTTCGCAAATTTTCCGTTAAACTTTTTGAAATTCTAGTGGTTATGATGTCCGACCAGTGTTAATTAAAAGTTTTATATGGAGTGCGGTAATGTTTGTTCCTTCTTTAGGCGAAGAAATTCAGAATTATGGTTAGGGATCCGCTGAGAGAATGAATTTCTGCCGCCAAACAATCAGACATTTTGAGTAACCTTAAATTTGAAAGCTCCAAAAATAACAATTTTAGAAGATTCCAATTTTTGGTGTTCTGTTTTTCCAATGGCGTCTTTTTGCCATCGCGGTTTTGGTTCCCGGCGTCCTAGGCAGCGACTTATTAAGAAATGGCAACGTCGACTTTAAAATATAAAAAGTTTAAAAAAACTTTCAGGGGGTCATTTTTTTCCACCTCTTGGTTTCACCATACCTTTCTTTAATTCGAAGAATTTCTGAGGCCAAAAAGATATTCTAGAGAATTTTTTTGAACAACATCTCTTGAAATTTCAAGAAATATACTATTTGAAAAAAATAAAGTTAAATTATATTTGCAATAAAAACTTCTTAAAAAGAATGAAACGAGATTAAATAACAACTCCCTACTTTCGAAAAAAATATATATTTGAACAAATCATAACTTTTTATTGAGAACATCGTTGACCCACCACACAGAAAATGTTCCTAACGTATTCCATTTCTTGAGATTATTTTTTATTGGGAGAATAAAAACTATAAATAGGATGCTTTCTTTTCAAAGAATTTCCTTCATTGTTTCGTCTTCTTCTCGTCAGTTGGTCTCATGAAAAAGACAACAAAAAGAGAAGGAAAAGCGCCGCTGTCGTCGCACTTTTTCAATTTTGTTGATGTTGACGACTCAACTGGAATCCACGATGTAAAGCAGACACCGGGGGCGACCGACCCAAAATCTTTGATTTTTCTGGATTTTTTTTTCGGAAAAAATGAAAGCAGAGCTGAAGCTCGACTAAATTCAACGACTTGGTCCAAGAAAGTACACTACTCGCATTACTCAAAAATGTATAAAAAACAGTATCGTTTCCTGGTTTAAGGTCATAATCAACTGATATTTATGCAATGAGTGAAAAAAAAATTCAGAAGTTCAGATAATTGATTTGAATGCATTTCTGTCTGGCCTGACTTCAGACCATAAATTTTATTTTTCTTAACACTCTTCTAAAATATTTCTAAGTTTTGAATTAGCAATTAATCAAGTTACTTTCCCAAATTTTGAGATACAGAAAAAGCATAAAGATGCATTAAAGCATCTTCAATTTCGGACATATTCACGTCTGGAACCCTCTTACTAATCCAAAACTTCTCCTCGTATACCTTTTCCTGTGCTTAAGAAGTTATAATTTTGTGCGAATTTGTTTTCTGCTTTGATTTATTGATATTATACTAATACTCGCTAAACCCAAAGAATGGATACTCTTTGTCTGAAGCTCCATCCACAAGAAATACTGCTTCGATCCACGGCCACCGACCAACGTTTCAACTCCGAAAAAATTGTTTACGTGTCTATTCAAATCAAAACAACAACTTTTGATGTTTGATTGTGAGGATGAGTCAATTTTGTACGATAGAAACGTTGGCCGAGGAGGGACCAGCCAACAAATGCTTTTATTTTTCGTCCCCAGCCGCGCCAACTGCCGTCTAATCGTCTATAAAACAGCGCCTGGCAAGAGGCTTTCCTCAATCGTTCAAGCTTTTCCAAAGTTCTTTAACTTTATGTTGACCGAGCTGCTTTAGAACTTCTTTTCAACGCCTTTTTTCTAGTTTCTTTCCAACTCGCTGTTATCAGACTCTCTTTAAATAAGAACTTTAAAATATCTAATTTAAAATCCATTTTTGCTCCTTTCCTTGATTCCGAGACTCTTTAATCATTTTATAATAAACGTCGTTACTTCCAGAACCACTTCACACTAGAAATGCGCTCAATCATGATCATCGCCGTCGTCGCGGCCGCCATGTTCGGGGCCGAAGTCTTTGCCGCCATGCAGAACGTGACCGTCAAGGGCATCGCCGTCTGCAACAAGCGTCGCCAGGCGATGGTCCAGGTCGAGCTCTACGACCGCGACACTCGTGAGAGCCTCTCAATTCATCTCCAATAATAATCAATATCTCTGCAGTCGACCCCAACGATCTTCTGGCCCAAACCAAGACTGGAAGCGAAGGAGAATTCGAGATTTTCGGCCAGGAAGACGAAGTTGGAAAAATTGAGCCTTTCATCCGAATCACCCACGAGTGCAACCCATCCAAGCCGGTAAGTCGTCCGTCTTTTGAGCTATTTTTTTAGTAAACCTGTTTCAACTTTTGAGAGAAAGTCCTCTGAAACCAAGATTCGAAGAAAATAGATATAGCTGTTTCTGTTCCTATGAAATAAGTCTTCTAAAGTCTCTAAAAAATTTCGCTCAAATCTGAACTTTTCAGGGCTGCCGTCGCATCGGCGACTACGTCGTTCCCCAGGACAAGATCGGCGGCGTCTACGACATGACCTACGTCACCCTCGACATCAAGGTTCACGGCGAAAAGGAAAAGTGCAACTAAATCATCTTGGCTCTTATCTTATCAATATTTTGTAAATTTTTGCTCAAATAAATATTTTTTTCTTTGTAGTTCTTGGAATCTTAAAGCTGCTCGTTGAAAAATCAAAGACGATTCAGAGATTCACGGTTTCTTCCTAATACTAGAAAGTCTCTGGGCAAGTTTAATTATCCGGAAGAGACGTTACGAACAAAACAGAACAATTTTTAATTCCCATCTCTTTTCCCACGGAATCGCAAGAAGACGGATACCAAGGCCTACATAAGACAAGAAAGACATTCTCAAAATAAAAAACGGGAAAAAAAAACTGAGAAGTGACTTTATCTTTTCTTCTTTTTTTCGATAAATATTCATTTGCTCTTTTTGAAAATCAGAACATATTGATGGCGAAGTTCGCGTCGTTACACGGTGAGGCTGAAGATCGACGGAAATATAAACTATTGTTGGATTTGCGTCGCAAAATAAACGAAGTAATGAAAGAATCCGTCTCTTCTAACGTTCGAGAAAAAATGTTCAGATTTTTTTTTGTAAAAAATGGGTATTGGATTGGATAGATATTGTGGTCCTTTGATATAGAGGTTATCAAGTGTTTTTGAAGGTTTTGAAAAAGCTGATCAATGACTCTTTAGTATTGGAAAAATCACAGTTGCCTTTGAATAAAAAAAAACCTTCCATAAGGCCGAAGTTTTTATAGACAAAAAAACTCACTTTCAATGCACTCACGGTAGTTCTCCTCCCAATCGTAAGCGTCGGTCATAAGTTTATCGCCGACCATTTCCTGTTATTCGAATGTATTTCAAAATAACAACCAATCCCCAACCGTGAGCAAAGCCTGCAAGGCGCCGTAGTCAGGCTCCTCGCCGAGGTTGAGGCTGAAGACGGCTCGTGAGAACTCGCAATACTCGACCCCTGTCAACGCCAGGTAGGGAGAGTCGGAGCTCTGCTAGAAATCGAGATCTTGAGATTCAGCTTTCTTCGATACAACTTACAAATTCGAGTTTGGATCGGCGGTACTCGTCGGAGGGGTACAGTTTCCAAGGCAGGTCGACGAGAAGACACTCGACGCCGGAGTAGACCATCGAGACGAGGTCGTCAGCAGGACACTGCTCCATTCGGTCGTGGACTCGCACCGAGACGTACCGCAGTGTACCACTGGAATTTTCGCTATTGAGTTATGTCATCTTATGGGAGACTGCTAAATTTTTTTTTTTTGAAAGCTCTTGTGAACAGAGCCTAAAATCGTGAAAAAGTTTTTCTTCGAAATTCTAATCTTACCGAAAACCAGGCCGAGTTCGAGGTTTTCTAATAGTACCATCAGCATTTTTATAACGACGGACGAGTCCATAATCAACGAGTTTTAAAACATGACGGCTCTGCAATACAGCAAATAAGTACATTTTTGATTCTGATTCCTACAAATTGCGTGATTCCAAAGCACATATTTGCAGGTTTGACATCTCGATGAAGAAATCCGGCGGAATGAACATCACGAAGCGCCGCAACTCCCTGGAAACTCTCCTTCAAGGGAAGAAACGTCTGAAATAACCACCTGTAAAATGATGCGAGCCGTTGTCGTGCGACTCAAACGTTTAACGGGACTTTGCTTTTTTAAGTCGCCCACGTTCACCGATAACAATTGCATCACTGAAAAAATTGTCACTTTTAAGGGAAGTTTATACTTCTGTAATTGATATTTGGCCACGAAAACTTACTGATAAAGTTGATTTTTTCGGTATGTCCAGAGGCAAGCATTGTAGGGACATGAGGGCGTCCTTGAAGCCGGTAGAGCACCTAAAAAAAACTTTTAAAAAGAAAAAAATAAAAGTTGGAAAAAAACGATATCTTACTAAAGTTTCATAAAAAAGGGGGAAAAGAGATTCATAAGGACTTACCACTATGAAATTGTTACGGCGAAAAACTGAATGTAAATATGTAAACAGCAGAAAATGACAGAAAATGACAAAAATTTGGAAAACTTTTGAATTTTCAGCATTGGTGCGCCATTGGCAACTTGCCTTTTTTTTGAATTATTTTTACGCGTTTTTTCTCTATTATCTTTATTTTAAAATTGCTTCCAGTTATCAATAATTTTTCTTCCCGCATAGGAATCTTTAAATAGATCGAGAAAATTTACTAGACTCCTCATAACTTTTTATATGATTTCAATTACCGTCTTTAATTAATTAGCTTTGTTCCGAATCTTTCTATCATGTTTCAACTTTAGTCTTTGATGTTACATAATCAAAATAGCTAAAGCTACTGATGAATATCAAATAAAAGCTACCCTCTGTTCTAAAAACATTCGGCGACTGCTGCAGCCGCGGCGCCTCGTCGGCTCAGTTTTGATCGCAATTTCTTCATAACTTCTCGTGTCGATCCCATAATAAATTTGACCGTAACCACCTCGGCCGATCAGTCCCTCAGAATTTTCACTCTTTATAAGAAATTAAGAAAATAAGGACTACCTGGATATAATAACGATCTCTAAACTTTGTGCCCATCTTGAGTAGTTCGCCGCCTTTAGCCGCTTTCAGCTTCGGCACGTAAGGTTTCACTTTAGGTAAAAAGTGGCCCCCTTGCACGTAAATGTATGTATCTCTGAAATTTTTAAATCTTTCAGATCAGTTCGTATAGTGAAATCTATTCAAAACTAACACATCAGCATTCTCAGGAATCATGAGAGGGGCCAACACATCCATGATTGCAAAAGTGCTTGGAATGACTGAACTTCCCCTGAATTTCTAATATAAAAGCGATTCTTATATTCTCAACTTTTTTAAATTGTTCAACCACTTATTGAGTCTTTAATTAGTTATATTCTCGCTTCTGGTCAACACTAGATTTTCAAATATTTATATGCTCACGCTGTTTCTTTTTGTCTCAAATTGACACATTTTACACAACCTTTGCACTTCTTTGGCACATTTTGCGGCTCGCAGATCTTTGACTTGACATGATAATAACCTTCTTCAATGTGTCAACCAGAGAAAAGGCGGAGCTTAGAGCGTCAACTTTGATTACCAATCTCTATTCGGTCATTCATTTTTATTTTCCCGGTCTCAGACGGTCTTTCTGTTCATATGCTTTTTTTTGAACTCTTTGATGGAAATTACTTTTTTCCGACCAAATTAATAATCATTATGTTATCATTTAGTGTTTGATGAAACAATTCCAAGTTTCTTCTAGAGATCTCAACTATATAACTTCTTCCATCAACTTTATAATTTCTAGATATTTCTGAACGCTACGTTAGCGTTCTTTTTCCTAATATAATCAATCGTTGCATAAGAATAAGAAGAAATATTTTTTTGTCGCCACGTTTTCCAAAGAAAATTTTTCGGGTATAAAAAAATAGAAAACTAGTAGAGGCAGATGCGCTCTATCGGGCACGCCGCAAAAAAATTTTTTTCAAAAGATACGTTAGCGTTCTTTTCCATTATAATATGTTTTTGATAATCCCTGTGGAGGAATAATAGCGGGCTGACTCAGGAACAAAGCCTGAGCCAGTTTTTCATCTTGGTTTTATGACTGAAAACTCTTGATTCGTTTATTCTCTTTTTTTTTTCGTCATTTTTTCCGCGTTTTCAACTTTCTATTCAGCGGAAACTTGAGCATGTTCGGGTCATCGACAACGAAACCAGCCTTCGGGTCTACTACTGGTACTTCAAACTTCACGTTCCCTTCAACTACTGCCACGACTACCACTTCGTCTCTTTTCGGCTCTTCTCTCTCGTGAGTTTCGTATGGAAAATCTAATCGCATTTGCAAAAACCTGCAGAACGCCGAACAAGCCGTTGTTCGGAGCGACGACGACAGCCGCGACAACGCCAATGTTCGGCGGCGCGACAACGAACACGACGACCGGCTCGCTCTTCTCGACGCCTTCCGCGACGGCGACAAGCTCGACCGGTCTTTTCGGCGGCTCGACATCTGGAGGCAGCTCTTCGCTTTTCACCAAACGTCAGTTGCTTATATATATCCAAAAATACAAGTTGTTTTAGGTTCAGCCAGCACGGGACTCTTTGGCACGCCAGCGACCACTACTGCTCCCACTGGCACTGGACTTTTCGGCGGATCAAGTAAGGCTGTTTTTGAATTCGAATTTTTTCAGAAATAGTCAGTTGGTATTATAAAGGTTGATTAGGATTCAGTGAGTAGTTGATTCCATTAAAAACCGGTAGATAGAAGAATTGAGAGGAGAAATTAAAAAATTTAATGTCAACTCAAGTTTTCTTGCTGAAAATTTTTAATAATAAAAGAGGATATGAAATACTGGAGTTTTTCCTAATATTCGATGATCTACAAAATGACTTTTATAAATCCAACTAAAAACAGGCATAGAAAGATGAAGAAATAGAAATATAACGGGCTATGAGATATGCCTTCCATAGTATTATATCGCTCGAAAGATCGACGGGAGCTTTATAAATTTAAAAAAAAACCATTAAAAAAAACATTATGATAATATAAACTGGATGGAAAAATTGTGAGAGACGATTAGGGTCACAAAAAATTATAGGGTGACGAATTTTTCAACAAAGGAAGATCAACGGACTTTTATTCTATTGTAAGCATTTTGGTCAATGAAAATGGAAGATCAACAGTTTGGCGCGCGCCAAAATTTGATCTCTGTACAGTCATCATCGCCCCATCCACCAAGAAAAAGTGTCTTTCACAAGTCCTCCGCTCCCAGATGCGTCCTTCGAGTGAGAAGAAACCAGAAGATGAATTGCTACCCCATCATCTCGCTCGTCGAGATGCCACCGTCGACCCAAGACTTCTGGAAGTGGCCAAGATCCTGCAGCCGCTGTCATTGCCCATCGTCGTTCCGGAGTTTGGGAAGCCCACGACGAGTCAGGCTCCTGGAGGAGGACCACACAATACTCCGGCAGTCAGTCCTTTAAAATCCTCGAAGCCTGCCCTCGAAAGGCCTGGATCTCTGACAACTCCAGCACTGGAAAGACCTGCAACCCTGCCTCCTGCAAAGTCGCTCATCAGGCCTTTAGTGAGCATTACCGCTGGAACGCCGGTAGAACCATCAGCTTCTTCAACACCCACAGTAAAGCCTCCCGGGTTTTTGGAACCAGCTACGCCGACAAAACGGGCATATTCGCCTCCGAAGCCCCCTTTGAAGTCGACCAAAGGACAATCGCCTGTCAAACAGTCGCCATTTGCAATTCTGTCCCAGTTGCCTTTTAATTGTAATTCGACAACCAGAGGTTCAGATTTAGATTTTATCCCTTTGTTTTAGTAGCTTTTTGAGTGTAGACTGATATTGGTTTTGAACGGATGGTTTGGGTTGAGGATCGATAATCTTTCTTACATTCAAACAGCTCTCCAGGTTTGGAAAATATTGAGAAAAAAAATAATCGAGGGGGCGGAAGGGATACTCTAAATTTTTCTTTGTAAGAAAAAATTCACATTTGATTAACAAATTGAAGGCTAAATTAACCGTTTGCTCAAATTGCAGCGTTTGGCTCGACGAACACCGGCACGGGACTTTTCTCGAAGCCGGCGACGACCACGGGAGCTGGAGGACTTTTTGGAGGAGCTCAGCAGCAACCAGCTCAGCCTTCACAGGAACAAGTCGCTATGGTAAGGTTTTTTTTGGGGAAGTTTTGTCTAGTAGCAATTTTTCAAGTTTTGAAAAACTGTTGTTCATTCCAAATTAATTTTAAAGGATATATATTTTCTTACAAAATCTTTTTATCTAGTTTTTTTTTCCCCATTTGTCTTTTTCACTTCATTTTTGTTTTCAGAATGCGCATCCTATCGTTAAAGCTGTGGGAAATCCGAACATTACGGGTAACGAGAAGGATAAAGTCTACGCGGAATTGAACCAGGTTTTTCTTGAGTTTTTTTTTAAATGGTTTTTTCTTATTCAATGCGTTATAACAGTAAGAAGGGTGAGAAGTTAATGTAAAAATCAATGTTGTGGTTAAGGTTTTTTTAAATTCATGATTTCATTTTTGAGAATTAAAAAAAAGTGATCGGTACACCATTTTTATTCACGATTTTTGTTCAGATTGCTGCTGCGGCGGCCGTTGGAAATGCGGTTTACCGTGACAACGGACAAATCCAAACCTACAACATGGAAAATAATCCTTTTGCGAAGTTTGTGGTAAGTTTTGATTTGTTTTTGAAGGTAGAAGTCTGTTTTAGCGCTTTTTAAAATGTGTTCTTTCGGTTGGTTTCGCAGTCCCAAACGTTTTTAGAATCTCGTCAATATTTTTAATGATTTTTTTCTTCAAATGTATAATTTTAAAATTTTCATTTTTTTTTATCGAACATAAATTTTTGAAATATTTTGATGGGTTTTTCTTTAGGGAATCGGATACACGCGTCTATCGACGAACAAAGACGAGGACGGCGTCGTTTCCCTGATCGTCAAATGCGACATTAACGAGTACATTCATCGATATCGTTCCCGGATCACTCGTATGATTATTTCAGAATCGCGTCCGCGGAACAACGGCAGAAACTTTTGGATATTATAAACTCCCAAATTTTCCAAAACAACGCCAACGTGAGGACTTTGTATGCGCCGGACACTGTGTTCAAACGCACTTCAGATGGTCATACGGAGGTTGGAAATAGAGATAATTGCTTTTTTTTTGTGTGTTAAACATTACTCATTTTTTGGTTGAACAAAACTTGGTTGAACAATTTTCAAAAGGTTTTGATATTGTAACATTTTTGTGCTCTTAAATTTTTTCTTAGTTCCCTGTGATCTTTTTCGAGAAAAAAAATCCTGTACGTTTTGAATAATAAAAAATTTCAAACTCTTGTGAATCACCATTCTAACAATTAATTTTGTTTCAGGTACAAATAATCGTAAAAGAGTTGGGACTGAAAGTTCCGGCTCTGAAATTGTCGCAATACCTGAACAATCCACAACAGGCGCAGCTGCTCGAAACACATCTCCGGGTTTGAAAATCACTGGTTTTTCAGTTTAAATTACAATTTCAGGTCGATAAGACGAAAATAACGCCGAGGGTGGGCTTCAGCCACGCGCAGTTGGCTCAATATTTGGAAACCCCTCCGCCTGGTTAGTTTTATTTTCTTGGAAAAAATGAAAATAAACTTTTTGATTTTAGTCCCCTATTTTCTGAATTATTCGATTGTTTTCAAAAACAATTTTTCAAGGAATCGACGAGAATTTGTGGCGTCAGGCGGCGCGCGAGAGTCCCGATCCGACGAAATTGGTTCCTGTGGTGATCCGAGGATTCCGGGAACTCGCCGAACGACAGAAAGCTCAAATCGAAGAGTTCAGAATCCAGAAAGGCGCCATGGAGAACTTGGTCTCAGAGATTGAGAAGTTGGAGGTGACTCGGATAATTTCTCGCCTCAAAACAAGGAACATTTCAGACAAGACATTCGGAAATCCGCGACTTGATGTACCACGCGAATTTGAAGCACAAGCAAGTCAGCTATCGGCTCCTGAGGTAGGTTTTCAGAAGCCCAAGAATCTTTCCAAGCTAGTTTCAAAACACTTGCAGGGATTCGTTTCTGATGAAAAATTATTTATCGTGCTAAGCTTGAAACGTTTTAGGGTCGTGCTCTGGCAGTGGATCCACAAGAGAGCCGGTCGACCTCTCGATATGGATGAAGATCAGATTGACGCCAGGATCGACACTCTTTTCGCCAAATTGACCCGCCCAGGACAAGTTAATGTGAGCATCGTTGAAGCTTTGCTTTTTATGACAAAAATCAGTCCCGGGTTAACTGTTAAGATTTTTTTGTAATGACCGTTCTTATCATTTCGATTATTTGAAAACAGGTTTAGCTTCCTTATTATTTTTTCCTTGTGAGACAATAAAAAGCGCAGAAGAGTTGCATGGACAAAAAAAAAATTTCTCGCAATAGTTTTTCTTTTCGAGTTATAGAGCTTCAAAGTCTGCAAAATAAGCAAATTATGACAAAGAAGCGCTAATTCGAGCTTTTGAAGCGTCCTATCTCGAAAACGAGTTCTATTGCGAGAAATTTTTTTTTTGTTGCTGCAATGAGAACGTCCTAAAATACATTTCAGCGAAGTTCCGTCAAAAGTTTAACCGGGGTTAAAAATGTTCCCTATTTAGACTATAATAACCATTTAGGGTGTCTAAAAAGTATGATTTTCATAAACCTTCACGAACTTTGCAGGCCTGGATCGACTACTTCCGAAAAGTGATGGAAAAACGGCAAGATCGACTTCAACTGGGCGCCCAGACGCTGTACACCATGTCCAAGGAAGACGAGGAATACGCGCGAAAGTTCCTGACGGAAATCCTGAGGCTCTACGAACAAATGGTCAGCAACCAGCAGAAACAGCGCGCCGACCTCGAACAGATCGACCGAACATTGAATGGCCCATAAATTCTTGTTTTCCCTGTTTTTTTCTTGTTTTTCTTGTTACTTGACATGTTTCAATATAATAACAACCTCTTGGAGTTTTTGAGAGATTTATCCAATTTTTTTTCCTCATTATCTCAAGTTATTAACAGTTTCCATTCCTACGGGCCTTTCTTCATCCATCTCAAGCTTCCCCTTAATGTAAACTTGTTTTGATCTATTTTGGCCTTTATGTGCGTATTTTACAACTTTTTCTCATTATTTGTAATGTTTTAACTGACGTTATGTGTGAAAATAAATTTATTGAATTTTATTTTTTGATTCAAGCGTTCCGGTGTTTCTTTCTACAGACAATACTTAAGATAATTTAAAAAAATAGTAATCAATTTTTTTGGGTAAAATTTTTCATATATTCATTTCTAATCTCAAATAAAAAAAGTATATTAAGTAAATAATTTTTTTGGATGCATGCGTTTGGCCGTCGCTGTGATTATGCACAACTGGCGTCGCACCTGACGACTTTATTTATTTATTTATTTATAAAAAAACGTTTTTTTAACCTCTAAATTGTTTTCTATATTGCAAGGGGCCTATTTTTTTCTTATAATGCTGAGTTTTTTTAAACTTTTTCTGTTTAAACGATTCATAGTTCTATACTTTTCAGTGATAAGAATTGAATATATTTTTTCAGTTCAGATTCAGTTTCATGTTCAGTTTTCAATGGGAGTTCAACTTCAATGATTTTCAAAAACGAATTTGAGGATGAATGACACGGAAGATGAGCGCCGAGAAAGATCTGAAGCGGCGCGAAAGGCCGCCATGCGGGAAAGAATTGAGCGACAGAAACAACAGAACCGCATCATTTCCAGCGACATCCAAGCTATCGACACGAAGAAGTCGAAGAAAATCATGTTTGACGACAGTGATAGCGAGGTTCGGCGAATAACTTTTTTAAAGTGCTTTTGGCTAATTTTTTTAAACCAATTTTTAACTGGAAAATACATGTTACTAGTTTTCTTTCATTTTTTAGGTGTCTTTCTTATTCACATATTGTTTAATAAGATATTCAGAATTTTATAAATTTAAGTGTATTTGACTGGGCTTAAAACTTTATTTGAACAAGTATTTCGCTTGAGGAAGAAACTTCTACCAGTAAGAAAACCAGCGATGGTCTGAAGTTGTTCGAAGACAGCGATGAAGACGGGGAGCAAGAACTCAAAATTAGCAATAGGCATACCGGTCCCAAAGGTTTTCTATTTTACAATTTGGAGAAGCAATTTTCATTTTGGAAGTTAAGGAGAGAAACTGATGCAAATCGAGGCCAGGTTCAACAACGATCCCCGTTTCAAACTTGACGATAAATTTGTGGAAAGTGATTCAGACTCAGAAGATGTCGATCCCGAGGTTCGTTCCTCAAGAACTTTTATAGTTCATTCAAAAATGTTCATTTTTTTTTTCTTTTAGAAAGAAGAGATCCAGCAGGAAAAGACGAAAAACAAGGAGCTTCTGTCTAAAGTGCTCGGAAAGCATCTGAAAGAAGAAAAGAAGGAAACGAAGCTCTTTCGGCCGTTTACGAGGTGCAATTATCCATATTCGGTTTATAGACATCTTTAAAAAATCTGCAGGTATGACCCGGACAATGAGGAGCACGTGAGGTGGATGCAGCAGTTCCAGAAGCGAAACGAAGACAAAGAGAAGGTGAAAGACGCAGAGAAGAAGTCTGAAGAGAAGGACAGCAGCGAAGAGAGCGACGACGAAGAAGGAGAGGACGACGAGGAGAAGCCGTCGACGTCATCGGCGGCTCCCGTCGAAATCGCCTATGAACTCGACGCGTCCTTCGCCAAGGAACTCAAGGCCAAGGAGCAGGGCCAAGACGTCGGCGACAGCTCGTTCTCCTTCCTGGAGATGATGGGCCGAAAGTCTTCTGCTGAGCAAGATCGCAAGCCGCCCTCATTTGTAGCGCTCAAACCTATTCCGCCGGCTCAGCCTCAGCCCAAAAAAGGCACAAAAGCCTTACCCCTATCCCATGGCGCCGCGTCGAAGTTCTTCCTCGACGCCCAAGATCAGCAGGTCCGCAGCATGGCCGCCAACTTCAGAAGGACCCAGGATATTCAGAAAATTATCAATAACTGGACGACTTACAGAGATTCTATTATGAAGGTATGTTTTTTTTTAATGTCGGAAAAGAAAAGCTTCAGTTTTTTTCAACCTTTTATAACTTTATTATTTGATGGTACGACAAAATCTCAAGTCCGCAAATCTCGAGGACCGTAATCTTGTGTACGCAGATCTAAAGTCCCATAATCTTGGAAACCAAAATCTTGGAGACCAAAATCTTGGAAACCACAATCTTGGAAAGCAAAAATCTTCCTTTTTAGTCTTCTTTATTGCACTTTATCTACTTATATTCTCTCGTTTGGATCACCGAATACAATTTCTGATAAAAATCTATTCGCAAAAAGCGTTGATTTTTTTACTTTCCAAGATTGTGGTTTCCAAGATTTTTGGTCTCCAAGATTTTGGTTTCCAAGATTATGGGACTTTAGATCTGCGTACACAAGATTACGGTCCTCGAGATTTGCGGACTTGAGATTTTGTCGTACCATCTATTATTTCATTAATTTCACATCCGAAGAGCATTTTTATGGGGATAGTAAATTTTATAAAGCTTTTCCTTTAGCGCAACACATTTTTTGTTTACGTTGTGAAATTGATAGTCCTTTTTTTCTTAGAAAAATCAAATTTTTCACGAAAAAAACTCGCTTCAACCTGCTTCAATCAAAAATTTATAACAGTTTGTTTGAAGTTTTTTTATGTAATCAATTTCTTCTTTGCAGATTTGGCAAAAGCAACGTCGTGTAGCCATGAAAAAAGAGATTCACGACCCTTTTCTATCACGGCAGCGGATACGAAAACGCAAAATGCCGACAGAATCAGAGAAATAGTACTTTTTTCTAATTCTCACCCAGTTGTTATCGCGTGGTTTATCCCACCGTTCTTTGTTGGTAATTTTCCCACAGCGTTGTTGTTTTTGTTACATCTTTTTTTTCGTGAGAATGTGAATTTTCTATATAAATTTTTTTTTATTAGTTCCTTTTTTGTTTTCCTCGGATAAGGTTTTTGTATCCTCAATGACTTCTTTTTCTCTCATTTTTCACTAACTTCTTCTTAGATTGGAATTCAGTTCCGAACATTTCGCAGCCTAAAAATGTCCTTCATCGATTCGATGCTCAATTCCCAGAAGAAAGTGGGAGAATTCTACGATCTCCTGGGTTGCGATCGATCTTCCACGGTATGTGCTGACCCCTGATCTTTATCGAAAATCGTGAATGTTTCAATCGCTTATGCAACATTATTCTACTTTTCAAGTCCTATTCTAGATTAAACTTAATATCGAAATTCAGGAAAAAAAATCTTGATAGAATCTCATCATTCTCAGGCCGAACAAATCCAAGCAGAGTATCGATCGAGGGTTCGCGCATTCCATCCGGATAAATTTCCAGAAGAGGAGCGGGAACACGCCAACGCAATGTTCTCAGCCTTGCAGGTAAAATGAAGAATTTCACTGAAAAGAAAGCTCACGATTTGAGAACGCCTATGCAGTTCTCTGTGACGATGGGCAACGGAAAGTGTACGACTTGTGGTTGGAATCTCCGCTTCCCATGACCTTCGAAAAGTTCTCACGAAATGCAGATGCTGTCAAAATGGTATTCATCAAAACTTGATCTAGTATCTGTAAAAACGTCAATGTTTTCAAGTTTTCTTATCTGTTCAAACTTGTCCTTTTTAACTTGAGAAATTTCTTAGACGTAGTGTCAGGAAAAGTTTACTCCGATTCCAACTAATTTACTTTGAAAACCGATAAATTTGTCGATTTAGCATGTATCTAGCTTTTCCAGTCTCTTGCCACAATTTAGTTCCAAAAAATCGTTTTAAATTTCATAAGTCTCATTTTTTTTCCAATTGCGCAAACTCTTCATTAATTTTTATTCTTGAAATTACAATTTCATCTATTACGCTCTGGTTGCTTGTAGAATGGCTCAACGCGTGGCAGCTCAAATGAGAATTTCCAGTATTTTAGTTCTTTTCCCCCTTTTTTCAACACGTCAATTGCGAAAGCGCGCAACCAGTTTCGTGGTCACAGCAGCGCTGAGCCATTCCCCATGCGACCTTCATGTTTCAAGCGACTATCACTGAGAGAATGATTGCAGTCGATGCATTGGGTGACGCCGAAACAGCAGCCGATGATTTCCCTATCCGAATTAAACTCCTCGAAGACGTCGCAGCCGTCGTCAGACCGATGGACCGACGGGAAACGCTACCAATCCGACAGCGTCTCCAAATTCAGAAACTATCAGTTGTAGCCTGAAAAGCAGAAGATCAACCTGTCGAGCCCAAATATCAGTCCGCTAGAGCTTTTTTCATTATTTGTAAATTCTTCACATTACCACGGATCAAAGTTCGAGACAAAATATGTAGTGTGAAAGTTGTTATACGTGTAGTTATGTTTTACTCATGCTTTTTTTAAAACTTATATATCCTTTTTTGTAAATAGCTTGATTCAAGTTAGTTTATTGATACTCACAAAAAAACATTCCTTGTCTAATGATTCCTGTAAAAAATATGAATAAATTTTTTTCAAAAGTAATTTTTTTCATTTTCTTTGGTAAGGCCAATTAATATATCTACAATCGTGATCGATAATTTCTTTTTTAACTTTTCTTTTTTTCTCAGGCGACTGGTACGGCCACGTTCGTATGAACGGTAAGACCTTTTTTACTTCAAGAATTCAGTTTAAAAAAATTTAATTTTCATCTCATTTACGACTGAAACTTGTTTTATCATTTCTGTAAATTTTTATCACTGCATTAAAAAAAATTAGATTTTAAACTTTGAATATTCTTCGAACATGGAAGATTCAACGCTTTTTTCTCTGAAATTCATAGAATATTGTCTGCTTTATACCGATCGAGTAATCATGGAATTTTTCGATTTCCCAGATTGATTTTTCTTTATCAATTTTACAGCCAGGAGGAATCTTTTCACAAGGCTGATTCATGAAATTACTGATTTCAGCTTACTCTTTCGACGGATTAGTCGTGGTTGCTTTGCTGTTGATCTGCTCCTGCGCCTACCTCAAACGCGTGCCTCGGTTCAACTCCTGGCTGTTGTCGGAGAAGAAAGGATTCTTCGGCGTTTTTTATAAAGTAATTTTTTACGATTTTTTGTGGTTTACAGGTGTGCATTTAGTTTTTCGAATTATGTTTTTTTCGGTTGAAAATCAATTCGCGATAAAAAAATATCAATAATAAGAACGCGAGATGATTTCATAAAAAAAATCGAGAAAAAAATGATTATAAATTTATATATAGTTGTGAAAACATCCCAAATAGGTTGAGATGTTGATTTTAAAAAAAATGGAACCCTGTCTAAAAAATCTTTCGTAATTTGAAAATACAGGGCGCAAATATTTGCGTATATTCAAAAAAATAAAATGATGATAACTGTTTCGGCTTCTCACCTTCAAAAAACTTTATTTTTGGAAATAAAATTGCGAATTCAATATTTTTTGTGGAAGTATTATTGTTTTCCAGGCCGCTGTGATCGGAGTTCGTCTTCACTCGGCCGTCGCTCTTTCTTGCTTTGCCGCCGCCTTTTACACGCTCTTCATCCGTTAAAATGGTTCAGCACAAGATGAAGCAGAAGGTTTGATTTCGAGAAGCTTCGCGCAACGTTTAATAAGCTGATTTTCAATAGGTGGTTTTGGAACTGAACTGAAAATATATACCCATTAATTGATTAATATATACAGGAATTTTGAGTTTTTTTTTCTTCTGAAATTTCACGAATCTTTTTAAAATTTCTTAATTTTGAACTTTTTGAGGGGTTCTGAAACAGATTTCTCAACTGTTTTTTATTTAGACAACTTTGCCGAAGGGCGTCAAGACCAAAGTGAAAAAAGCCAAGGCGACAGGACCTAAACGTGGTCAATTCCTTCACATCGCACCAAAGAAGAAGCACGTCATTGAATCGGTTGGTTTCATTTCATTTTCCAAGTATCAAATTTGAGAAAAACCTGATTTTTCAAATAAAACAGCCCTTTTACTTATTTGGGAATGGTCATCATGTTCTGACATAATTTTCACAGTTTTCACATGTTTTGGAGTACAATGTTGTAACATATTTTTGCAGGAAAAAGTGGCCGCCGAGGTGACGCGAATCATCAACGAGAAGAACGAAGAGATGGTCAAAGGCCGTGCCGACACCGCCGTCGGCCGCAACCAGCCCCAGAAATCCAAATAACTTCCAGCTTCTTCATTCCTTCCTCTTCTTCACTTTTGGTATTTTCTGTCCTTTTTTCCGACGTGGTGTGTGTTAAATTGTTGAATTTACTTATTAGAAAGATGTCTTTCTGTTTCTACTCGCATCTAAGCAGTTGAAACTCGTGGAACAGAAGAACAGAATATAGCGTCGCTACTTTGATTTCGCTGGCTTGAAAATACCTCTTAGACGAAATCAGATCACCGGTTTCCAGTTTTAAAAAAAGGAAGCCGAAATTCGTTCACTTTTTTTGAACAATTTCTTGTTCTCTCCTGAGAATCTGAAAATTTTAATTTTAAAGAGTTAGAAAAAAATATCCCGAATAGCAAAACCAGGCTTCCCTTCTGTGCTACAGGAAAATGGAAAATAGTAAATTAATTCATTTTTCATTGATACTGATATTAAAATGTGTCAAGTGAATCTTCACAGAGAACAGGATACAGGAAATGTGTATCACAATCGGAACGTATGTATTAATTTTTGCTAACGTAAAGCAAATATTGGTACAAGAAACAATTAGAATGCTAGCAATCGAAATGTGAAAATGAGATAAAGTATTTCAAATATATATATATATGAGACCCTCAATTTTGTTGCAATCAGGATAAAGAAAAAAAAAGATATTAAGTAGTGTCATGGAACGTTTTTTTGATAAGGGGATTGGAATTGGAAATATTTGAGCAATTTAAAAGAATTATTCAAGGCAATTTGTTGCGGAGGACGGTGAGTTTGACGACGACGTGCTGCTTGATCAGTTTGATCGCCTCGTCGTGGCTCATTCCCGTCGTGTCGTTTCCGTTTATCGTGATCAATTGATCGCCAACCTGCAAAATTGATCTTTTTCTGAAAGATTTTTGAATGAACATTTATTTTTTCGTCAAAAAAGGCTATGGCTTTGAATAGAAATGTGATAATTTCAATCTGCTACATTTTTCATTTCTGACTTCGACGCACTCACTAGACACGCTAGATACTGCTTCATCATATCACGCTCTTCATAATTAAAATTAACGCAAAAATTGGAAAAAAAAAGCTATTTTTCAACTTCTTTCCGAAATATCAAAAGGGATGGAGAGCTCCTCTGATGAACGACACCAATGCATCTAACGAGTTTAGCCTCAATATTTATCATTTCTGAGGACGGATCATCATTATTATACTCTCTCCGGACCTGCAACCGTCCATCGAGCTTGGCCGGTCCGTCGTCGGCGATTCTCAGCACAAAAAGCGGCATCGCGCCAAACTCCTGTCCACCGCGTATCGAAAAGCCAAATCCGCGTGTGCCGCGCTCCAAAGAAACGTCGATCAGCACGCCGTTCTGCAAAAAATACAGAGTTTGAGTGAATACTACTAGAAACGTCCATGAAAGTTTAGCCCAGGGAGTACAAAATGGAAATTTCAAGATGTTGAACGTCACAAGGAGGACACTGTGATCAGCAATTGAAAGTTCTTTGAAAATTGTCCAGGATACTTCTTGATGCACTCGCCGAGAGTTTGAAGTTCGTTTATTAGTCAAATTGGCGTATTGAGACCTACCTACCTTTCTCAAAAACGAAAAAAAAAACAAATAGTATTGCATTTCAAAGCTTAAATTATTATCTTTCAATGCACTTTTTCTTTTCTATAAGAAATAAAGTTCTGGGTACATTTTTTATGGACCTGACAGGAAGAATAGAAAGAAAAATATGAGAAGCAGGCATGCTGTGACGGACGACAGTTAGGCACGAACACATGCGACGGACACAAACCGAGTTGAGGACGTCCTCGAGAGTCCATCAATGTCGGCGCCGTCGGTGTAGGTGTCGAACACGGAAGCTTCTCGCATCATCCGAAGTAAAGACTCGCAGCTCGACGGCCTCCGCTCCCATTTCTGTTCAATTCACCCGGTGCTCGACAAAAACGTTACAAATACAAAACAGAAAACAAAAAAAGCGTCGGGACAAGTGACTAACAAAGAACAAGTAACTGAAAAAGAAGCTTCGAGACAATCAGCAGCAGGAAAGCTCAGAAAGTGCGCTGTGCCATTGCTCAAGTGGATCCCTTTTTTCAGATCTTTGAAGATTCGTTGAAATAGATGACCGAATAAAAATTAATAATGATTTTTCGAAAAAAAATAAATTTTCTCCCTGAAACTTAAATGAAAAAAGTAAATTCTAAATTTTCAAAGTCACAAAGTTTTGAAAAATAAAAATCACTATCTTCATTGAGAGAAAGTTGCTCTTCAAAATCTTTCTAATCATTGGAAAAGCTTCCTTCTTAGCCAAAAGAAGCGGGAAAATTTTTCTGAATGGAACACAATGAGCATACAAATCAAACTCTTTTTTGAAAAAGATTTGTGTTTTAAAAGAACTATCCAACTTTGAGCAGCGCTTCCAAAGCTTCGTTTTCAGTAAATCCAAGAACAGAGACAATAAAATACACGTAAAAAAGGGGAACCGGCCTACCAACCTGACTGCTTTGTTTGTCGGAGACGCCGAGACCTTCCATGTCGAGGTTGGTCAGACGTTCATAAGGCATGTAGGTAGAACGGGAAGCCACCGTAGTGTTCAGAGTACTGTAGCTGTTGAGGTTGAGGTTCGGCGGCGGGGGCGGGACCACACCGTAATCCCTCTTCAAGGAACAACAGTGAATGGTTAGTTTCCTTGGAAGGAGATTTACCGAGTCATAGCCGTTGCTATTGGAGTACTGTGGAAGAGGGTTCGTGCGGCCGAGCGTCGATGACGAAGAGTTATCCGGGGCGCCGATGGTGAGCCTAACCGACAATCCGGAGTCCTGAAATTCGGAATCTAAACTGTGAAAAAAGTACAGGTTTTTTCAAAAATGAACAAGTTTTTTTTTTCGAAGCCAGTTTTTGTTGTGAATGAGAGATGAAAAAAAATCATGCACAGATCAGTTGAAATAAATCCTACATGAAATAGGTTGATCAGAATAGAAAAAAATTAAATACTCATTTTAATATTCAAATAACCTATATTACACACGGAGCGCAGAAATTGATCATGTTCGTTTTAATTTATTTCCTCTTTTCAACATGGTAAATTGATCAAGCTTCGTGTTTTATCACACAGAAATTCTCTGTGTCTCGACTTAAAAATTTGCAAATCTTACTTTGATCAACAAGATGATTTCAGAATGGCTCAAGTTGAGAATGTCGATTCCATTGACAGCGACGACGCGATCGCCGACGTTCAACTGGCCGCATCTGGCGGCAGGAGAACCAGGCTGGATGTGACCTGAAAATCGGAATCAGTTGGTGCGAGAAAGGCGGAATAACCAATGGTTGAGCCGTTTTTGCGTTGAGTGGCCATCAGGACAAAGCCGAATCCGTCCTGTTGGGCTCGATCGAGTACCACCTCGTATTGACCTTTTCGTTCTATTGTCGGAAGGGAAGTTCTGTGAGGAATGAGAGGTCTTTTTGAAACTATCCAAAGTTTTCAGCTTTATTAACTATCAGATTTTGGAAAAGAGTTTTTCATGATTCACCGAATTTTATTGGCGAATAGAATTGCTAACATTATATCTCGGAATTTTCTCCTTCTTACTGATTTCTATTGCTTTATGAACCCAGCGAGGATTGCTCTAAACCTTCTGAACTCGTTCCTCGGCCTTCGGACGATCATCTTGACGTGTTTGTTGTGGGCGGCGGTCTCCAGAAGAGCGACGGCCTCGGCGTGAGACGCGCCTTCCACTCGCTTCCCGTCGATCTCCAATATCTGAACAATCCTCCCTCAGAGATCAAACTCGGATCTTAAGGTACCTCATCGCCTTCACGCAATCTTCCGTCTTCCTCCGCCGCACCACCAGCCACAATTTGTCCCACCGACAACGGCGTATTCGACTGCAACTACATCAAAGTTATTCAAAGAGAACAATGTCGCTCTATGGAGAAACCTCAGTGCCGCCGAGCAACCGAAAGCCGAACCCAACCGGCTTTCTAATCAACGAAACTGTGATCAGATCAGAAGGCCTGGAAAGAGGTAAAATACATAATTGATTGAGAATTATTTATCTACTTTTCTCTAAACGTGCTGATGGGAATGTAGTTTGGTGTGGCGAAACCGAGGGTGGTGGAAGAAGGACGCATCCTCGTCGGCACCTCCCAAGTGTCATTGACAGCCGGTTGCTGGAAAACAGACATCGGTTTTGATTTCCAATTTGGCGCCAACCCTTTGCAGGACATTCCTCGCCTGGCCATCTTGCGACTCGTAATTGCTGATTCCGCTTCGGCTAATCGTCCCGAAGTCGTTACTCGTCTTCTGAGTCGGAGCAGGCGTCTTGGACCTCGTCGTCGTCGCAGAGCCGTTCATTGCCGGCGTCGTTCTGTCGCCTTCGCCGTATCGGAACGCGGCCGTCGGTGTTCTTGATCTTAAAAAAAAAATAAAGACTGTTTATACCGAATTTAGAGAGTAAACAGTTCTGGTCGAACAAGTGAAAACCTGGGCCAAAGGCAAAAAAAATTTTTTTGTAAGACAGATACTGAAGTCGTCTTTTTTTATGTTAAAGTTTTTAATTTAAAAATTCGAAAAGTAAAAAAATCCAAAAAAATGAAAAAAATTAGACATTTTTTTCGTTTTTTTCAGTCCAAATGCTACACAGAAACTTCCGCTTTATAAATTTCCTTTGAATGTTGTGAAATATTTTTCTTGAACTCGTCGTAACAACGTTTCATTCTTCGAGAGTTTTTAACGCTTCGAAATTAAAAATTATTCTGAACATATCTGACACTAAATGAGGTGGTCTTACGCCTTCAAAGTTCGATAAATAATACTACTCGTCCTTATTCTTTGGCGAAAATTTCATGAAGCTACGTTGCCACGTTCTTGCTGCACCTGACCTTTTTGAACAACATTCTTCTTCATATTCAAAATGAAACTACTAATCACTTTCTCGAACCTGTCCTGAATTTACGCCTTCGCCATACCCACCTGCTCTTGGGCGAGCCTCTCCTCACGACGAGCCGTCCTCTGTAGCCGACAGGACACTCCCTGAGGATGTCTACGAGTTGCGTGTGCGGAACGGCGCGGACGTTCCTTCCGTCGAGCTCGACGATCGTGTCGCCTTCCATCAGATTCGGACATTGCGACGGGTACAGAATCTTTTTGACTCTTTGGCCCTGCAACGCAAAACTTAATCATCAGATTCTATCCCATTATTACGTTATTGGAACTTATGAAAACAAAATATGTTTTGAGACTTATTGGAAACATATTTTTCCCAAGTTTTAACTCCAAATTTGGTTCGATTCAAATAAGAAACACCTCGTTCAGAGCAAATGCGGCAGTCTAAGTGAAAAGGAAGAATCTAAATTAATGAAAATGCTGAAATCGTTTTAAGATTAGATGCAAAAAAATCTAAAATTTAGCTGAAAAATCATGATTTTTTCACTGTCCCTCCTTTTGCCCTTTTTCTTTTCTGGACTGGAATTTCGAAGTTCGTTGGTTATGATTAATCTTTGGTTATATCCTTCTACTGTGAATTAATAAGAGCTAGTAAATCATTTTTTTTCTCACATTAACGCTGTCGGCGATGGTGAAACCGAAGCCCTCGGATCCCTTGAAAATGTCGATGTCATGGAGGTCACGACTCCGATTTGATGTCGACGAATAGACATTCTCTGTCACTATCTGAACTTTTCCGGTAACCAAGTTGATTGGACGAAAGAGAAAACCCTATTCGATGGGTCGATGAACAACTCGTAGCCACGGCAAATTTGGATATCGACAGGGTCGCCGACAGGAATCGCGACGAAAACGTCGCAGGCCTCTTTCTGCTTCGCGCCGAGCAACAGAGCGCCGTTGACTCGCACCAGGATGTCGCCGCTTCGGAGAATGCCGTTCGCTGCCGCCGGACCGCCAGTCAGAACCGACTTCACCTGAAAAAGGTGATTTTGAACCGAGAAAAACTTTTTTTTTGCATTGAATTAAAACTTTCGTAACTTTAAAAGGAAAAAGCTGTTACATTCAAACGGAATCTTTTTCAATTTCAAGTTTCCACGATTTTTTTGAAGTGACTCTTATTGGATTGAAGGACTGATTATATGAAACATCAAAAAGTAACAGTGATCAAAATGGCGATATTCCATATTGATTCATCTGTATGTATATTAAAAAAGGAACAACATAATCATAACAAACTAGGAAAAGTAATGAAATCCAACCGTATAAAAATCGGGGACCTAATCGATTAGTTCACTATTGGCAGTTTCGAACAACTAACAAGTCTAACTTCGGCGTTTTTTTAATTCTTTTCTCTTTCAGATTAGGAATAGTGATTTTGTGAAGTCGAAAAACATTACAGTCTGGTCGGAGGTCACAGAAAAACAACGGAACACTCAAACTGAGACACATGGGCACTAAATTTCTAGGATATATATTTTTTTAAACTAGAAATTTAGCATTGAAACATGTTTATAATGTATTAACCTAAGACTGAAAAAGATTTTTCGTATCATTTATTTTTCATGATCTCTCTGAACATTAAAAGTGTATCTTTCAGTCCTTTCAAAGTTTTTCCAATGAAAAGCTGCATTTGGAAAGAGTCGACGACAAATTGAGATCATTCAAAAATGCCAACAAAGCGGAATGCCACCGGATGTTCGGGGCTGGCTCGCCTCTCGCCCAAACAACTTCACGGAGAGGAAATTCATTAAAAAAAAATGTTTGTTTAGAAATCGAAAATATTTTTAAAGAAATCACAACATCAGGCATGTAAAAAACTCAGTTGGAAAAAGAAGGGAAAAAATTGGGAAAAGCAGTTCGGCGTAATTATTTTGGATGTATTTGGGAAAACCATAATGAATGAAATAGAACGAGCCTGGATGAACTCGTCGCCTTTGCTGGAGGCGTCGTTGCCGATCAAGGTGAAGCCGAGGCCCTTGGGTCCTTTGATGATTCTCGTCGAGATGAGCTCTCCTCCCAGTCGCGACGGATCCGTCGTGAACATGGGGTTTGAGCCGCGCGACTTCATCGGCGCCATGTTCGCGTTGCCGCCGCCGTTCGTCAGAGTGTTGCCAAAACGGCGTGAATATCGCGTCGGCGACGAGTCGAAGCCGGAGTCTCGCGGCGACGATTTCAGCGTCGTCAGCTAAAAAACTAATCAAACTGAGCAGAAGAAAAGCAGCAGAGATACCAACTCTAAATTTAAAAAAAAAAGAAGTTTTCTTCTGAAAAAATGTCACAAAACTCATTCGAATATTTTGGATGAGCCCACCTCATTATAAGAGTTGTGATTGAAGGAGTAGGAGTTGGTGGTGGTGGGCAGGGTGTCGTAGCGGCTGCTCATCGCGGCAGAAGACATCGTCGTCATCGGCCGGTCGTACTGCGTTTTCTTGTTCACGTGACTGCAAAAAACAATTCCTCTTTTGTTTCTTTTCAATTTATTTTTCCTGCCCAAGCAGTTCTCCATTACAAACTTGACCACTCGTAGTAAGAAACCTTAGTGATAAGAATCACGTTCTCAGGTGATACGCACGATTTTCAAAGTTATCATTATCAGAATGACAGTGAGAATTCTTTCACACTTCCTCCACAAAAAGTTCTTGAACCGGTTAAAAAAGTTCTATTTTGATAATCTTCATACAACTTTGATGAAACTTTTATTGGATAATTCGAACTGTCGTGAAACTTCATTACTTTCAAATAAAGACTTCCAATTTCTCAACACAAATGCGGCAAATGATTTTTGCAAAATTCGATTATTTGTTGAAAACCATGGGAAACTGCAACTCCTCGAACGCCAGAAATCCTATTAGGGCGGGAATCAAAGTGCAAAAAATAAAATGAAAAAACTTCTCAGCCGACGCAGCAGACGCGTGGGAAAAATGCGTTCGAAACTTGTGAGGAATTTAATTGTTGTAACCTTTGAAAAAAAAAATCATTTAATCAAAAGGCTTGAATCGGAACCTACAGAAAAACCGCAAAGTAACTCGAAAATAGAAGAAGTAATTTCCGTGAGCTTCAAGATAAATGATTCAATCTTGCAAAAGACCATAATGAAATTCCGAAATTACATAAAAAGCAGTTTTCCAGTCTTGAAACTTACAAAAAAGTAAGTGAAAAAAACTCCAAAAAATTATCAATTTCGAAAAGAGAAAAGTTCAATTAGAGCCAAGACGCGTTTCAGAAGCCATTTTATATCGGCACCTCCCAAATTATTCTCTCCCTCGATATCATGTGAAAAGCTTAAAACCAACGCAACCAGCAATTAGAAAGGAAGGAACGGATGGAATCCTTACGAGATTGTGGCGAAGCGAGTCGACGACGTCGCACCGCCAGAACGGTCGTCGCAACTGAGATCCTGTGGCAGGGGTTGCCTCGGTGGCGCCGAATAGAATATGACATTTGCAAAGAGCTCGGTGCCGCGTGACGACGTCGGCGCCGACATTCACACCAGCCGCAAGTGTCCATCTCCGTTCATTTCTCTGGCTCAAATCAGAGAGAATAGTTCGCTCCACGGATAAAACAAGAAGACTGCCGAGAGAAGCTTCAGAAAGAGCCAGGAACAAAGAAAGAAAACATTTCGAGTTCTGAATAGAGGAAAAAAAAATCGAATCTTCGTTTACCTCAATTTTTTTTTCAAATAAATTTTAAAAAAATTTTTCAGTTTTCAAAAAATGAAGCTAATGCTTCCTGACTTTTGATGCCTATCAAAAAAAGCTGACAACGAGTTTTTAAAAAAATGCGAGTTTTTTGTTTTTAAAAAAAGCTTTACTTCTCGAGACTGATAAGTAAAAGTTAGTAAATCGTGAAAAATCTGCTTTCACATCAACTTTGACAATGAAAAATTTTTCAATGCAGTTCTTTAAAATAAAAAAAGGTCATTAAATGAGCACCAAATGAGGACTTTTTTTCTAAAGATATGAACTTTTTAAACAAATTCAAAAAAATAAATTTAAAAAAATTTTTGTGATACTTTTTCAAAAATGTTGTTTTTGTTTCAAGGGATGAAAATTAATATTCTCGGGGAATGGTTTTTTTGGAAATACTAAAGCTCAACTTGCAAAACCATTACAGAACCTGCAGAATTATGAATTCTGGAACACATTTCGAAAAGCAAAAACAAAGCAAACACAAAGCATAAACCTAAAGATCAATAAGCCAAAACCAGGCAGAAGTGGGAGGGACAAGAAAATAGCCAAAAACGAATAAAAAAAAGTGGACGGATGGGTGAGAGGCGTGGCTGGTGCTCCAAGGAGAAGGAAAAGCCGCAGAAGAAGGAGCAGAAGATGTCGTGGCGGCGATAACGCGGATTTCGACAAAAGGCAAAACGAGGAGGGGTGAGAAAAGATGCAAAACCGCCGGCCGAACATAACCAAATTTGGTTCTGAGTTCGAAACGGCGGCAGAGCCAAGGGCAATGTTTAGCCGCATCATGTCACTCACTCTCGACTTCAGATCCCCGCTCTTTTCATTTTTTCGATATAAACGAAAATTGATAGAGCGTTTATGATATAGGTGAGAGAAAAAAAGGCTGGAGTTTTCCGACAATCTCTTTGACTTAGTGAGCCACTTTTATTTATATTTTCTTATTCCTCTTCTCTGATGCTACTTTGAGGTCGAGTTTTCTAATTATGATCTCGTTAGATATCGAAAATTGGACTCAATTCATCACAAATTTCAAAGCAAGTACATTTTCCAACACCCATCAACCATTTACATCTTTAGAACATTTTGCGACTGATGCTTTATTGACTTTTTAATATTTTTTTTCCCTTCAGAACGATCTCTTTGAAACTTCTCTCTGAACTTTGACTTAAGTTACCACGTGTCCAAAAAATAGTTCGCCATATTTTTGCTTTTTAACCCTCTCAGCAAAAAGTTTACTTGAAACATCACGTTCTTCATTTTAAGTTCTCCTCCGTTTATACTAGCTATTTGATAGATAAAGCTTGAAAAAAGACTTACTCGACATAGAAGGTGCCGTAGACGGGGTCGTCGACTTGTTCCCAGCCTACAGGCAAGTCTCTCGGATCGTCCCAGGTCGTCGTGCCAGTGTTGTGGCTGCAACTCACAGATTTCTCACAGTGCAAATAATCGTCGGTTTATGACCGTCATTGCTTTTCGACTAGGGCAAAATGCTTCGGCCGTTAACCCCCAACCTCGCTAAACATTTTCATCGCCGGCGCAAATAATCATGCTTGATACAGTGACAACAGTTCTGATAGCGTGCATTGCGGGAATTTCAGACATTTGAGGCTTTATTCGTATTCGATAATTCAAAAAACTTCGAATAAGCTGAATCATTTAGACAATTAGCTTCATTGAGAACTGTTGAATACGTAGCTCAAGCGAAGCACAGAAAGTTAGAACTCTTTGATTTCAAGTTTGATAGGCTAAACTTAAAAACAAAGGCAAACGTGGAAAGATTTTTCAAGTCTGCAAAAATCCCTATATATGTACAAGTTGTTTATCTGCGAATAAAATTCACATCAACCACCTTAATGCTAAATGAAAATCATTCTTAATTCAAAACACACAAGAAAACGCATGAATTAAGCCTAAAACGAATAGACGTTTCCACTACCTAAAAGCAAAAATTGTGAATAGAAAGCAATTTTTTAGTAAAACGATTGAGAAAAGGAAGAGGCAAAAAGCTTTTTCAAGATTCGCAAAAACGAAAAAACAAAATTAGGAGCCAAAAATAATTAGGAAATTCAAAATCTAGCTGAAGCGGAAATGGACTAATCCCATCTTCAATTTTTTGATCTCTTTCAAGAATTTGAAAAAATTCCTTCGGCCTGAATATTTGAAAAAGATTTTGAATACAGGTTCAAACCAAAAAAACAGAAAAAATGAACTTTACTCGTCTTTCTGCCGAATTTTAACTTTCACGGATTTTGAGGGTCTTGAATTTAGAAAAAGTTTCAAACTATCGAGTACTGCGTAGAAAAAGTTTCTGAGCGTGCCAAATAATGTCTACACAGGAAGGAAAAGTAGAGAAGCAAACAAAAAAGACCAGAAGAGAATTTCGAAAGCAACAGTTCTGACAGCTTTTCAGCCGTTCTCAGAAAGTTCAATCTTATGAGAAACAATCCTATTTATTCTTTTTAGAACGAAAGAAGAAGAAAAAAAACGGAAGAAAGAGTGAAAAGCTGGGGTTGTGCGTTGATGAATAATTGAAGAAAGATGAAAGGCATACTCGATGAAGTATTTGTCGCCGTTCTCCGTGTAGGCCGTCTCCCAGTTGGCCGGCAGGAGGCCCTCGGTCGTCCCGTGGCTCACCATCGCCTGTTCCCCGTCCGCATAGCACTCCTCGGGCCTTCGTGAACCGTAAAAATGTCCTGCAAAACAGTCAAATTAGTCATCAGGAAATCTTCTGGTTTAACACCAATGCAAAAAAATAAATATTGAAAAACTAAGCCGATTGGAGGGAAGTTCAAGCTAATATAATAATTTTTTAAACTCGTCTTTTTTTTTAAACTTTTCGCTCGTTTTCAGTGAGTTGAGTTTGAAGATAAAAACTTTCGCCAAATATACTCCAATGTACAGGAAAACGTGCTTTTCAAATACATCCGATTTGACTAACGGCAGGAAAAAATTGGAGAAAGCCTGAACAGCAAATAAAAAAGGAAAATGAAAATCAAGATGGATTAGGGGCAATCGAGTGAAAAGGCGTCCAGATGCGAACGCGAGATCAAGCCTCGAGACCAGAAAAGTCCTACATAACTGTGGAAAATGTTCCAAGCGGATTTAAAACAACTAACTAGTATTCAATGTGAAGAAATATTTCTGTGTTTTATACGAATTGAGAAAATTTTGCTTGCTCTTTTCGACATATGGTATAGTTGAGGTATATAATATGCTAATTGAAAAAAAATACATTTTAGGAAAAAACTTTGTACTCACGGTTTTCGGAGTGAAAATGAATTTATGGTCCAACAGTCCATTTTACAAGAAGTCAGCAATTTTTGCATATTGCAAGTTTATAGGATGAAATCTGCTTTGCGAAAGGCTGATCTTCAAATAAAAACTATGAGACTGGGAAAGAAGAGGGAAATAACTCAAAACTGAGCACGAAAGACGTTTGGCGTGAATCATTGGGATCCAAAAATGGGAACGAGCAAACGGTCACACACATACACGCAATACAAACACAGCCACGGACATAAATGTACGCTGACCGCAAGGCAAAAAACACAAATTGGGACAACATCCTAATTGTTTTCGATACATTCGAACAAACCTAACTTTATACATTTTTACAATAAAACTTTATCAGTAAAATCAGAGTTTTTTTGAAACTGAAAAAATAAACGACGAAAAAAAGCATGCGGCAGAGAAATGTTCGGGCGCGCTTCAGGCGCTCCAGTGCAGAGATGTCGTTCGATGGCCGTTGCTACGAAAAAAAAGTATGCAATTTTTTCATAAGCCATTTGAAAAAGATGAAACATAAGATTTAAAACTTCTCTTGCTCTTCTGAAAATGAACAGATCAAAAAGAAAGGCGCAGGTAGTTCAAAACAACATTAATATTGCCCATTCCATTATATTACAACACATAACTCCAATGACAGCCGGAGGGTTCTCGTTTTTTTTTCGTTTTCAAGGAAGAAAAAAAAACAGAAAGAATCGAAAAGCAAAGACAAAAATATATACGAATTTTTTATAAAAATACTATTTCAAATAAGTATGATGAAAAGACGAATTCCATATTTCAACAGCTTTACCTCGGAATTCAGAGTCTCGAAATTTTTTTATTTGGCTAACAACGGAGCGAGACGAACCCAGCAATAACATCCACTCATATAAATGGTGTGAATTATAAATGCGAGGCAAAATATCCAATTTTCAATTTTTCGGAAATTGCCTCAAGACTTTCCTAAATAAAAAAAACAAAAATCAATATCGACTTTTCAAAAAAACTTTCTACGACTGAATTTTTTTGACTGAAGATCAGCAATTGAGCTGATTCTTTTACAGTCGATTTCAGACCGTAAACTCGCAAATATAGTTGAACTCTTTCAAAATGAACTCTTCCTGATTTCCGCGTCTATATCGGGAAGTACTTGGAAAGGTTTCACACGACAGCTTTGCTACTCGAGGATCCTTACTTTCTGAAAAATACATTTCCCTTTAAAGTCCTTCCCACGCCAAACATTTGCAATGCATATGTACGTTTCCTTCCGTTTGGGTTTCGGTGAAAAATCCATAATAAATAATCCGTGAGAATGGAAACGTTTTTTCCTCGAAAAACTGTATAACTTTGGCCTAAGATATTTTTTTAATCAAACTTTTGACTCATCCTTTAAAAAGAAAAGAAATGCACAATGTTCGACTCAGACACTAAAGAGGAGCAGAGCGAAGAAAAATTGAATAATGAATAATAAAAAGCTTGCCAGATATTTAAAAAAAACAAATTTCTAAGACGATATCTCTATGCAACACCAAAATAAAGAAAAATAGTCACGAAAAAATCAAAAATCTCACAGATCATGCATAAACGCTAATTATTATCAAAATGAAGCAATTATCGTTCCAGAAGGGCCTCCGCAATAAAAAAAAAAACAGGGTGACGATTCATAATTAATGTCCTATTCTCTCTGGAACGAATTCAAAACAAAAACCGAGCGCCAAAGCCGATAAAACTTAACCTAACCCTAAACAACAAAATAAAAAAGGACATCATACCACTGTCGTAGGATTTGGCGCGTCGAAACGTTCCATATCGTTGGATGAATCGCCGAACTTGGTTCATATCCGATGAGGTGTGTAACAGGCTGAGGCAAGAAAATAGAAGAACCTTCTTGAGCGGTGGGAACCAATAATTAGCAAACTAACACTGCCAACGAGGCCTATTACCCTTTTTCATCCTTTTTTCTGCCCGCTATCCAGTTCCGTTCGTTCCAAACTCCTAACAAACTTGTCTCGAAAAAGGAGAAAACATGGAAAAGTTCAACTTCAACAGACGGAACTCATTTGCCGACCAAACCAATTCGTTTTCAACCGACCGCTGCCGCTTTTTTTTTTCTTATTTTTTTGTCTTTCCTGTTGCGTTTTAGTGGTTCCAGGACCAAATTGATAGGAAAAGGCAGCGGTCAAAGGAAACGCCGACAATTTACGCAGAACTTTTGACAAAATTAATCGGTCTATGGTTCATTCTGATAGAGCTGTTTGGGATTGAATGAGAACAGATATCAAAAGAGTTAAGAATGAGCCAATCGCTCCCTAAATTCCAGTCCAATCAGAGGATCGCCAAAAAAAGTGATCGGAAAAAAGTATCGAATGGAAAAAAAAATGAATAAATAGTAATTGATAACTATCAAGGTCTTTCAAAATTATCCAGTTTTCATGAAAACTCTGAAAAAAAGTTTATAATCTAAAATTTAGCCGTTTGTCGATGGAGCGCAATTACATGCGCATGAAACTGAACGCACTCATTAACACGTACAAAACTTCCTTTTCAAAAATTATTCTTTTGAAACGGAAAATATAACTGTGTGCTGCAAAATCACAGCCCCTGGAGAGTTTTTCACATGAGAAAATTTATTAGCTTTTTCTCAAAAATTTTTTCTCAATATTCCAAAACTTATCGAATGGAAGGAATTTTATCAAGGTCCGTTCAAAGAATAACGGTGAGATAAAAGTAAACCCGAGAAAAGGGGAACACAAACACAAGACAACAAATCAAAAGGGACAAAAGAAAAGAGATTTTGTCGGTGGCCGGCGGATGTTCGGCACCTAATAGCCGCGCAGTCGAAGGCCACCGGCCATCCATCCAATACTTTTCCGAAAACCAATTTCTGTCCTTTTTTCAATTCAACCGCTCAACAGTAGAGCCTCTACTTGCACCAACACACACCGTTTTTTTTGGGTACTTCAAAATTAAAATGCGAAAATCGAGCAGCGCTGCTATTTCAAAAGCTTGAGGCTCCGATCAAAACACTTTCTTTACATTCAATGGTTTTGAGATGAAAGTAACCTAGTAAGAAAGTTGCCTCAAGAAAATTTCAAAAAAAAAAACATAAAAATCTCTGCATGTTCTGAACCAAACTAAATACTACATCATTGATAAAACATTTTGAGATGAAAAGTTAAAAAAAAGCGCAGGAAAGAATTGTCTTTTACCTGTATCTCGAAAATTATCCAAAAAAGGGTTTCAAAACTATATTTTTCGACCAATTCCTTCAAAAGTCTCTGAAAATTTGAAAAAAAAACTGACGAATATGATTACAAATGGTATATGTTGAACCGCGAAGGCAGATGTGCGTGGGAGGGATCCGAAATGAAGAATCGGCCACGCCAACAACACATTAACCATGTACCCAGCCACATGTGAGAACCGTGAAAAATTAGCCGACCCAACGTTTTCTTCGCTTTCCATCAGACACTCTTCAAACCAGGCCTTGGTTACCACAATTATACATACATGACAGCCTAGAAGCCATGAATCATTCGACCGCATGCAAATGTGCGCATCTTCTACTGTATCTTAGTGGAAACTACCTGAATCCGACTTGGGATTGAAAATTGAGGCGCGGCTCAGTTTTCTCAAACCCTAAAATCGCAATTAGGTTTTTTCGAGTAAAATCAACTTAAAAATGCAGAAGGAAACGAACCGACTTGAAAGATTAACCGTAGGCCTTAAAGAGAAAAGAAGAAGACCCTTCTATGCAGCAGAAAATTGAGTTGAAAGTTAAAAAATCGATGTCGAAAAGCACAAAACTCATCTTAAGATTGAGGTATCAACTTGGACGTTCATGACTTAGGCAGAAAACGTCGTTTTTTTGCATCTAAAGTGCGATTAGGTTTTAAAAATCAATTAACAAGTTTTTAAAATAAAAAAATTTGAAAAACCCAATCCAAAGCTCCGAAGTTCACTCAAATAAATTTAAACTACGCGCGGTCTGGAAAAAAATAGGGTACAGATAAAAAGTCCGTGCAAGTCTCTAAGAAAATTAAGATTCACAACTCAAAAAAAAAAATTTAAGAAAACTGAGAAGTTTAACTATATCGTTTTCCAGACAAAAAAAAACCGAGTCGAGCCCTAAAAACTCGGAAAAGAACGAAAGGAAAGAAAAAGGTACACAAGACAGGCGAAAAAGACGAAAAGTGTGCAAAAGATTGCGCGTTTGGTACGCGCGGAGAGCCCCTACCAAACAAGGAAAATACCGAGGAGAGTGCAAAGAAACGAGGGAAGACACCAAAAAAAAAAATGGAAAGGAGACGATGAAGGTAGGAAAGAAACGTGGTGAGGACGCGCAGGTGAGGAAAGGGCCTCCTTATAAGGTAGAAAATCGTCGAGCAAACCTCATTTACCGGCCTCATTATTCCTGTCTTCGTGCACGTAATCGTCAGAAAAGACTGTCAAAATTGAGTTTTTGAGCAAGGGAAGAAATGTTCAGCCTCATTGATCTGCTCAATGAACAATGAAGAAGTTATGACCGGGTCAATGACAAAAGAGTGTTTCAGAGCACTTCAAACTCTTTTTCAGAAATTGAGATTCTCGAAATTCACAACCAGGAAAAAAAATGTGTCGAAATAGAATTTCAACTAGGGGCTCCTTTTGAATCATGAAATTTATAAGGAACATAAATAAATTAGTTAGATTCATATTTTTTCAATAAGAGTTTCATCATTTTTTGCAATAATGAAAAAAATTTATCACTGGAGCATAAGAGATCTTGTAGCGACTCTTTTTTCGCAGTTCCTCAAAACAATCGTCGAACAAGTTTCAAGAATCTTATGAAATTTAAAAAAGGTTTGGTTGTATCATCTGAAAGTCTTCAAAAAAAGAAAAAAACGGGCTCAGGAGTTGAAATGCACAAGCAACCAAATCCTCACACGGAAAGAGTTATAGGAAAATCAAAGAAAGTTCCACTACAAAAGCTGAAAAGCTTTGAGAGAAGTTGGACCTCCGAAAGCGAACCAAGAGGGTTTGAAAGTAGATTATCCCCATCCAAGTAGTCTCGTTTCCATACATTCCGCCTCTTTTCGGACAACGCAAATCGGGGTCTACTACATATTTGGGCATGACATCCAGGCCGGAAACGAGTCTCGGAGGTCAGCTGAGCATAGAGTAAAATATCAAAACAAATAGTACGCGAACTCGGAAAAAGAATCCAACAAAATTTAGTGATTTATCGACAGAAAACGGTTCGAAACCTGGGATCTCCCTTATTTCAATCATGAAGCTTATGCGTACAGCCTCAAAAAAAAAGCCAAATACTGAAAACTTCAATATTGTCTTGAAGACATCCCCAGTTTAATATGTTTGTTTTTCTCGTCTAATATGAATTTTAAATTTTTGATATGAACTCATTTTTTATATTAGTACAACTGTCAGATTTTTGTTAGATACTCAAAATGAAAAAAAAACGTACCATTATGAATTCCATGCTCCAGAAGCTGTCCATTTTGCTGCAGTTCCTTGAACTCTTCGACGCTGACGAAACGGTAGTGTTCCCCGTCGATTTCGCCTTCGCGTGCTGGTCTCGTAGTGTCTGGAATTGTCTGGATTAATAAAAATACATTTATGAGCCAATAAAACACAGTTTGTTTAGATAAATGAACCCAGATATCCAGACTTCGGCTCAAAAATTTCGCATTCAATTTTGTTTTGAATTATTTTTTAATGTCGGTTCCCTGATCTCTAGAATGTCAACATGAACAAAAACACCTTCAGAAAAGGTCAGAGAATATTTTATTTTTGAAAAAACGTGCTTGAATCGTGGCGTCAAAAAAAATTTAATTAAAAAAAAAAGTCGAGAAACGAACCAATCCCAGAACAATTCCATTTAATAACAGGCAAAGAGCTTCTCCGAGACAAAAACGCCATGGACAAGACGGCATTTTCGGCCATTTCGAGGCAAGTCGATGAGGACGCTCTTGTTGCAAAATAACACGCATTTCTACCGGTGTGGCCATTATTCAAAGTGATGCGCCAGCTGTTTGGTCGAGACTCAGGCGCCGAAAAATCCGCGTGAAAGTGAAGGAACGTGCCCCAACCGAGGGATGTCTTGTCAGATCAAATTGCGCGCCAAAAACCATGCATTTTCATTTTTGAGAGAGAATTGAGAATTTCCTTTGAAATCTAAAAAATAAGCAAGTTTCGAAAAGGATTTGAGCGTCATTAAAAGTGTTTGAAGATCTTTCAAAAATTTGAGTTCCTCAGATTCTCAGAGAGATTCTTGAGAAAGAACGTTACCGATAATATTTTTCGAAATTATATACAGTAATTATTTTTTTCAAAACAGAATGCGAAGCTTTGAATCGTTCATCAACCTCTTTTTCTCAGGTGAAACATCTCTGAAAACGACACCAAAGTTTTTTAGAAGCTAGCTGCAGAGCTCAATAAACGATAAAAAATACAGACTTTTTTCTCAAGCTCTCAAGCTGCTTTCCAAAATTTTTGGAAGGCAAACTTCCCTCTCAAAAAATATTCCTTCTCAATTATTTCTTGAACATATTGGTTTCCTTATTCCGATCGACCTTTTTTCTCTTATAATTCGAGGCTTCAAAAGGAGAAATTTTGTTTAAAATTAAAGAGGAATATTGATGCGTATTCTCAGGCCCAAGTCTTGTTTTACACTCATATGTCCATCTTTTTTCGTTGTCAAATCTCTTACTCACAGGGAACGGTTTTGCTGTACAAATTGTCGCGAACCACGGCCTGGAGCTCGGGAAATTTCCGATCACTCAAAATCTCGCAAATGTCGTCCGTCATGCTGCCTGAACAAATCACATAAACACACAGAAGTCTACAAATTATTGGGGCAATTAACCTGCGGGCAAAACTTCGACGGCGATTTGGTCGGTGCCGCGCGTCAGACGGTCCAGCAGCCGGCTAACGTCGGTTCTCACCATCCCCGATACTGGTCTGAAACCTTTGAACTTTTCCAGCAAATCAAAATAGTTTTAAAAAAAACTTCATTTTTCAGTACATACGGACCCGACTGTAAAAAACTTTCTTTTGCGAATACATTTCTATAGGTTGACCTGTTAGAAAAAAGCATCAAATTTATCGATTCATGTGGTACTCCCAAGCTCGGGTTTGAAGTTGAACGAAGATACTTCTCGGACCTACCTTTCTTATCATTTGTAAAGTGAGTTTAACTCCAACAAAAACCGCTCAATTTTAACGAGTCTTTTTAATAAAAATAAATGTTCTCAAGTGTGAAAAGCTGTAATAGAAATTTTTGTAAAAGGAAAAATAATCGTGATCGCTGAGCACTTTTTTTTTTGAAATTTTCAACTCTTCTCGAAAATCGTTTTACTTTTTGTCTAGATACTAGTACGTTCAGAACTATGTCCGAGTGAGAAAAGCATCCAAAATTAGGGTGGAATAGGATAAATTCCGAAATTCAACAGATGCGTGTTAATATGCAAAACGTTTCTAGTGAAAAAAAGACAATAATGTCTTGGACTTACTGGGAAAAAAATAGTGGTGAATTTCCGTCGCAAAAGTTTTAATTTGTTCAATAATCCTTCAAATTCGGAAAACTTCAATAAAATGGTTTGAGAATTTTTTTAAATTAGTAACTTAAAGAATTTTTAAAAAAATTTAAAACTCACATGTTCTCAATAGAAAGCACGATATCGTTTTGGATTGAGAATTCCAATTAATTCATGCCTTCTCACAATATCGACAAGTACTAATCGACCCTGTCGAGGCGCCGCCGTAAACCTGAAAAATAAGAAAAAAAATATATATATCTTGTCTTTGTTCTCATATTTATGACATGCGTAGGAGCAAGAGGAATTGAAAAAAAATTGAACTGGAAATTGATCGAAATTTATAGTCAACTATTCTCATATCTCTTTTTTTTTTACCTTATACACACCAACTCCTTATTATTTCTTCTAAAAAAGTCTTCTCGTTTCTTGAACCAACCGTGAAAGGAAGCGAACAAAGAGGAACATCCCTGGCTGAAGAATTACCCGAATCCGAATGAGAAGACCTCGACGAGAATCCTTCACAAGGTACTCGTACTAATCGTCGAGCGGGAAAGCCTTGAAAAGACTGAATTCAACGGGAATTTTCTTGAAATGTCAATAGATGGCTAATTTTTCCGTAAAGTTTATCGGAAGCTTCCCTCACATTGTTCGTAGCTTGGAAGTCATAAACTTTCCGTTAAAATCAAACTCATCAAATGATTCTTATGAAGATTTTTAACCAATGAAGTTTTTTTGAACTACGGTTTTGCTGCAATAAATATATGTAGCTTGCTGCATTCAGTTTTTCTTCATTCAAACTTCAGATTGACCAAATACAATATTTTTTCCCTGTGTCTTTGCATAGAACTAACCTTTATCCGTTCCAGAAGAATCCAAAGACGTACTTGGACTACTCGTACAATGCATCATTTCTTGCAAAGTCAGCTGAAGAATATAAGTCAAAATTTTTTATTTACTATCACCAACGAAAAATAAGAATGAAAAAGAGGTGAAGATGTTTTTATCGAAAACCTTTGAGGCGCCGAATGATAAGATTTGTCTTTCGAGGCGATTTCAGTACAGAAGAATTTCTGGTGAACAAAAACCTTAGGAATATTAATAATAAAAAGGCTTTCCCTGACTAATCAACTTCATTTAACATTATTTTTTTAATCATTTTTCCAACAATTCACTCTATTTCACTCACATTTTAGGACTTTCATCTTGAAATTTCAAAGTTTCAAGGTATCTTATCTCATTATCATCTGGAGAAAAGAGCAAAAAAATATCGATAGTTTCCAAATTTTTTTAAAATGCAAAAGAAAAATAAAAAGAAAATAAAAATAATTTCCTTCTTATCTCTTCAATTCAGTAACACAACAATAATCGGAAACCAAAAACGATTAAAACGTCAATTTCAATAATTAATTTTAAAAAAAAAGAGAAAAACTTTTCAAAACTATATATATTTATTTTAATTGAGTTAATAGATGTTTCAGTCTTCAATCAATCAATAAATCAAATAGAATCGTTTCTTCTCACTATAAAGTCTTTAACGGCCCAAAAAAACTTTTTTTTTCCCCGATTTTCAATCATTTCAATTTTTTTTTGTTTCACTGCTCTCAGCTTTCTTCACTTCCATAATGTCACAAAAATGTTTATGGAAACGCGAAGAACGAATAGTCGGAAGCTTCATAAACAATCTCAACAGCGAATGGAAGGAAGTTCCTTAGTTTCTGCAAAACCTTCGCCATAAACAGATGGAAATGGAAATGGAAAGAAGGAGCTGCGCGCCGCCGCAACAGAAAAAGAACCACTACACTTTGAAATCCTCGAGTGATCCACTCCATATGTATTTTAGATCAAACAATGTGTTTCCATTGATAAGAGAATCTCCTTAAAAATGAAGATGTGGTGAAAAAATAATTTTGAAAAAGCGTCAATATAAGTTCATGCCTCAGCTTTGATTGCGCAAATAAGGGAAAAACCAATGATTATACCGTTAAAAAAGTAAAAAACAAAAACCTGGAGCTTCTCGATCTCCTGGCTGAAGTCGCAGTCGGCATTTTCCACTTGAGATTGCTTGTTGGGCTGTTGGCCCTCGTCAGCCGAGGTACTTGGCTGCGGGCCAACGCCGTTCGCCGTCTCGTCTTCTTCGTCTTTCATCGGCTCCTAATTCTTTCCTTTTAAAGTAAATAAATTGACAGCAAAGTAAAAGCGAAAACCAACGAGACAGAAAATTCATAGAAACAAGAAAGCTTCTAAGAAATCAGCTTGGAAAAAAAAATTTCAAGAAAGTATAAAAAATAAAGTTCATTCGTCTCTGTTTTTGAAAAATAAGGGATTTACAAATTAAACAAAGTGGTGCGCGAAATGAAAGTTTCACCTAATGCAGTCTTTTTTTTTCTTCTAGTGAGCAAATGTAGCAGAGAAGCTGTTGACAATAAATAGTAAATTTTCAAAAAAATATATGGTCAAAAAAAGTATATTAGTTCCAAAAATCTCATCAGGTTTCTTCTACAAAAATGAATAAGTTCAGATTTTCGAACCAATTTCTTGAACTTGTAATTCGAAAAAAAATTCTGAAAATTTTGTGAAATTCCTTTCAGTTATACGTAACTTTTTTTTTTCAAAATTGACTCTAATGACTTGAAAACCGTCCAAAGGAAAAATAGACCTTTTTCCCTCAGTGTGCTTCCTAACAATAAAGTTGATGGGAATATCAGCTTTCTAATCCGCTCCTACAAGTTGAATATTTTGAGAAACTCGTAGAAAAAATTGGTTTCCATAAATTATCGAATTTTCGTAAAATTACATGTGGGAGAGGAGAGAATATTTTTCAAATCAAAGTTTCCACTTAAAGAAGGGAAAGAAGGAGGAGAAGCGCGAAAAGACAATGGGAAGAAGGGGCACCGCTTCAACGTCGCCATAAAGGATTTCTGTTGGTTTCTTCGTTCCAAGGGGTCTTTCACGGAACATCTGCTGCACGGCACCACTAAAAAGACGAACCGCGACGAAAGAAACCTCGGCGAAGAACGAAACGAAAAAAAGCGAGGAAAAATTGTTGGGCCTTTCTCTTGTGGCAGTTTCACTGATTTCAAGTGTGCTATTAAGTTCAGCGAGACGGAAGACGTGGGTCGTTGCCAAAGCAAATACTAAGATGAGATGAAGGTTTTTACCAATTTGGGAATGAGGAGTAGAGTAAATTGAAGGTTTCTAAAAAATACTTGTTGATTTATTTGAAAAAAAAACATGAAAATGAGCGCTTTAAGTTTTCCAGCCTCCTACCTGCCACTTTTTTCTAACTGTCAAAAAAAAAAACAATTGATTATCTTACAAGCTACCTTCAAAGACTTGATGTATCCATGAAACCTCAAATGAACTACCTCACATCTATCAGAACAAATTGGTCATGAAGAACTGAAATGGAACGCTTCGAAAAAAAAGGAGATAAAATCCATCATTTGCTGGAAAACAACAAGTCGTCGAGATGCCAGCCGCAATATGACCCGGAAGTCACTCTGACATGTTGATCCAATAGACCGCAAAGCCAACAAATTGCCTCTCAATTTCTTGACTCAAAAAGAAAGGAAAGAAACCAAATTGATTTCTTCCAGATTTCGACCGTCAAAAAACACAAAGAGGAACAGAATTAACGGAAAGTGGACAATTGAATCGTCGAAGACGATGCGCGAGAAATTGCGGCCAATTTTTGGAATGTGAACTGACCCTGAACGCCAAATTAACTTCGTTTTTTTCCACGTCAACCCTACTTTCTATTGTCATTTTTGAAAGCTTCGAAAAAAGACTGCAAGTTTGAAAAATCTGGAGCGAGGCGTCTTTTGGAACTGTCTTCTCGCGTCTATTTGCATCACAAAAAGTAGCCGAGAACATATGTCGTTCACTTTTCTATCCAGAAAAAAAAGGAAGTGGAGAATCTCAAATTTTTTTTTGATAACTTTACTGTTTTTCAATGGAGTGCAAAAAGGTCTAACCTCAAAAAAACATAGTTTTCCTAGTTTGAATGATCTTATGAAAATGCTTTTTTTATTTTTTTCTCGTAATGTATATTGACTTCAAAATAATGAAACGGTGACACGGATAAAAAAGCGAAAAATAGAGAGAATAAAATAAATTAAACGATTAAAACAAATTTTTTGCACTTTAAGCTTTGACGCTTCCAGCGTGAAATTAGGGGAAAAAAGCAATGCATTGACTTTCATTTTATGCGACACAAAAAATGAGGAGACTGTAGCAATTCCAATTGTATACCAAGCAAGATGTGATATTGCGGAAGAAACTTTCACAACGATCTGCAAACTTTGCCAAGCGGCTTCTAAGCTCAATAAACAACACAACCGGACGTATCATTGACAAAAACCCGTCAGATAGTGCGAAAAAATGAAACAACAGCTGAAAGATTAGCTGGATTATTGGCGCGAGAAACTGTCTGCTGGGAAAAGAACGCAAATGAACTGACCGCACGCATCTGTCCGCGGCGGAAAGACAAACAAGAAGAAGACCTGCTTTCAACATTGCGGCGGCTCAGTCCAAAATCGAAAAATGCAGGGGAAAAAACTCGGTGAAGAAGACCCAACAAACATAACAAAAACTCGAGTATCCGATTGCAATGCGGTCCTTTTGAGCCCAGTCAAAATATTTTGCACCTTTGGCACAAGCCAGAAATAACACATCTAAGTGGTCCTATTTCCATTTGTTCCAAGACGAATTTTAATGGCTTTCTAGCTAAATTTTACCTCGAAGCCAAAAAGCAAAGTGAAATTTTACAACAAAAGCGAGGGTCATCAATCGTTGTGGTTTTCGTTGAAGCATTGCCAAAACTTATGATAAACGCTATATTAACTGAAAAGAATTTACGTATTTTCATGAAAGATTTTTTTGACAAAAGTTCAACCGGCCACCAAAAATATGATCAACTAAATTCTGCGTGAGCGCTTGGGCAAAATACTGAAAGTGATCCCAATTTTTGAAAACTGAGAAAACTTAGAACTCCAGATTTCTTGCTCAAATCGTCCAGGACTCCACATGGTTACAGATAATTCTTTTAAAATAGACTCAAAAAATGAAAAATGAAAGTGGGGGCGGAAAGAAGGAGAAGAAAAAAGATAAATGGGTGGGACCAAAGTTGGAGGCGCGAAGAATAACGTTTTGTGGATGGCTGAATGGATGGATGGGCCATGCGAAACCCTGGGGATTCTGATGAAGAACAGAAAAAAGCGCGAGAACACCATGAAATGCACATCTGACCGTTTTCGGAGCGATGGAGTGTGGGAATCGGCGCAAAATCGCCGTTCAGCGTTGAAAAAGAGCCTCTTATACACTTCAATCGTCAAAGTTTTCTGTGGTCCTCCCTAAAAATGAGAAAAAAGAGAGTGAACGCTTAAAAAAAAGATATTTGTTGAAAATGTAAATACCACAAAAGCAAAAAAATTGATTATCTATTCAATAATAACTATTTTATCACGAAATTAAAAATGATGAATGCGTTTTTTTTTTGGTAAACCTGTTCTGCGACTTAAAATTAGCAAACTGCAAAATATGTATAAATAGGAAGGACAGCGAACTACAATAGGAAGGACAGCGAACTACCACGAAAAAAGGCCTTTTTATAAGTTTTAGGCCAAAAAAATGTTAAAATTTGATCGCAAAGGAAAAAGGGTTGACAGGCAACTGAAAAAAAAAGAAAGAACTCTATATTCGTATCATTTGCAGTGAAACTGGCTTTTGCCGCAAAACTTTTGAAATCAGCCTTTGCTCTTGTGAACACTCCATCAAGGCCGATTATTCAGGCTGATCAAGAAAAAATAAATCAGGGGGTGTCTCGAACTGAACCACGACCAAACTGATCAGTAATCAATTAATAAAGTTCAAAAAGACTAAGCAGTTGAACAAGGTGGGGGAAATCCGGCAAGATGTTACAAACGGCGGCGCCGCCGACCTTCCTCTTGTCCATTGATCCCGCACACGAATCGGTCGCCGCTCTACTATATCATGTCCAGCCGCGAAAACCCATCCAACATCTTTATCTATGACTTGCGGCGCTGCGCATGTGCCGCATAAAACGCGGATTAATGGTCAAGGAAGGCCGGTCAAGACTCTTTCAAGTGATCTCTTCAGTGTTTTCCCACTTGGGCTTTTCTGGAGTTTTGGATTGTGATTTAAGTTATTCATCGTTAAAAAAACATGGTTTCATCAAAATTTTACAAAAAGCTTTCAGTTCGCCGATTAAAATATAATGGAGCATCTTAAAGAAGCATGAGCCATTTTATCAACGAATTCTCCTATTTTAAAAGTTTGATCATTATTCAAAGGTAAGTGTTAGGCAATAATAGATGCAAGTTGAAGGCGATCTAGAGAAGGGCAGAAAATGTCGACCACAGCTGGTGTTGTTCTTTTGGCTCGCAGCCAGGCGCATTAAGCCTTTGCCGAGGGTATCAGCACACAGAAGAGACCGCCCAGAAGCGGAAGCGAACCCAGACGTTGCAAATAAACAATAACCGAAAGATAAGGGCTTCTGTGTCCTTTCACAGAAGATTTTCTACTGGCTTTAAAATGAACTGCTACTATTTAAGAAAATTCTATACAAGTAAATGTGTTATGATAATGTTTTCTCGCCAAATCTGAAGGCGATCTTGATTACTAAAAAATAGGGTATGATCTGCAAGTTCTTTTTTTATAAAAAAATAATAGTTTTTTTAAATATTCTAATCAAAAAGCTTTTATTAGGAAAAAAACTTATTTAAAACAAAAAAAAAAAAAATAAAATAAAAATTTACGAAATTATCTATTACCGAGAAAAACGAGCAAAAAAAGGGAGTTGGGAAAAAAATCTTTTGCACTTTTGACGGGACGATTCAAGAAATTAAAATATTCTCTTAAATTATTCGAAAATGTACTTGAATATTTTCTACAGATTCAAATCTATATAAAACTCCTTAATGAAATTATAAAAATCTTAGCGAAAAAAATTACACTAAGCTTTCTAGAAGAAGCCAGGATCCTCCTCCCAGATTGATATATATATATATCTTTCTATCTCTGAAAAATGGGATGATGTAGCTAATCTGACAGAAGCTTGTTAATGAGGAGAGTTAACTCGAAACTGATCAAAAAAACTAGTAAAAACCCTTTTTATTGAAACTTTCAGATCATTGCAAATTTAATTAGAAAGAAAAACTACTTCCCTTTTTTCTTTGTCGTTAAATCCTATTAAAAAAAAAACGAAGATAAAACGACTTTGATCCATGAATACTTGAGCTTTCCGACCAATTGGTACCTGTCAACTAGTTCCTTATTACCTTTTGAAGTTTACCGCCACACGAACCGATAGGTGTTTCGATCATATTGGAATAAAAAGTCGAAGAAAAACAGCGATATCAAGTCGCGAAAAATGTCTAGCCGTTTTAAGACCTATTTTTGTGACTATAAAATCTTTGAACACTTGAAAATAAAAAATAACAGACGTTCAAAAAAGGAGACATACTAAACGCATCGCCTCACTGAAAATATATAGATTACTGTACTCTCTCTCTCTAGTTTTCTCACACCTTTTCGCACGAATTATTTAAATTCTGTATCAAATCGGCAAGAAATGAAATAAAAAAATTATTCCTGGAAAGCTTGAACAAAAATTAAGCTAATTTGTCAAGAGAATTTATAATTATCGAACATAATTTAATGGAGGTAGCTTTTAAAAAAGTCAATCGGCGTATGGTAATCGGTGGTCGTTTGTATGCGACCGGGTACTATCTCTATGGTACCCGGGTCAGAGGTCGATGCAAGTAGCTACCGGGTAGCTACCTGACATTCGCGATTTCTACCGGAAAGTATGGAATTGCTTCCCGGGTCTTTATTTTTTGTTTCAGCGTTAGCCAATAAGACCCTGGGAGACTTGAGAAAATTTAAAAAAAACACTGTTGCTAAATAAACGACCGATGTGCCAGCCAGTGGCAATCGCGAATTTCAGGTACCTACCCGGTAGCATCTAGATACCAACCAGGTCCAGGTACCGTAGATAGTACCCCGGTTGCATACAAATGACCATCGATTACCATTCGCCGATTGATTTGAGTTGCTGCCCGGTACATACTTGTATCTACCTTCCGATTCACCACTGTAGCTACTATAACAGGCGTTTCAAAACACCTTTGATCTGTTAATGAAAAAAAGATTAAATTTGGAAAAATTTTAGAGAAGAAATCCACGAATTCTTTACTTCTTTTTCCTACTGTAACTTTCCAGGAAAATAAAACGTTTGTCACAAATCTTTATCGTCGAACAGCCCTTTGCGGTTTTTTTCTTGCCCGCTTCGGCATTGATAAGAACGTTCCTAGGGTCAAAAATTTAAAGTCGTTAAATTTTTGGCTCTTTAAAAATGATAGGGCAGAATTTACTGTGACCCGAAAGTGTTCTTTCTTATCTTTTTCTTACTTCTTGTGATTTGGCCCTGTCCTTTCCATTTAATTTTAGAACCTAAACGTTCATATGTAAGATTCTGTCAATTATACCAAAAACAGAAAAAAACAAATATTGAAAAAGATGTCGTGAATTAATTATTTCTTTCGAATAGTTATCTTTTTTTCGAACTTCTTGAATAAAAAAATTTTTTTAATATTATTTTTAAAAAAATCGGAGTCGGTCTAAAAAAATATTTTTGGCAAAAGCAAACGTACCTGATACAAAAAGTCGGATAAACCTTGGAAACAGAGCTCAGGCCAACTAGCACATCATGAAAAATCTCTCGAAAATCTGAAGTTTTAATATTAAATTTTAATTATAATTAATTTTGAAAAAAATCAAAATAACACGCATGTTCAAGGCGGCCGGTCGTATTACGGTAATCAAGCTAGGTTTTTGAGTAATAAAAGGAAAACTTGTGTACTTTTTGTGACGTAACTTGTCTTGTAACCTCGAAAAATAGGTCCTTAACAAATTGCAAAAAAGAAAAAAAGATTTTAAAAATTTCCTGGCTTCGAAACTGACGGCGCAATATTGACCGGCCACCGGCCGCCGTAACACTGTCTTAAAGATGCGTGATAAAGACAGTTGCGCGTCAATTGATATGTTTAAAGTTTTAACATAAGCTCACGTACATTTCCCGCACAGTAATCCAAAAGAAAAAAACGGCCCACCCTGAAACTTTTTTTAAAAAAATTAAAATTTTTGATTCGATGAATCATATAATCAATGTAAACAAAAAACGACTGAATCATTGGGTTAAGAGACTCAGAAAACTGTCTTCATTTGTTCAATTTCTTTCTACCCTGTCAAAATTTTTGCGCTGGTTGATCAAAGTATGATCAAGCCGAACATCTCAGCGTATGCGTAAACAGACAGGACGTTTGATCAGCTTCCGACATCGGAAATAGGCTTATTGCCAGCGCTTCGATCGGAAGTGATGCGGTGCGGTAAATATTTAGCCTTCGTTCTCATTTTTGAGTTCGTAATTTTTTACTTTGAACAGTATGATTCATACTGAATCGTTCTCGGATATCGTTTTTTCCTGTTCATGGTGCATTCTTCTCCTCGTTTTCGAATCAATAAGATGTAACTAAGATTTTATAATCGCATCAACCAAAATTCAGCAAACAAAAGGCGCGACTGCTTGACATAGCCGGAAGTGAAAAAATCCTTCGACGGTCATAAGCTCCGCCCATTTTCCTTTGCTCGGAGTTTCGCGACTCTCAGTCGACCTCAGTGCGCAGCTCGATCATGGTCAACTCCAGGAAAGACTACATTTGCATTTCTGTCCTCTTCGCCGTCAACTTATTGAATTATGTGGATCGATACACTGTCGCCGGTTCGTTTTTATAGTTCCTGAAAATGGAAATTCGATTTTTCATATCGTTTTCATTCCTAAAGACTCTAAAGTTTTTCGTATTGGCCAAGAGACCGTCTGTGAAAGAAAGTCTTCCGTGTTTCAAAAATAAAAAAATTATGGAAAGTTTTTCCGATTCAGGTGTTCTGACGAAAGTTCAAGGATATTTCGTACCAGAAATCGACGATTCTGAAGCAGGACTTATTCAGACAGTCTTTCTAATCGCGTTTATGCTATTCTCTCCAGTATGTGGATATTTAGGCGACAGGTCACTAATAAAACGGATGAAAACCGTTTCTATCTGGAAAAAGTTCAGATTCAACCGAAAGTTGATCATGATGGTTGGTGTGTCCATTTGGCTTGGCGCCGTCTTGGCTTCCACTTTCGTTCCCAAAAACGTAAGTTACAATGGATAATTTTATGAATTTTATAGCTAAAATGAGCATTTTTAAAACTGTGTACTGTAACAAGTGTTGCTCGTTGAAAAGAACTAGTTGCTTCGCGAAATCTCGTTTTCCAGCACTTCTGGATGTTCCTCCTGTTCCGCGGCCTTGTCGGCATCGGCGAGGCCTCATACTCGAATCTGGCGCCGTCCATCATCTCCGACATGTTCAACGGCACTCGTAGAAGCCACGTCTTCATGTTGTTCTACTTTCGCCGTGCCGGTCGGAAGGTGGGAATTCGGCGATGTTTGCCTTGGAAGACCGATAAAAGTTAAAGGAAAAGTAAAATATCGTTTGATAAGATTCGAGTTTTGTCAAAAAAAGTTACCAAAAAGAAAGTATGAACCATGAAAAATGGCTATATTTTCACAACTCAGTTAGAAAAAAACTGCGAAAAGAGCTTTTTAACACCTTTTGGCAAAAAAAAGCTTAGGTGTATGAATTCCAGTTTTTGACTGAAACTAAGAACTCTGAACTTTTGCTTGTAATCCAGGCTTTTCAAACCTAGTCGAAGCTCGAAAACTTTATTGAATTCTATTGAAGCTCGAAAATTTCATTGAACTTGAGATTGTTTTTCGAGACTTGAGTTCTCCACAGCTGAGAAGTTTTGCAGGACCCTCATCTATTAGATAAACGAGTTTTTAGCCAATTCATTAGAAATGTCGATTTAAAAGTTGTAGAAAGGATCCTCTGATTTGCGAAATTTCTTCAGTGGTCTCGGCTTCATCGTCGGATCCAACGTGGCTTCTCTAACAGGCCAGTGGCAGTGGGGAGTCCGAGTGACGGCGTTGGCCGGAGTCGTCGTCCTCGCCCTCATGGTTTTCCTTGTCTTTGAACCGGAGCGCGGCGCTGCCGACCGTGTCGCCGGCACCACGACTATCGTCGAGAAAAGCGAAAACTACTGGTCGGACATCAAATCTCTGCTCAGGATGTGTGAAATAGGATTCAATTTAAAACCGAGACGAAGAGTTTCAGTCCAACTTTCATCTCTTGCACCTGGGGATATACGGCTCTGGTGTTTGTGGCTGGATCTTTGGCTTGGTGGGAGCCGACTGTGATCGAGCACTCGATCGCTTGGAGCAAGGGACTCAACGACACGGCCGACCTCGACTCCGCCACGTCTACCCAGTACGTTTCCTTCATTCTGAAAACCTCATCGAGCTCTATATAATAATAAAACTAGTTTCATAATCATTAATACAGCTGCTTTTTCTTTGTTTCTATCAAGTTTTCATTGTTCGGTGGTCTCAATAACTTCTTTTTTCAGGGTCGGCCTCATCTTCGGCATGATCTTGATGATAGCAGGTCTTTTTGGAGTCATCATCGGGACGATTGTCTCTGGGGTACTTTTTTTTAATTTCTAATCAATCAGTTTTCTTTTTTTCCAGTGGATCATCAAAGGCACCGGTCCGTTTCGAATCATCCAAACTGCACGGGCACAACCTCTGGTCTGCACATTTGGTTCTTTGATCGGCTCTCCTTTGCTTTTCTGCGTCTTTTTCTTCGGACATCGAGGCTTGTTGCTGATTTGGGTAGTCCTTTCATAGAAATAAATGTATATGTGGTCTTTTTCAGATCCTTCTCTTCTTTACCAATCTGTGTCTTTGCCTTAACTGGGGTCTTAACGTCGACATTGTAGCGGTGAGACTCTTCAGAAGATGCTTTTTTAAAGAAAAAATTTGCAGTCGGTAGTGTCGCCAGCACGTAGAAGCACGGCATTCGCTTACTTAACCTTGACTTCGCATCTTTTTGGTGATGCCACGGGTCCTTATATTATTGGAAAGGTCAGAATCGGTTTGAAATGACCTTTACCGGGTTACTAGAAAACCTGAAAAAAGGTCCAAGTTAGCCATATAATACTTTGAAAAGAGGAATGCGAAGGTTTCTAGTAGTAAATTAAGATTATAAATCGTGAGTTTGAGCCACCTAGATATTTTGTGAAATATTTCATCATTTTTCAGTTTTCTAGCATCGGTTTTGGAAAATGAACTAGAGTTTTACAGGTCTCAGATACGTTCCGAAAAGGCTCTGACTTGCCCAAGGACCAGTACCACTCGCTCATCAAAGCCAGCTACATCTGTGTGGCTCTCCTCATCGTCTCCGCCATTCTCTACTTCCTTTCCTCTTTGACCATTCTGCAAGACCAGCAAAAAGTTCAAGCAACAGCTTGGTAAGTTCATTCCTTTCTCCACCTTCGATATTTCCTTTTTAGGTATATCTCCTTTGGACTCTGTAACTAAGCCCATCAAAACCTCGACTGACAGCTTGGAGAAAGTTGGCCTAGACGAAATTACCAAGTTCTGAAGATTGAAAAACTAACCTTGAAACATACGGGTTATAAATTTTTTATTGTCCGGTATAACAAAACTAATAAATTAATTAACCATCAAATTATAATATTTTGCTATTTCTATCTGGACAACTGCAATACGCGCCGTCTGATCCAGGAGGTCCGATAATACCCGGAGAGCCTGAAGTTGAGTGTTGTCTTCTGAAAAAACTGATTCGTGAGCAAACCTGGCTCTCCAACTGATCCTTTTTGGCCTGGACGTCCTTCGGTTCCATGAATTCCAAACGATCCAGGCTTGCCCGGTGCTCCTGGTTTGCCAGGTTTTCCAGCAGCTCCCCGTGATCCTTGAGCTCCAGGAGCACCTGGCGCTCCAGGTGCTCCGACTTCTTGTACTGCTCCAGTGCCTGGAGTTCCCGGTGCTCCAGGAGCTCCTTTTTCGCCTTGATCTCCGGCGTCACCATCCTCTCCAGGAGGTCCAGGCAAGCCACGACGGCCGACAGTATGGTTCGATTTGCCAGGAAGACCTGGAGGCCCTTGAGGCCCAGCAACGCCGTCGCTTCCTCTCTCACCAGGTGGCCCAGCTGGACATGGGATGCAGCGCCGTTGTCGATGGTTATGGTAGAAAACTTCGTGGTCGAAACAGCGGAAAGTCGTGTCCTTTGATTCCTTGCATACCGGGTTTTCCTTGATCTCCCGGAGCTCCTGGCTCCCCTGTAATCTTGTTTTTGTTGTCACTCAAATCTTGAAACTCACCAGCCGGTCCGGGAGGACCCTTCGGACAAGGATTTTTCTTTGCACATGGACATTCCTTCTTCGCTTCTCGAGTTTTCCTGAGAGACATTTCTTTGACGATCATCACGTTCATCTCGTCCCAGGCTTCATTTGCAAATCTCTACAAAAACTTTTTCCCTGAAACGGTTCGGAAAACTAGCGTCGCTTACGTCAAACTCTTTGAAGTCGTCGATAAGATTACGATAGAAATGGTCGATGTCAATGACGACAGCAACGATAGTAACAAGGGAAGAGAAAATGAGGAAAAATGAAATAACTGTAGAGCAAATGGCTAGTTTAGACATTCTTTCCGAGCTTTTGGGGGAACCAGCGCTTTATATCCTCTTTCGGACATCTTCCCATGCTAATTATTTTCGGCGATCGCAATCAAATGTTATGATTCTCAAGAAATGGGAACAAAACGCAATTCAATTCAGTTTTAGAAAAACAGGTTATTGTTCTAATCCTACGTAATCATTCATTGCGCATCAGTTGGAACAGAAAAGAAAAAACCGAGGAGCTTTTTAAAAAGTTGTCCTGAAAACTGTATTTTAGAAATGCCAATTTTTCAAGCATTCGGAAAAACAGAGAAACTGTTGGAAAAAACCCGACGATTGTCTTTTCCCACGAGAGAATGTTTGCCAAAGCCCCGCAGCTGAAAGAAAACCGTTTTTCTTTTGCTTCTTGCTCTTCACTGTTTAGCTCATGAAGATTTTGCTGCCTTTGGCCGCTTTCTGCTTGATTCCTGTCGTCTTCTGCTCGCTTCACGATTCAGAAGCGTTGGAGGACTTGGCCGAATGGGGTTTGACTTTTTTCAGCGAGATAAATGTTTCTTTCAACCTTCAGATGAAAGTAGATTCAAAAAAAAACTGAATTGATTTTTATTTTTAGGTAAAAAAGCTCATCGATTGCAACGGCACTTCAATATAGAGCGTTCTCCTTCGAGCCAACACTATTGCGGCCATTCGACGTTAGTAGAACCTCTTACATAAGTACTTACTCAAGTAATTATACACTCAATTCACCCATATAATGCCACAATCACTCAAAGCTCTTTGTTCGCAAATCGTTTCGTTCCAAACACCTAATTTTATATAGGAAAATTAAAACTTTTTGGAAAAAGCTAGCTTTGAAACTTTTTTAGTTGACAAAATTTCCAGGTGCGATGACGACAACTTTTTTGTATATTATAACTGCTGTCGAACTTCGCCTCACAAGTGCTGCTGGTATTTGAGAATGTGGATGATGTTAGTTTTATTATTTTCCAAGAATAAAAGGCGTTAATGAACAATTTTCAGAGTTCTCATCGGAATCATTGGAGTGAAAATCGCTCTTTCTTGCTTCTTATGTGTATTTCGCAAAAATTTGTTGTTGAAATTTAGTAAATAAATATTCAAAAAAAGTTACAATCGAATAAAGTTTCACTGGTAAAAAAATTGCTATTAAAAAAATAGATAACCTGTTTAAGAAGTCTAAAAATTGGTAACATAACCGTTGAATTATTCTTTCTTTCATTTCTGTAGTTTTTTTGGAAGAAGTTCATATACAACGAATGACTTGAATCAAAATAAAAAAAGGAAAAAAACTGTTGATGAAAGGCTTTTTTTCACCTCTTCGGTTACGGTAAGAGCAGAACACCATACACAAGAGCGCCCGGGAAACCAAAAATTTTAAAAATGAAGCAATTGTTTTTATGCTTTTTTTTTTGTTTTTACAATCCATTTACATTTCCTTCTAATTGCCCGTGATTTTTAAATATCGAAATGTAACTTCTCAATTCAAAAAAATTTTTTGTAGGTTATCTACTTAGCTTTTATTACGCACTGAACAAACCAGTGAGCTTGAGAGGAAAAAACATTTTCAAACTACGTCACAATACTTTTCGACCCGACGATCACTTCCAAAAAAGAATCATCAATTTATCAGAACTCCTTAATCATCGATTTATCAGGATAAAGTGCCATACGAAATGGTGGATATTGACGAATTGACCAGAAAACATTTTTCGCAGAACATTCGACCTGGAAAGGTTTGTAAATTAACGTTGAAGTCTTTTTTTCATTTCTAACATTTTAGCGTGTATTGAACGCGAGTCACGCTGCTGCGATGAATGGTATAGAGGATTCTGACATTTCTTATGCGGTTTCCCCCTTTTTTTGAATAACCTTATCGAATTTGTTTAGTCTAACGAATCGTCTCGTTTTGACGATTCGTCGTATTGCGAGAGGAGAAGGAGCAAGATGAGTGCAGAGGAACGAGGAAAAGAAATGTTGGCTCTAATCCAGAAGAAAAAGAAGGAAGTCGCCGAGGTTTGTTCTGCATAGTTAAAATGAGATTCCGGCTGTTTTTCAGGACCATGAGAGGTTCGTTAAAGCTGGACTAGGAGCTAAAAATCTTCAAGAGTACTGCGAAAAGCTTGAAGCACTGAAAAAAGTTTGCCAGCTTTTCGAAGGGCGCTATTTTTTCGGTTCAGGGCAGAAAAGGAGCCGATTGTTCAACACCAACTTCTATGAACAACTCGCTAGCCCCTCTGAGAACCCTCAATGTTTCGGCCATCACTCAAATCAATGAAACATTTGAAAATAGAGTAAGAGACCAACTAGTGGAATCTTTCATGAGATTTGGCTCTTTCAGATCAACCTTCAAATGCCGGTAGTCACCGAAGCGAGTGAGGAAAATTCACCCGGGTCGAGAAATGACGTTTCGGCTGAGTTGAAGGTACTCTTTCAAGTTTAAAATTTCTGGCGAAAAAGAAAAGTTTTAATATTTCTGAGATTTTGTTATGGATGCAGTTATTAGCAAGTTCTAGGTGCGACCCAAAAAAACGTGCAAACCGTCAAGCCAGAAGGGCCTTTAAATAAGAAAGGAATTTCAGCTCCGCCTTTTACATCGGTAAAATTTGAAAAAAAAAAATTGAAGATTACATTTTTGTCCAGGATGTACCAACTACAAGTCGTGAAAAAGAAAACGAGGTTCATTTTGCGGTTCCGAGTTTGCCGCCACGTGCTTTGAGTCGACAGAAAACCAAAAACGAAGAACGAGCCTCGAGGGTTTATTTTTCACTTTATTTTTCTCTTCATGAACGTAGAAAAAGTGAATTCAAAAGAGTGTTCTCACCAAATATATTTTGATTCAGCTGAGTTTCTGAGATTTTCTGATCCTTAAATAAAGTTTAAAGTTATGGAAACTATCATACATTCTGTTCTCTTTTTATTTGGGCATTCATTTCAAAAAAATATATATATAAGTGATCGTTTAGAAGACTAGATAATGATCATCTTCGGGACTTATCAGTGTCATTAGAAACTAGACGTTTTTAGGCGGATTTTTAATCTGTTCTGTGAAAAATTTTATAACAGCTTGAAAAGGAAAAGACGATATTAGAGGTCTTTTCACTACCAAAAAGACTTCAATTTAAATGATCTCCAATCCCTCAAAACTTTCCATGAACATTTTTACTGACTTTTTTTGATATTTTCGAGAGTGATCAAGTTCAGAATTAGCGTGAAAAACTACAATAGTGATATTAGATTTGTTTAACATTTCACTTTGACACGAGGCCGTTTCTTGGAGATTTCTTCATTTGTCTTGTTTTTCCAGAACAACTCGTTGAACAGCAGCAAGCTGGTGGATTCGCTTTTTGGGAACAGTCTGTTTGAGTCGCCTGGCCAGCGCATGTTCACGCAGCCGGTGAAGAGAACCAAAGTCCTCGGCAAAACTCCCGTTCGAAACTCGAGGCCCAGCAATGGATCAGGTGACTCAAAATATTCAAGTCTTTTTTTAATCGAAAATCGAAACGCATGCCTCATAACCGTACCAAATAGCCTAGGAACATTTTTTAAATGAATAATGAAAGGGTCTTTCGTCTTCTTTTGCTGTCTACGAAGAAATAATTGGTTGATATTTTAGGAAGCTTTTTTTCGGATTTCATTGAAATTGATTTGGTTTCACGGCGTATAATTCATCTAATGCCATTCAACTGATGAAGAACGAGAAGAAGAAAGAGGCGAAGGCCCGTAAGACCATGCTTCCAACTTGATCAACACTTCCAGTTCGCCAAAGGCATTTGCTCGCTGTAGTTTTAAAAGCTCTTGTTAAACGCCTAGTCGATAAAATCTGAAAAAAAAAGAAATTGAATGATTGAACTAATTCGTTTTGAACTAACAACGACGAGTTCAGAAAAGGAGAAGACGATTGATCAGTCGGACATCTCGCAGAACAGTACTCTTTTCGAAGAGTCTTCGTACATTGACGCCGTCTGTGACATTTCGAATCCTATGTTCGTCATGCCGACAGAGGCAGAAAGGCGAAAAGAAAGCGGGAAAAAAGAGACGGAGAGTAAGAAGCCGGAGAATCACGAACGTTCGACGGGTATGACGCCTTCGAGGGATCTCATTTGTCCTGAAATCAAAACTCCAGTGGCTCTGACCATCAAAACGGTATGATTAACATATGATTAACAAAAATTAACAAAAATTAACCGAAACTATAAGTGAAGTTTCAGATTGATTTCTTCCTTTCTAATTCTTTTTTCATTTTGAAACTTCCGAAAGGGAAAAAGAGATGTAGGGCTAGACAGTTTTTAAAGCGATTCAACTTCATATAAAACTTTTTCAGATGGGAGGAGAATTTTTTTCTTATTGAAAATTTTATTTATAGTCATTGTTTTTTTCGTTCAAAAGTTTTTTTTTACCCTTCAGTTCATGTTGATTCAAAACAAAAATGATATCTAATGCATGACTTGAAAATTTATTATTTTGTTTCATCATTCAAGTCATTTTTCAGCCCAATAACCGACGATCTCACGCTTTTTCCCAAACTACGCCTTCCAATCAGCCTAATTATCTTCGACCGACTGTTTCTTCACTAAATCGAGCCTCAAACAAGAATTGCCCGACGCCTTGTGGTCGAGTGGAAGAAACTGTTCATGAGGAAGAGGAACATTTCGCTCCTGCACAAGGTTTCAATGAGAAAAATTTTATTAAGCTTATTGGATTAGAATATTCTGACAACAAAGCTTCCAATTGTTGCAAGAGAAACTTTTTAATGAATTTGAGAATTTTTTTACTAAAATTCACCTCTTGGATAAGGTCCCTTTAATGAAATCTCATGAAGGCCAAGTTTTTTTTTTTGCAGAAACTTCAAGAGTCGATAAAGATCACGCGACGACCTCTACGTTGAAATGCGATGACTTGGCTGTGCCAATAACGCCGCGCAATTCGTTTCAGGTGCATATTTTTGAGAACTTTCCAGATAACCTACTCAATATTTATGGATTTGAGACTTCAATTTCGTCAAAATATAGTTTTTATTTTCTAGGATTTGATGTATTTCAGTCATTTGATGATGATCAAGAGCGGTCGCGATGTGTTCAACCACAAGTAGAAGAGGAAGAAGTCTCGCGGGATAAGAGTATAGGCGAGGATCTGGAGCAGGCGACCCGACACCTTTCTATTGCTGAAGAAGATGAAGACTTCGGCGCAGACTTCGACGACATCGAAAATGACGATGAAGATGAGGAAGATGAGGAAGATGAGCCGATGGAGACTTCGGAGCCGACACGACGTCTGAACCGAGTGGTCGTTGGTTCGGTTTAGTTGAAGGAACAGTCTTATTTCCGACGATTCAGAAGACACTATGTTTTCTTTGGGAACTCCTGGACGTCATCCAGCTGAGCATCATCCTGTTATGGGAGACACGACGGCTGACGAGGATCAATTCTTTATCCAAAATGTTCATTCTTTGCGAAGCAACTACGATAATGGCGAAGGAATGAGGCTAATTCCAAGAAAATTGAGTATGGCGTAATCTTTTTCGTGACTTTTTCACATCGCAAGAAGTTTTAGTCAAGCCAAACGCGGAGGCCGAGGTTTCACAAGGCGTCCGACGATCTACGAGAACCCGTGTGAAACCACTGAGAACGTGGCTCGGCGAACAAGCAATTTATGTCGATTCACCAAGAGGTATGATACACGTTTTCTTTTTACTTTCGAGCGGTTTTTGTTTTTCTTTTACATTTTTTATTGCAAAACAATTGACGCCTCCTCACCTTTTTTTCAATCCTCTATTTCAGGAGGTAAAAGATTGGTCGGTGTTACGGAGGTCAACATTCGAGACAAGCGTTTCATGAAAACACTGACTGCGGATCCAAGACTCGCGACACAGCGAGAAATTGAGATGAAAGGTTCGTTAATGCCACGTGGGAAGAACCATGAAACTGGGAAACTCAACACGCAAGATGAACCGAGAAATGGCGGCGCGAGTCTGGCGATAAGGCATGGTACTCGCGGACGATATCGCCTGGCTCTTGTCGCAATCTAGCACGGCTCTCGCCGCAGTGTTGCTTTTGAAAAAAATTTTCCGATCGGTTAGAAGTCAATTAATGGCAACGGGGGCATCAAATCCAATTAAAAATTAGAGAACAAAGTTAGGAAAATTTAAGAAACCGAAAAGTTGCGATATTGCCGCCATATCGCTCTGATGTCGCGCCAGAAATTTGCTAGAGCGCCGCGAAATCTCTCGCCGAGATCTAGCGTCAATCTTGTCGCTTCATCGCGGTTTACCTTGCGTGAACGAGAAAAGAAAGAGTCAACATAGTTTAAAACAAGCAGATTAGGTTTTTCCTTCGATTGATTCATCCGTTTCAGCTCAAAAGAGGCGAGCTGCACAAGAACGCAAAGAGAAGAAGATCCGACGTCTTTTGGATAGCCAGAGGCGGGGCCGCAACCTTGATAAATCCCACCTTGACATTGTGACGAGCAGCGACGAGGAATAAACTTCAGTTTTAAAACCCTGGATCAATTTTTCTCTTCTTTCATTGTCAGAAAATATCATTAATTTTTCTCTCTAATATGGATGAAATTCGAAAAAAGCTTTTACATGAAATTAACTATCTTGTGAATAAAATTATTTTGCTTTTTTCCAAGTGTAATTCGAATTTTATGCTTTCATGTAGTATAAATATTTATGAAGTCAAAAACTGAAAGTTTTATTGATCGTGACTCTTGTTCTTACCGTAAATCAGGAATTCAAAAAGCTTAAAGCTAAAGATTTTGCTCTGATACAAGATAAAGATAACTTCAGGAAAAATAATTTCATAATTTCTTCACTATCAGCAATTTGAAGCACACCTAACGACACATTTTCGTTTGCAAAACATTGACAGAAAATTCAACAAGTTTTCGTTGTGAAAAAGGTTCAAAAGCAATTTGAATTCGCGCGTGTGAGTAATTCGTGGCGGGAACCCAGCAGGCGCCAAAGCGTTGTAACTGCACATCTAACCCCGTATTTTGAAATCCAATTGCGGACAGTCCACTCGCAGTATTTGACCCCTCCTTAATAATCAATGGCGTGTTCATCGGAGGAACGGAACATGCTTCAAAACGAAAAATCGTGTTCATCGGCGCGCCAAAGTTGCTGTAAAACAATACTAATTCTTGTTGGAGCAATTTTCTTGCATTTCGAGGCAATTTTCGTTTTGTCCGATGAACACGCCACAAGTTTTTTGATCGTATTATTGACTTGACCCCTATTCTAATATTCTAATTACCTATTACAGTTTAAAATGAGAGAAATCGTCCACGTCCAGGCCGGTCAGTGCGGTAACCAGATTGGATCGAAGGTTCGCTTTTAATTTATTTTTTTAATCTCTTTTTCGCTTCAGTCTTTTTCTAACCGAGGCTAAAGGCAGCAGTTTTTTTCTTAATGCATTTTATTATTCTTAAAATGTAGTCGGATGTTAAAACCATTTTTATCTGTCGAGAAACCATTTGAAAAAATTTCTAGACTAAATTTGGCTTTTTTTTTCGTCATTTACTTAATAATCATCGAAAAGAATTTTGTCAGGGGATGAATAATAAAAATGTTAACTTCATAGGTTGGGTTCGTTTTAGAAATTGATACCGTGTTCAAGTGATTCCACGAGATTCAAAATATCAGTTAGTGAGTGAAAAAGATGATAAATTTGATCATCTATCATAAATATAATTGAAACTTCATTACCGTTTTATTTTTTACTTTTATTGATTTTCTGATTAGTTTATGAGAGCTTTAAGTAAAAATTTTAGAAAGTGTTGTGACCCAGCTTTTTAGAGTTTCTAATGAGATAGAGATAGTTTCATAAAGCCGGATAAAAAATTTTCGCAAATTTAAAGGTATCTCTGGATCTACAAAACTAAATTATCTTTTCCACTATCTGAGGGATATTTTGAATTTCTTTGAATCCCATTGAACACGGCATGAGATTTATCTGTTTTTGGAAGTGTTTTTGTGCTTTCTGCATATCGGTTTAACATGGGGGTCATTCGAAATTTTTCAAAGGTGAATGGTAGACTCCGCTTTGCAACAGGCGAGATTAACTTTTTTGTAAAGAAAATTTCAGCATATTAACATTATTTTTTTTAGTTCTGGGAGGTCATCTCTGATGAGCATGGTATTGCTCCAGATGGAACCTTCAAAGGAGAACATGACCTACAACTCGAGCGTATCAACGTCTACTACAATGAGGCCAACAGTACTAATATTGTTAACTTACATTTCAAGATTTGTTCTTTTATAGATGGCAAATACGTTCCACGCGCAGTACTTGTCGATTTGGAGCCTGGCACTATGGATTCTGTTAGATCTGGTCCATATGGAACGCTCTTCAGACCAGACAACTTTGTTTTCGGTTAGATCTTAGTTTAATATTCTAGCTCTGAATTTTTTCAAGGACAAAGTGGAGCTGGTAATAACTGGGCGAAGGGACACTACACGGAAGGCGCCGAACTCGTTGACAACGTGCTCGACATCGTCCGGAAGGAGGCTGAAGGATGCGACTGCCTCCAAGGATTCCAGCTGACTCATTCTTTGGGAGGTGGAACAGGCTCTGGAATGGGAACGCTTTTGATCTCGAAGATTCGCGAGGAGTACCCCGATCGCATCATGTCCAGTTTCTCCGTAGTTCCCTCACCAAAAGTTAGTTTTTAATAACGGTCGAAATCACAAACGATTCAAATTGAGAATTGATTCGATTTTTAGGTCTCCGATACAGTTGTCGAGCCCTACAATGCGACTCTATCTGTCCACCAGCTCGTAGAGAACACGGATGAAACTTATTGTATTGATAACGAGGCCTTGTATGATATTTGCTACCGCACCCTCAAGCTTTCTAACCCAACTTACGGCGATCTCAATCATCTCGGTAGTTTTTTTTTTCATTCATTAACAATTTAATTCTTTTTTTTCAAGTTTCTCTCACTATGTCCGGTGTGACGACGTGTCTACGATTCCCTGGCCAGCTAAACGCTGATCTGCGCAAGCTTGCCGTCAACATGGTGCCGTTCCCACGTCTGCACTTCTTCATGCCCGGCTTTGCCCCTCTTTCGGCAAAAGGCACTGCTGCTTACCGTGCTCTCACCGTCGCTGAGCTTACGCAACAGATGTTCGACGCCAAGAACATGATGGCTGCTTGCGACCCAAGACACGGCCGTTACCTTACCGTCGCTGCCATGTTCCGCGGAAAGATGAGCATGAGGGTGCGTGACGAGTTTAATTTTTTAGAATTACTGAATTTGTTTATTTTTAGGAAGTTGATGAGCAGATGCTAAATGTGCAGAACAAGAACTCTTCGTACTTTGTTGAATGGATTCCAAACAATGTGAAGACCGCCGTTTGCGACATTCCACCAAAGGGTCTGAAGATGTCGGCTACTTTCGTTGGAAACTCCACCGCTATTCAAGAATTGTTCAAGAGAATCAGCGAGCAATTCACTGGTATCAGTTTTTTGTTGTTTCCATTTTCTTATCGAAAATTTTGTAGCAATGTTCCGCAGAAAAGCTTTCTTGCATTGGTACACTGGTGAAGGCATGGACGAGATGGAATTCACCGAAGCCGAAAGCAACATGAACGATCTTATCTCCGAGTATCAGCAATACCAAGAAGCTTCCGCCGACGACGAAGCTGGCCTCGATGGATACGAAGGCGAAACTGGCGAGGCTTACGAGGAGGAAACTCAATAATTTTATTTATTTTTAAATTATTTTTAACCGGCGTTTTTTTCACTGTTAAATGAATAAACGTTCTAACTATTTTTCAACTTCAGTTCCAAACGACTTTTGTGGAAGGTAACAAACGTAGATTTTATAAAGATTCGCCCATTCGTTTGGCAGTGAGCTTCATTTTGCATCATCACATCGCATTTAACCCATCGGCGTGTAACTCGATATTATGCAAAGACGCTTCATACCCAAAAAAAAAGGCAAATAGACCATTTTTGGGTAAGGATATCTCACTCAGGCACTGACACTAAGAATAACTGACGAGATAAATGCGAGGTCGGTGGCGGTACATTGACGAGCTCGCAAACATCTCGCTTTTTTCTAGGCGCGATCTCGCATTTCTCTCTGCGCGACCTCGCATTTTTCTTGGCGCCATCTCGCATTTATCTCGCATTTCGGAAATTTTCAAATTGCGAGAGAAATGCGAGCTCGCGCCCAGAAAAATGCGAGACAGGCGCGAGAAAAAAAGCGAGATGTTTGCGAGCTCGTCAATGTACCGCCAGTGTCTCGCGTTTATCTCGGCAGTTATTCTTAGTGGAGCGATCAAGCACCGGGGGGTCGTGGTTTTTCTGTTTTCCAGTAAAATGCAGATCTGAAATAAATTCTTAAATACTAACTAGTGCTCCTGCTAACTTTTTGAAGCGGGTCCGAGCGCTTTTGAAACAATTTCGAAAAATGATTTTCAAGTGAGCGTTAGTATTTTGAATTTTAGTGCGTTCCAATTGTTACGTATAAACTGGAGTAGCACAATAAGAAAAGATGAACAGACAGTAAAATGTGAAGTTTGTACTTTTAGTTAGTTTTAAAAGCTGAAACATTGAAAAGAACATGCTCATGCCCCCACTTCTGGCAACAAACAAGCATCTTCAGTGCCTGAGCACATTTTAAAATTGAAATCTAACTTTGCTTGTTTATTGCAAAGAAACATTTTATTCATTATTTTTCGGATTCCAAAAAGGAATGTACGATTGACACTTCGTAAAAAATTTCGTTTGATTTTTTCCATCTTTCTTGTTTAACTTCAAGTTGTTAAAAATTCATGGCAACTGACCAGAGTGAGCTGTTTGTCAAGCGAAACGCCAAATTGGGTTTATTGCCGTGTTCAAAGAAGTTTCGCGGAAATTAAAATTGTCATTGAACTTCCAAAAGTAGTTGACTTACTCATTTTCTGACAGTTAGCTCGAATTTTGCGGAATCAGTAAAAACCAAATATTTTTCCTTGATAGCAAGAAAGACTGACAAACTTCAAGAGAAGTTTTTATACGAAAAAGACCAAAGTTTTTTTGTACAAAATATGAGGAGTTTTTTCTCTGGTTTTTTTTTCAAACAAGATGGGAAAGTCGAGCTTTTTCCACATGAAAAAGTTTTTCTAATAAAAAAATGAATAGGGGTTCGAGATTATCCGTGGAAATAAGCAATAGAAATATACTTTACGATCAAAAGGATACAAGCCAAAAAGAATGAATGGTTGTTTAAAATCCGTACTTTGCGCGTCCCATCCTTTTCGTTTGCTTTTGCTGAGCCCATTGTTCCTGTAGCTGCTCCTCGCGCGAAACGGCCTGAAAAACCGATCACATACGTGAAGAAACAGCAAAAAAAAGAGTAAAAAAATTAACTTGTCATATTCAGTTATTTAATGAGAGAATATTGTTGTTGGATCCCGAGATTTTAAGTGAGCCCTTGAGAGGCATATAGCCGATAGCCGATTTACAGTTACCTTGGAAGGCAAAATTCCGTGGCCTGTCAGCTCTGCATAAACCAGGCATTCTCTTAATACATTTTCAGAATTTTTTTTTTCTGATGGCTCAAGCCAGCCGTAAATCAGCTATATCAGTGTCCCAGAAATACTTCACTCTTACGCCTGGTGTCTTCCTTCTGTCCGAGACCAGACAAAAATCTCCCAGAAGAAAAAAATGTTGAAATAAAAAGACACTCATTTTAAAAATATAGCGTGAAGTTCAGTTTTTCGAATTACTCCGTTCTGTGTATGCACAGATGATCGGAACTACAGTACCGTAACAAGCCGTTTTTTTTTTGCAAGGATTTGATGACTCGATTCAACTGACCAAATTGGCGAGGTATGTGATTTGATGCTTGCGTCGTGCAAGCTGATTGGTCATTCCTGGCGGCTGAGGCAGCGGCTCTTGCGTCGATTTCATGAACGCGTGGTGGGTCAAGTTCTTCAACACTGTCGCCTTGATGTCGCTGCCAAGAGCCTGAAGAAAATTGAACAGATTCGAAAATAGAGTTTGAGATATTGAATAAAACGGATGAAACGAATTATTTTTCGTTTCTTCTCCTTAAAAATATCTTATCAGATATTTTGAGTCGAAAGAAAAGCCCAAATATGTAAATTTCCTCCAAGTGTGAGCTAAAGTAACTTCTGCGAAATAAAGTGATCAAATATTGAATTGAATTAAATTATTGAAACTCACTTCAAAAAATCAAACTTGAAGGGAAATTACTATTTTTTATGGAATGAAAGCCAGTTTTCTAGTAATAATACTAGTGCCATTGAAAAGAAAAAAAAAACTGACGTCATCCACTTTGACGTCGACCAAATTCGCGGCCATATCGTTGTAAGACCTGTCTTCGCCAGGTCCAATGTCCCTGGCGTATTGCATGATGAGACGATGGGCTCCCTGCGAAATGCAGTAGTTTTAGTGACAAATTTTTTCATTAGCTTTCAAAAAAAAATTTTTTTAGCACGACTTATACGCATTTGTATCATTTTTGCTAGCGGTGAATGGATCAACTTCTTAAAGAGTTGAAAACTCTATAAAACTTTGAAGATACAACTCCATACTACAGAACATTTGAAAGAAAAAATGCATTTACTTTCATTTATGAGCGCTTGGATCGCGAATTCAGACGCAATATCGACACTTGAATTGCTTTTTGATAGTTTTCTAGTCCTCAAACCAGCTGTGAGTACATTATTGAATCGGAGAACAGGACTTCGAACATGGGACCTCGAAAACAGCTAGGGAGAGGCGAAAAGCGTACAGAAGAGACGCAAATTTATTGTTGTCTTTTCAGCCCACTGTATGGCTCTCAATGTTCTCCATATCTCTCTCTCTCTCTCTCTCTCTAAAAAATAGCCCTCAAAGGTTCGGTAGAACGAATTGTTTTCAGTAAGAGTACAACTAAAAGATACATTTTTTAAAAACAAAAACAAACTTAACTTATTCTCGTTTCGAATGTAGCTATAGACTATGACTCTATTTATTTTAAAGCTGGACGATGTACTCTTAATTTTGTATTTGAAGAAATTAATCGAAAGATATCACCTAAAATTGCTTCGGAACAGAGTAAATCAATAATACTTTACTTCCTACCAAATTAAAACCGTCCTAAAAAACTTAGAAGACATAAAGCACTGCAAAAATGATTTATAAGAGCATTGCTCCCACTCATTACTCCTATCGAAGCTATCAAAACTTTTAGAGCTGAGTTTTGTCTGCAAAAAAATTTGCGACCGGTCATGTAATGTGGAAAGGACTCTCGGACCTCATCAGAGATGACGCCGCCGCGGGGAACGTACTCCTCCTCAGGCATATCGACGTGGTTGTAGAGCTGGCTCGGGTGCAGCTCCTCCTGAGTAGGCCTGGAAGGTCCGACCAGATCCATCGAGCCGTTGATCGGCAAGGCCGGGATCTCAAATAACACATGTTTCTGAAGAAACGGTCCTTGATACCTCGATAGGTTGTTCAACTCGCGAAGGACCGGACGAAGATAAACCAAAAAAATCCGCGGGTTCATCATCGGAATCGTCAGACCCGGCTTGGACCAGACTGGGTACTGGCCTGCTTGTGATAGCCTGTTTCACCTGTGAAAATCCATATTTGAGGATAACACGCTGAGAAAATCTTGAAAAGCGAGAAAGTTGTTCAATAAAACCTCGATGATTGAAATGAAAGCGACGCTTCTTAACTTTTTTCAATACTGATCGTTTGACTGTTTGATTTGAATTTTTCTCGATTTTTAAAGAGAATTGAAACCTGTTTTCTGGCCACCGACAGAGGCTTCATAGAACTGGCGACACTGCCCAAGGCTCCGGCGACGTTGTTCTTGCCTTTTGGCGCCGGCAACATTGACAGAAAGCCCGTTGGCTTCGCAGCTGTGGTAGGACGTCGTGGCTGAAAAAGTTCCGGCTTTGAAAAATAAAAACTGCGAAACGAGAAAACGTTTGAATGTTCTTCGTGAAAGAAGCTCAGTTACTAGGGTAGCTAAGGTTTCTGTCTTGAGAGAAAATGGCACTGAAATAACAAAACCCACACTTCCTCACTTGATAACCTTGATATGAGAAAAAAAAATTCCGATAAAAAACCTATTTAAGAAAGTTTTGAAAATAAAAACTTTGGATCATTTATAGAAGTCTGAAAAATCAATCACACAATTCAAAAATTTTTTTTCTATTCCAGAAGCGAGAACAAGGTATTAATAACTTTAATTTCATGGATTAATGCTATGAAAAAGAATTTCGAACGCTAAATTATATAATGTATATTCTTATTTGCGAAAAAAGAGCACTGACTGGTTTTTCTTAACATGAATTTAGTTTAGAGAAATCAAGGACGTTTCACTGATTCAACGAAATATGAGTTAGACCAAACGGAAGACTTACCACATCATCATCACTGTCCGAATCCGCGTCTTTCATCAGATTTCCAAGCGCGCCAAACGCCGCAATAACCACTTTACCTGAAAAACTTGAATATTTATAAAACCGGAACTTTGGTTAAATTCCACGCATGTTTAAAGCAGTACTAGGATGGCCCTTCAATATGGCGCCGTCTGTTTCGGAGTCAGGAAATATTTGAAATATTTTCTCTTCCTTGGAAATTTTACAAAAACTATTTCTAGTGACAACTAGATGGCTTACGTTTGAAAAAAAAACAAAATTTTCCATTTAATATTCGGGAATCCTTTTCAAACTAACGTAATACGACCAATCGGCTTTTTTTTATTTATTCAATTAAGTCAAGCACAAAATTACAAATTGAATAGTAGAAAAACTTTGACAGACTTTATCCATTATTTGAATCGAACTAAATTATACTCGTAATGAGAAAAAGTTTCTAAATATCGAAATTTCAAAGAAAACCACGAAAATTCTATTCAGATATTACCGACCAAAAAAAAACTTTCAATTTTTCATGGAGATTTTTCTTTTCGTGCTAAAATTAAGAAATCTACTCATATTTTATTACACTACCTTTCTCTTTTACTGGCTTTCCGACGCCCGTCGAGACTTTTTCTATGCGAATTTTCTTTTCTTTACTTTCCTTCTTTGCCGCCTTTTTTTCCTTCTTGGCTGCTTTTTTAGCCTAAAATGGGCACACTTTGAAGAATAACCGTCGCAACGCAAAACCTTCTTTTCCAATTTCTTTTTCGCCTTTTCTGCCAGTTCAATTTCCCAAGCCTTTGGCTTGACCGATTCGTCAAGGGCGTCTTCTGACGTCATTTCAACATCGTTCGAATTGGAAGGTCCTGGCTTTTGTGAGTTCTGCAGTAAATCAGTTCAATTCAAAAAATAATTAAAATATTGAACCGAACTCTGTGAAAGTTAGAAAAAAAGAACAAAACCAAAGGCGAAGATGAATCTTCATTTTCGCTATCCGAGTCGCTTCCATAGTCGACAAGACCCATTTTCACTCAAAAATATTTTCTTAAGATTAAGATCCAAAAATAAACGAAATCTCATAAAGTACGGACATGTGAAATAATATTCAAATAGAGTTTTATTAAACTTTCCACGCCACGGATATGATTCACAGCGTCTAAAGCTTATTTTGAATGGCATTTACAGATATGAATGAATGTTTATTTCGCTCACAGACAGATCTGTGGCGTGGAGGAAGAGAACCATGAAAGTTATATTTGCCACCACTTCGATAAAGTTCCACTTTAATCTAAAAATATTTTAGGTCGAAATCGAAGAGAATCAAAAATAAAAGCAATCTATAAACGAGTTGAATCATTTTGTGAAATTTGCAGCTTCCTTATCAATCAATATTTATTGGTTGTTTTAGTCAGATGGTATCGACTAGGCGGTGAAAAAATTGCTCTTTTGAGCGGCACTAACACCGCCTTTGGCGAAAAAGAAGTCAAAACGTGTAGTCGATTGAATTGAAAGCATGGTCTTACGGTCCTTCTCCTCGCTCTTCCACAAGTAGATCCCTCAGTTTCGCGGGTACGGGCACGGCGGAGATGGTGGGGCTCGGGCACGGACACCGTGTACACTCTAGGGTAGCCTCGGCCGACTGAGAGAGCTACCACTTAAAGTGAAGAAAATACACGGAACATATTATAAAAAAATTATAAAAAAATATTTTTAACTTATAAAAAAATATTTTTAAATTAATTATAATATTATATAGAAAAAAAGAAAATCATAACTACGAAATTCTTCATTGAGAAAGTTTCTGTATTAGCTTTGTCTGATTTCGCTACACTTTATTAAAAACCATGCAGAAAATATGTTGGAAACGGAAACAAAGTAAACTAATAAAAAAGAAAGAAAACTTTTCGCAAAAATTTTTGATGGTACGACAAAATCTCAAGTCCGCAAATCTCGAGGACCGTAATCTTGTGTACGCAGATCTAAAGTCCCATAACCTTGGAAACCACGGCGTTTTTGCCGTGTTCAAAGTGATTCCGCGAAATTCAAAATAGCCGTCAGAGAAAGAGAAAGATAACTAAATTTTGGAGGGTCAGAGACCATTTTGCATTTCGCGGAAATTACTTTGAACAGGGCATTTAAAAAGGCTGGAGAGGGTGGCTAGTGGGCGCGGCTTAGCGCAACTGTCGCGCAGTTTTAGGAGACGTTTTTCCGCGTAGATTTACGTTCGCGTGTAAATGTTTTTGGCTGTTAAATTCTGTAAAACTGTTTCTTCCTGAGAATATCGTACGTGGAAATGTTCATCTCATGACGGGGAACGAGAAGAAACCCAAAAAATTTATGGGAACTTATGAAGAGTGAAAAATTAGCGATTTTTCGAAAAATCTGTTTTTTGCTCCAAAATCTTGAAAACTCGCTTTTTTCTGAAAAATTACTACGGTGAACTGTTGATCAAACAATGGAGAATAAGATAAAATCAAAGAAAGTTTTTCGAATAAAGATTGAAATAGAGAAATTAGAGCTTTTCTCGAAAAACCTGTTTTTCGTCATTAAATCACTAAAAAGTAGTCTTTTTTTGAAAATTTTTCACGGTGAACTATCAATCAAACGATGGAGAACAAGTTAAAAACACAAAACTAATTGCAATAAAAGGCTAAGATCCAAATTTTAGACGATTTGCGAAAACTGAAAACTTCGCGAAATCGGGAACAAGAAAAATCGTGTTCATCGAAAAATTTTCGTCTCAGTTATTAACAACTGTGGAGAAAAAATGGAGCAAAAAGATCTAAAAACAACGAAATTAAGTGAAAAAAAAGAAAAAGTGAATTGAAAAATTAATAATTATCTGATAAGAAGTGTACGCTGGAGCGAACTTGCTTCCTCCTACCGTACTCCGCCGCAGGCTTGTGCGTCAGGCCGGGCCGAACTTCAAAAATTTAAAATTTCATTTGAAAAAAATTTGCACCGAAATGTGACTTTTTACTTCTGAAATCATAGTTTTTTTGTTAAACTTTAAGTGAAAAAATGAGCAAAAAACATAATTTTTGTCGTAAAAAAACTTGATATTCGACTAGAAAAAAATACGCGATTCGGGCCGGGCGGGCCATTTTTTCTTGAGGCCAGCTAAGGCCGGGCCGGGCCGGGCTTACGAAACGGTCGGGGGGCCGGGAGGGTGACGGGCCGGCCCTCGCACAAGCCTGCTCCGCCGTTAGAACGTTTTCATCAGGGCACATTTTATCGCCTGCCAGTTTTTCTCTTCACGTCCACCCTTTTTAAAACGCCGTGAAACCAAAATCTTGGAGACCAAAATCTTGGAAACCACAATCTTGGAAAGCAAAAATTTTCCCTTTTAGTCTTCTTTATTGCACTTTATCTACTTATACCTTTTGTTTGGATCACCGAATACAATTTCTGAAAAAGTCTATTCGCAAAAGCGTTGATTTTTGCTTTCTAAGATTGTGGTTTCCAAGATTTTGGTCTCCAAGATTATGGGACTTTAGATCTGCGTACACAAGATTACGGTTCTCGAGATTTGCGGACTTGAGATTTTGTCGTACCATCAAATTTTTTTTTTCTTTATTCACTTCACGCAGAATTGCGGACTTGCTACGAACTGCGGACAGTACACCCAACACAAAATCCCAGCTGAAGCTAATTTTTAAAACCAAAATTTCGACTACTTAATCAGTTTAAGAGTTCAACTAAACGCGAAAAAAATGAATTAATCAGATTAGAACGAGCTGGTAAAAAAATTTTCTTTGAAAAATGTATGTTTTTCAACACTCTTTCTATGCATAGGGCGCGTCGTAGCGCAACAGGTTGTGTGCCTCTCTACGGTCCACAAGGTCACAAGTTCGATCCCCGCCCCGACCCAACCAAGGGGTTTAAGAAATGAAATACCCAGCCGTCACACACAAGGACGGATATGTCACTAGAGCCAGTCCGCTGATTATCCCTGATATCAGGATAGGGCCTCGGCTAATCGACTTGGGGCGCCGACGCCGCTCAAGCGGTACAAAGGCGTAGGAAGAAGAAGAAAACTCTTTCTATGCATAGCTGAGCTCAAAATAAAAATTATTAATGATCATACTTTTTCCTTCCCACTTTCCAAACTACTTACCTGCGACCACTATTTAAATTTCTTTAAAAAAAGCACACTATGAAAAAAAAATATTCAATACAGAATTTACAGATGAAATCAATAAAAAAGTCCGAGAATCTCTGTAATACAAAGCCTAGATGTTTTCAGCAACGATGAGTTCAACGGATTCAGCGCTGTTTTAGAACTTAATAATGCCATAAAAATATTTCAGAACTTAAGAATGTCATAAACAATCAATTTGAAAAAAAATTTGTAATTGACACCAGAAAAACTTCCAGAAATATTATACAATTGAGAGATCGAAAAAAAAAAATGTAAGAAGAGATGATAATTAAAAAAATCGTCGTTCAGGCAAAAAAATTGTCCTTTTTTTCTTTTTCCATCATTGACTCGGGACTGATAACGTTCTTCTGCGGAGCGCGGAGGATTCCTTCAAAATTTTTTTGAGAGTCATTTTAAAAATTTTTAAAAATGTTTTTTTAATTCGAAAGAATTTATCCTGCTAGCACAAAAAAAGAACAGAAGAGATTGAACATAAGAATTAAAAAAATTATAAATGAATATGCACCGTTTTTGTTACATCACAACGTTTCAGCTCAAGTTCATGCTCTTTCGAAAAAACTGTGTCAATTCCGATCGATTTATTGGAACTCTACCTTGCTCATAGATGCTTCTGCCAAGGGTGGCGCCACCGTATGGGGAGTAGCCGTAGAGACCGGTCCCAAAAGGTCCGCCTAATCCGCCTAGTCCGCCAAGACCTCCAAGTCCGAGGCCCATGCCGCTTCCCAAGCCTGAACGACTCATTTCAGACAGTTTTAGCCTTGATTTCTGAACAACTCACACGTTCCACAAGACATGCCGCACATCCGTCGCATCACCAACGGATTCGTCGCGCACTGGCCTGAAAAAGGACGGGTTTAGTGAATAGGGTAAAGATTGTCTTCAGAAGGACTAAAACAGCTAAAGAGAACATTCAATGATCTTTTTGTCCTTTCCAAGTGCTCACTTAAGCAACATCGAGAACTCACCAGTACTCGCCCAAACTGCGCACTGCGGACTCAGATCCATACACGACGACATTCCATAGCCGCCCATCATGAGAGGATTCATCATACTTCAAAAAAATCAAGGTATTTTTTTCTATTGCGTCTGCTCACCCTCCATATCCACCGTAGCCGTAAGGATTCATCATACCGTAACCACCATAGCCTGAATTCATCGAATTGCAGCCTGTAAGTGCAGTGCAAAAACACCATAGGTACAGTTCCTCATTGAGAGTGTGGATCAATTCTTTGAAAAGCCTTACCGTAACCACCGTAGCCCCCATAAAGACCACCGTACTGGGCACAGACCGGCACTGCTGCAAGGAGAGCTAAAAAGGAGTAATACTGAAATAAGACTGAAACATTTTTTCGTGGAGCTATTTAAAAAAAACTTCAGCAAAAGTTCTCGAAAAGACTATCTACGTAAAAACGAGATCAAATGAGAGAAAAGAGGAATGAAAGAATTATAAGAGCCTGGGTTGAACTCCGAAAAAAAACGGTATCTAAAATGACGGAAAAAAAAACGTAAGACCTGTACAATTTCAATTATTTAAGCAATAATTTCATCTTTTTTTTCACTGCCTCAATGGTAAAACTCAAAAGTAGAAAAACTCCAAATTGAAATAAACCAACCGCACAACAAGACGGAGTAAAACTGCATAGCAGATCTGCTTTTGAGTTCGAAAAAGTCCGATAAAACTGGCCGAAGCCTAGAAATATTCAGCCGCCCACAAAAAAGAGAAACCGGAGTTGTTGAGGGTGGTTTTTCCACTTTGAAATGACGAAATAAAGCGGATTTGTCCGCGTAACCATACTACACGAGGGATAAACGGTTTTATGATCAACACAATGCAACGGTCAGACAAAGTCCGGCGAGTCGATAACGTTTTGCAGCTGGTTGCAAGTCTGCAACACGAAACGGATAGCGTTAGGAGAGGATTAAAAATAGAAACGAAATTTTTTTTTATACGCTGCTGTGATGAGCTCGAAAATTGTCTAGGTAATTGTGAAAAAAATCTCTCAAAAATCGAAAAATTTCGATTTGATTGATGATTCCTTTCTTACAGTTTTTCTAGAAATTCTTTGAATTCAGATTCGGAAACAGTGTATAAAACTGATTTCATTCAGCATAAGCTCATTCAAAAACTCCGATACTTCTCAATAACCCAGTATCAAAAATCTTGGCTGCAAAATTTATTCAGAAGTTGAAAAAAGAAAAAAAAAATTTTTTTCCTTTTGTCGATTCCTTATTTTTTTAAAGCGCTTTTATTTTTGCCGTTTGAATTTCAGATACCGACTGAAGCTCGTATTATTTTCATTATTTTTTAACCTTTTGTTGATTTAAATAACACCCCCACCTTATTTTGTTCGCTTGCCGAAACAGGAGCCTCAAAGCCTGGATGCTGTGGACGTTCATTAAGAGGTGGAGCCTGGAAGTATAGGATCAAGATCGATAAAAAATTATCTGAGTTTTGCTTGAAAACCCACAAGATCCTGTCGAAAAGTTAGATTCAAAAAGAGAAATCAGGCTCTAAAAAAGTGCGAAATCGTTTAAAAAAACTGAATCAGAAAAAACTGCATCAGAGAAAAAAGCACAAAAAAAAAATTGTGATTGCAGCCTTGAGAAAAAGTGAGCTGATGTTGTGAAAGCAAATCGTTAGGCTGTCTAAATTTAAAATAATGTTTTCAAGGAAGTTGTAGATGGATTACTGGTAACGCAAACTCTTGGTAACGCAAATCGGACGCGCTTCGGATGATTTTGAGCTTCTCTAGTGAACATTTTTGAGAGAGCTGACGCCGCTGAAGGGATCATTGATTAAAGTCTCAAAAGGCGCGATTTTCTCAAAGTTTTGCTAGAGTGCACTTGCGAAAAAAAGCCATCGTTCTGATTAATCGGAGAGAAAATCGAGAGCACCTTGTAGCTATCTTGACTTTTCGAATTTTTCGATCTTGAACGTCTCTCGTTGTTGCTGCTCGGAGGCTTCTTTTCTGCCCCTCCTCGAGAAAATTTCCTGCGATTGTGCTGAATTTTGTTCCTTTCAGAGCCTTTTTCTGACGGGGGCTTCTTCAGTTCAGAGACATCTCTTAGTTGACTCGGCGACTGAAAGAAAATCGTGGTTTGGCGGAAAGAAAAAGAAAAACATAGGTTGGGACAATCAATCAATGTGAAATCAAGACATCATGAGATCTTTTTCACTAAACCTCAATTTTGACATCTAACAATTCAAAAAAAAAAAAACTGATAAAAAAACTTACAACTGAAGCTTCTGCTTTGCTATCGATTTGAACTGAAAAATAATTTTTTTTTGTTTCGCAAATGACAATCATATGTGAAATATGTTTAAAAAAAAATCAAAAGTAGAGCAATGTGGGAATTAAATGAAGATCCCTTTTTTCCCCCAAAAAAATCCCTTTTTTTTACTTCCATGAAATAAGTAGAAAAAAAGAGAACGGACCAGGCCGAGTCATTCTTCTGTTAACGCTCCCTTCATTCTGTTTGGACCCACACAGCCAAACAGATGCAAAAAAACTAGAAGTCGTGAAAAAAATACGAATGCGATAAAAGGTTGGTCCATCAGCCTCCGGAAGAACCTTTGTAGAAATGGCGAGAACTTCAGCGTTTATTTATTTTTAATATACTAATTAAATCTTCATTGGAAAAGTTGATTAGCAATAAGAGAAAAAATGAAGAGAAAGGCGACGAATTTGACGAACATCCTCATGAGCTCGACCAACTCCCGGCTTTTGTCGTTCTCCATGACGCGGACGTGGAACGTCGACAGCAGGACGTTCTGCGACGAGTAGCAGCTCAAAACTCGATTCTTGATATACTCGTTTTTGCTTTTTAAACTAAAGTAATTCAAGGCTCGATTGTGAAAACAAACCATTTATTTTATTGCTCCATTTTTTTTTTCAAAATAACTTGAAAGAGGAACCTTCGAAAACCTTGGAATTATGAAAAAGCGTATTAGAGAAACTATTTTCATATCGAAACAGTTAAGATATCAAAACCTTAAATGACCACTTGAGTAAAAACTCACTAGTACTGATCGTCGTCTTGCATGGTGACGGCGTCAAAAATCAGCCTCCAGTCGTCATCGAAATACGCTCTATCCTAAAAGAACTTTCAAGGGATTTTCCAAGTTCTCCTACCGAATACGTCTCTTTCAAGTTGCTCTGCTGCAGGAGGCCACGTTTCATCGAAAACCAGTGAACTCCGTGAGAAACGTCGTAGATTCGCTGGCAAGTCATTACGAGGGAATCGCCTGGAAATTGGCAGATTCTTTAAAAAAACAGAATTCTTAAAAAAATTGTTCATATATGGCATATGTAGATAACATTTTTCCGTAAATAAATAGGCCATGAAGTTTGAAACCAGAGATTTTACTTTCTAATTGTTGATTAAACTTTTAGCCCTCTATTAGTACCTTCAACGACGAGGATGACTTTGCGAGCGACCGGCGGCAAAATTCGCGGAAGAAGTTCTCCGAACAGGTACTCGCCGGCCGGCAGATAGTCCATGACGCGGAACTCGCCGAGCTCGTCGGGACTCTTGACTTCTCTTCCCACCGCCGCCTGCGTCTTGCAGTCTTCCTATAGTAACCTCCCTTCTCTTCCCTACTTTATAATCTCAAACCCAACAAGGCCGATGTTCAATGTGAACCACATCGTTACCCAGACTCTTGAGATGTTTCCTCAACTCGATCGGGACCAACGAGCTGGAGCAAGGTACCACGCCGAAAAGCAATATCCAAGAAGCCTCGGACGGCAGCAAGTTGGGCGGGACACTCGGCTGGAAGGCGTTTGCGGTCGCGTCACGGATTCAAACTACCTTCAGAAGACACTGTATATTTCGGGTTTCTTCTCCAGTCTCTTGAGAGCAGTAGCTGCAGGAGCTCCATTCCGAAGCCTGAACTGTTCGGCTTCATTTTTCCCCCAAATTATCACCTTTGTCTCATACTTGAGCTTCAGATCTCCGAACTCGCCGCTAGTCAGATCAACATCCTTCAGAATCGCGTTCGATCCCAGTTCTCCTTCTATCTCAAATTAAGAAAATTATATTTTCAAACGAAATCGAACATTTGTTCTTATCGATAGATTTTTAGGAATTACTTGGAATGAATCTGTCTTTTATCGAAACGTATCACAAGTTATATTACTTTGAAATTCTGCCTTTTTTCTGCTCATCGAAAAAAACGCACATGATTGAACTTTTTTTTGGTGATGACTTCCAGGAAATAGGTATTCGATACGACGTTCCGCAGATGACGGTTCGCGCATCGGAAATATCCCGTCTGATTGGCTGTTACTGACTTCAGAAGAAGCTCGTAGCGGTCGCCAAGGCCGAATTTCGCATCTTCTCGATTTAAAAACCTGAACAGATGGCTTCCAGATTGATCATTCACAAAACCACAGAAATCTCGCAAGGCTAAGAAAATGAAAGCTTCAAACTGAAACGACCTAACCGATTAATTTTATCCGAAACTTTTTCAGCCGAAGTCCGATGCATGCTGGACAGCTGCGAGAACCGCTTCCCGATCGGGGCAAACTCCCAGTCGAACTTCCATCTGACGTCAATTTAGAATAAATGTATTCAAAGGGGGGCAAACAAAAATTGATACTTCGAATCGAAAAAAATCAATTTGAAAAACTGAAAAATTCTTAACTTTTTCAAAGTTGAAAGTTATGGTTGGAGAATCTTTCGCTTTCTTTTTTTTCAAAATCAAATTTTCTGTTTCAAACTTCAAACAGCTCCCAACACCATTTGAGCTGCCTTAGCAACTTCAAAGTTCAGATACGTCTTTTAAAAAAACGGCTGCGAGGTAAATTTCCCTAACTTCATGGAAATCGGAAAGCAACCTGACATGATTTCAAACAAAAAACGACCAAAATTGAAATGGAAGAGATTTTTGAAACCTGTCTTTGTCCGGCATGGAGAAGGTTGACTTTAGTAGGCGCTGAAAAAAGTTTTCCAATAAGGAAATGTTTCGGAGGGAATACTTCTTTGAAGAAGTCGACAGCCGAACTGGCCATTCTGCCTATGGCACCGGCCGATGGCTTGTACGTCGTCTCGATTTCGATGCCATCTTCAGGTGAAACGCTGAAAAGGATAAAAAATGATGAAAAGATCAAACTCAGGTGTCTAAAGTCATTAAAGCCATCAAAAAGCTACATAAGTTGCCGCCAAGAAAGCAAGCCTACCATGTGAAGCACGGAAGAACCACGTCGGACCCTCTTGTCACCGTCATCACCTTCAAAAACAGGATAGTAGATGAACCAAAGTCTCAAATCGAACCTTGACATGGACTTCATTTCCCAATGTCTTTTCAGAGTCCAGAAGACATTTCCCGAACTGGTCGAACTCCTGGTCCAACAGCGACTTTGCGTTCTGAGAGTCAGTGAACATTAGAACATTCATTCAATTGCAAAAAATGTTGAAGAGACAAAAAAACGCATTACAGGGAAGCGAGTCTAACCATATTAACAAAATATTCCCAAGTAAAAAAAAACGCTTTGAAATAAAAGTAGCTATTAATTCTGTCTCGTTTCAGAATAGCACAATGGTCCAAGAATTGCAGAAAAAAAAATTTGAAATGGTACACTACATTTGTAGAAACGTGTATAAAAAGTCATAGAAATGCTTCACACAGGAGTCATTCTCAGGGGGTTTTGGCTTCTGTAGAACTTCTGCGCCTTTGAAAAACCCAGCAAGGATTTTCGAACAGACTATGAAATAAGATCGACATTCTCCGTACCACTGAAAAAATCAGAAAAAGTCCCAAAAAGATGTGATATAACATTCCCAGATGAGAATTTCAAAATGGAAGTCGGTATCCACGTGATTTTTTCCCGCGAGCGAAATCGCGTGAGAAGAAAGTTTCTTTTGAGAAGAACGTTTTAACGGTTATCGAGTCGAGGAACAATGGAAAGTATTGAAGCACAGGAAAAAAAACCACAAAACGATTGATGGGAAGGAAAAAGAAAAAGTTGGAATCAATATATATTTTTTCCTTGGTCGTTTCTTTTTTCTCTCAATATCTTTTGACTATAGTAGCTGGACATGAGTGAACTTTGAGCTAGATTTCACAAAAGGTAAGGTTTTTTTTTAGAAACATGACCTTAGGGCCACGACAAAAAACGAAAATATTTTCGCCGAGGACCTCATATTTTGATATCGAAAGGATTTCAACTCGAATAATACATTTTTTAACCGTTTTCTTCCATTCAAAACGCTACTTAAAAGCTTCCAAATTCTTAAGAGATCACCGAAGAAAGTGAAAAATGCCTGTCAACCACCGAAAAACAAAACGAGCCATTTTCCATATAATGCTTTGAACTTCTGAAAATGTTTTCTTTCCATAGCTTCTTAACTTTTTTGAAACTTAAGTATCTCATTACGTTCATCTCTCGAAGATCAAGGACGAAATAAAATAACATGCTCATTTTCAACTTTTTTTTTTGACTTGCTTACAAGTAGAAGCTACTCGAAATAGAGTACACTTGCGAAATCGATACAGAAGTATAAAAAAAAACGTTGACTCAACCATTTCAATGTATGGGAGAAAAATGTCGATAAAGTGGTTCGGGAAAACTTTTCGCAGCTTCGATCTTCAGCCTCAAGTTCATTGAAATTTCTCATCGAAAACAAATTCCAGATTTGTTTTTTTAACCTTTTTTGACAGTTCCGAAGTTATATTTTTTTACCCTATAAAGTAAACATTCTAAAAAAAAAAAGATGAAAATTTATTAACTCAAGATGCTGTAAACCTCTTGAACCTCACAGTGTCTCTCTAACAAAAAATTGTTTCCTTTTTGCTTTTCGAATTTTCCTAAAATGCCTTTACCTTGAAGGATCCTCCGGAATCACCCGTTTGACTCTACATGGAATTTGCCTAGAACTCACCGGAAATGACGGTCTCCTACAATCTCGACGTCTCTTCGGTCTCGTCGTTCAACTCCCTTCGATTGCTCTTCCGCTGGCGGGGCTCCATCTGGAAGTCAGTACTCGGCGAGCTCGCCATCTTTGCCGTCGCCTACGCCGTCGTCGCTCATGCCTATCACAATTACATGGTTCCGAACAACTTCGGAGCAAGGTGAACTTGTTCATTTTTTTTTTCTTCTAAATTAGCAATTTAATCTTTGTCATACTGTATTTGAAAAGCTTTTTAAAAACGTGATTTTAAAATGAAAAAGCATGATTTTTTTAGAAAAAGAGCTCTGAATTTTTCGCTTTTTTGGAATATTCGAATCTCCAATAGCTTTTTCATATGCAGTTTTTTCGTTCAAAATTTCAAAATCCAAAACTAAAAAAAGTATTTCTAGTCACTTCGAAGCATTTGCGCACCAATGTGGACAGCTGATGAACACGATTCCTTTGACGTTCATGCTCGCATTTTTCGTCTCCATAATCGTCGAACGGTGGAGGACCACTTTCAACAACATGGGATGGAGCGAGAAGTTTTTCTTCAACTAATCAAAAATCGATGCATTGATCATTTGAGTGTTGCTCTGTTGACAAACACGACGATCGTGAATGATTCGGCCGACGCGGCCATCATGAGAAGATCCATCGTCCGCTACATCGTCCTGGCCCAGGTTGGCCGAGAGGAAGACTTTCCGAACATCTTTCAGATTCTCACGTTTCGCGACGTCTCAATGAGGGTCCGACGTCGCTTTCCCAACTTAGATTCCATCACAAAGGCTGGTGGGCTTTCCTCTTCCGAGTTGTCGCTTAAGGGATCCCTTCAAGGATTTCTGACTCTTTCCGAAGCTGAGCACCTCACCGAGATCGAGCTCGTCTACAACAAATACTGGGTTCCCATAAACTGGGCCATGAACATTGCCCAAAGAGCTCTACGTAAAGGATACATCAACGCGCCGCCGACCTTGAACATTCTTCTGACGGTATGGCGAAAACAGTATCTCTTTCAAATCTTGCTTTGGAAAAATGCTTGGAAGAAAGACAGGAAAAGCTTTTTGGAAAAAAAAACTTTTTATAAAGTGAGACTTCGATTGATAAATTGAAACACAAGATATAAAAAACTTTTTGTTTTTTTCTTCCCAGGAAATCAAGTCTTTCCGAACAAATTTGGCAACTGTCTGCAACTTCGACTGGGTCCCCGTACCTATTGCCTATCCACAGGTTCGCCTATTATCTGAAAATACTCAGAAGATTATAAATTATATTTTATAATCATTCTCAATTCCAGGTCGTTTTTCTCGCTGTTCGGGTCTATTTCCTTCTATGTCTTATCACCCGCCAATACTTCCCACCCAAAGGAGTTGAGAAATTTTGGTTTTTAAGAGCTAACAAGTAGTTAAGGGCCAAATTTGAAAAATGGTAACTTTTAGGATTCCGTAGAAATCGCTTCAATGATCGCATTGCCAATGATGACAATGTTTGAATACATATTTCTGGTCGGCTGGATGAAAGTGAGACGTGATGCGTGTCGCGGCGCGTTCCAGTCGAAGTAAAAAATGTTGATTTAGGTAGCCGAGTCACTTCTGAATCCACTGGGAGAAGACGATGACGACTTCGAGTTGAATTTTCTAATCGATAAGAACATTTTTGTGAGTTTGGGAGTATTCAGACTAAATATGGACTTACAAAATTAAAGCAAAAAGTTCATCCATGTCTCAAAAATTTAACAGAGAAAAGTCCAAAACTCAGACAGGAATGGCGATTGTTGCCGAGCACGACGTCGTTCCTCTGCTTTCAAAAGACCGCTTCTCCGACCCCAATTTCCAGCCTTACTACTCTGTAGAGAGTCAAAAGTTTGTGTCTTCCACTTTGAAGATGCGTTATCAATAGATTATTATTTCAGAAGCCGGGTCATGGGCGCTCTTATCGGCTCTGTATCAAACGTTACGTAGGAAAAATAAAAGATGAAATTATTACGACACAATTATTTTTGCAGACTTGCTGAAGGAAGTTTGGACGTTCCCATGGTTCCAGTAAGTCCGAGAAGGTCTATCGGAGATATTCCTAGTCAGTTTTCAACGTTTTTAAATTGAAAGAAGTCATCAAATTTATTGTTTAAACAATCGCCAGAAAGTTGTTCGTTCGTTAGTTCCAACTTCGTTGTGAGCTGTTCTTTATGAAAGCAAAAGGATCTCTTTGCAGGCTCGGAGAGACCACGAATCATGACGCCTCGTCTTCGGACGACGGCTTCCTCGCTGCGAGTCCCCTTCACTGGCATCATCCCCATTGACCGGTAATCCTCCATTACCGTCCAGACGCCGTTCCAACTTCAGGCCATCTTCCTGCCGAGGTCGAGGTCGGTCGAAGTCGGAGAATCTGACGGAAGAGCAGCTGGGAAACGTCGGCGGCGGCACTTCGAATCCGGTGTTCGTCAAGGACGACGAGTCTGAAGATCAGCGACTACACAAGCCCATTCGGTTCACGTCTTCTTTATCGAAGGTCGAAGAAACCGATTATGACGACTATCCTTTGGAGACGAGTCCAGCAGCTCCTCGAATTGTGAGTTATAGCAAGTTAGAGCCTTTTTTGGATTTCAAGAAAATATCAAGCTGCAATGGGCGGGGCCTTGAAAGAAACTCAATAGTCGTACATGGTGAAAATGTGTGAAACTTATTTCTACTTTCAAAAAACATAGCTGCTGAATTTCAAGCAAAAACAAGTCAGTAAACTCATTGTAGTTTCAGTTTTAGAAAAGGAGTTGTTCTCATACACAATATAAACAAAAGCCGAAAATATTAGAAATAGTGCTCCTTGAGGACATCTAAAAGTGACGAAACTTTAAAAAAAAAAAGAGAACGGCCATCTTCCTGCCGAGGTCGAGTATATAAATCTGCGAAAATCTCGGAATAATTTTTCAGACGCGCCGTCATGCATTCGAAAAGCATGACGAGGAGACGGCTCGTCTTTGAACTTTTTTCTTATAATTTATACTTTTTAATTTGTTGCGTATTCTTGTTTGGTTTCTACTGAAATAAATTCATTATTTCAAAACCCAAGTGCACTCAGTCTTCACTTGGAAAAAGACTTCAAAGTTTTGTTTTACAAGAGTTTTACACTGTTCTTTACACTAAGCTTCCAGAGACCAAAATTTTATAACGAAGCTTTCTTCAACATATTTTCAACTTCAACTTCAACATTTCTTCAACATTCTTCAACATTCAACATTTCTTCAACATTGAAATTTCGGAAATTGACTGACGTCGTTACCCACATAAAACAACTACTCTGAATCTTTCCAAGTTTAAAACTGGATTTATTATACATTCTTGATTTCGACGTCTAAGCTCTAAAAAGAAGCTTCACTCAGATTAAGAGCCTTTGCAAATAAATTATGAATGAAGCAGACTTCCCCGAGATAAAATCTTTGAAATGAAAAGTTCGACGCACCCGATTTCCACATTGTACACTACACATGTACACGTCCAGGAACAACAATATGGTCGTAAAGGCAGAATCGGAGCTACCGTAATCCGCGGGTTGCAGCCGACGCGATGATGGATGGCTCGGCCCCAGTTGCGGTCTCTTCAAAGAGGCAGCACTCCGATCAGACGAGTTAATAAGGAGTCGCCGAATCATCCCCGCTGACGTCTGTCTGATTTATGATTGCATGTTTCCTGCCATATCAAAATGCATATCACCCTGCGGCGACCATCGATACTCCGTTTGTTTTGAAACCTAGCTCTTGTTCAAAGCTTTTGATGAATCGCAAGAAACAAAAGGTCAATTAATTAATCTGCAAAAATCTCGCCCAATCGTTCGAGGAAAATGATTTGCCAATCAAGTTTTTACGAAAAATCATATTTGCGAAAATATTTGGCGGCTGGGTTTTCTGACGAAAATGTAGTTGAACTATTTATGAAACTCGGCTGAAGTCTACTTCAGGGCTAACTTATTGAATACTTTTGCAGTTTTAATAAAACTTTATAGATATTCGAAAAAAAGTTACCTTCAGAACATTTGGGGCCTCGGCAGTACAATGAAAATGTGTCAATCAACAGCTGTCCGGAATTTTTTCGTGTTCCTTTGCTGGAAATCTCTAGAAACTTATCAACTTGTTGAAACTTTTTATGATAAGAAACTTCACCTGAATATATGATTCCAACAATAAAAATTGTTTTCTAATAGCTTTTAATTTTGAAACATCTGTGCTTTCTCGAAAAGTTTCTCCCGAAATACGATAGTTTTAAAACTTGGAGGAAAAGTTTCAATTTCAAAAAAATTACAAAACAACATTTTTGAAATTTGTTCTGGTGAAAAATCAACCATTTTTCAAGATATTTCTTCTCATTATAAATCTGAGAAAACCAACATAAAAATTGATGGGAAATGGAAAAACAAAACAAGTTGAAATGAAACCGTTCATTCATTCATTATACACATTATCATATAAATCCTCTGTAAAACGAAGTCAAAAAAAGAAACACAACGAAGAAGGAATCACAGTCGGGACAGAGTGTGGCAGAACTCAAAGAGAAGTTTTGAGAAAATTTTAGAGTATATAATACCATTTGCTTAAAAATCAACTCTACAAGAAGTGAACTTTTTTGAGGTCGGTATGGAACAAAAAAAAAGATTGAAAAGAAAAAAAAACAAAATGTGAAATAAGTAGAAGTTAGAGTTGCGTGGGAAAAGTTGAGGAACCCGTATTTGATAAGAAAATCCCGCGGATATTGACAAACAGTTTGAGACAAAGAAAGAAAATCAATAAATACCCGTGATAAACCGAAGAATTACTGATGTTAGGATTGTTACAATCTCGAGAATTATTACATAATATTGTAAAAATTGAACCGTCGGGAAAAGTTAGTCGAGCCTCAAGAGTAAAACAACGGCAAACGTGAGCAATACTGACGAAAGTGACCGAAGTGAACTTGACGCGTACAGCGATTCAACTGTAAAATCAATTGTTGGCTGAAGCCGACTAGTTGAATGGGATAATTTATTTGATTTTTTATTCTCAACTCGTCCTGAGGATGACTAATTTTCGGTTTCTGTGAGATCAGTTTCTTTTGGGAGTTTTTTGCTTTCATCTTTCCAAGGCTTTCCTTTCGGAACGTTCTATCTTTCAATAAATTAATGGGTAGGCGCTACATTATTTCTAAAAATAGAGAAAGATTTATTTAGTTTTTTTTTCTGTTAATGTCCATTTTTTTTCGCTCTTTAGATAGACTCAGGTAATAATAACATTCAGAACAAAATAGGGCAAAGAAAAAATAACTTTTCGCGGATAAATTTATAATATTTGTTTTTTGGAACGAACCTTCACCAATATCATGAATGATAAAGTGGAATTGATTGCCGTCTGGCGTCGCCTCGTACTCCGAGTTTTTCTCGCCACCGGCTTCGGGACCTGCACCCAGAGTGACTCTCTGCGCTCGGGTAGGCTCTCTCCAGCCGTTCTCCATCGGCAGCACCTTCTCGTAGAAGTTGCTGAAGAGAGCGTGCTCGTTGGAGTCCGAATCCGACTCGAGCTTCGCCGCCGACGCCGTCGGTCGGTAAGGCCGGAAGGGAACCAGAGGAGGCGCCGTTGCCGGTTCTTCTGTAGTCGTCGTCGAGGTGGAGCTCGTCTTGTGATGATGGTGTCGACGTGAGTGACCTGGGAACATGAATACTTTCGTTTGGAAATGAGAAGGCCTAAAAAAAAATCGACGTAAATCTAGTTTGAAATTTTTTTCGATAAATCTAAAATTTCTAACTCAAATTTTCTTGGTGAAAAATCCACCTGCAATGTCTCCATTCTTATCCGTCACGTGTATGACCATTTTCAAGTTGTGGCTGGCGCAGAGACCTCCTTGCTCGTTGTACAGACCGTTTTCTGGTCCCGTCGATGTGGCTAAAAATGAGCAGATGTATCCCAAAAATTATTAAAATGAATCAGAACGACCTGATTGCGCCAAAAATGCAATCCGATAACTTCTCAAAATTTTTTTATTCCCTAAATTTATTTTTCTTTTCTTAATTTTTCGTAAATTTAATATTTCTACTAAGATTTTTTTCGTATCAAATTCAGATAGAAGAACTCCAACAACTAGAAAAGCCACCGTTCCAAAAGATCCCTAGCAAAGTTTGTTTTTTAGTCGGAACCCTATTTTCAGCCTCCAAAACCTGTATTCCATTCAAGAGGAACATCACAGGCTCCCTGGTAACTCCCATAAAAATTGTGAAAAACGGCCTCAAACCAACGAAAATGTCCCAATTCCAAGGTGAAAAATGGATGGCAATTAGGTTTTTCACAAGAGCGAAAAAAAAGTACGCACAAATGAAATAGTAAGTGGTGCCGGTACGGTAGGTGAGGCCGGACGGATTGGGGCTCAGGACGCGGAATGCCACCTGCAAATGAAAAACGACAGGTAAAATTATTCAAAGTGCGGTCCGCCACACTAATTGTCAACTGTGCGGTAGAATTTATCGCTGTGGATGCTCTATTTTTCTGGGATCTATTGAGTGTCCTACTTTTTCAGATAATTATTAATTTCGAAAGACAAATGGTAAATATCTAATTTCGGTTGTAACTTCTGAAAATTCGGATGTACTTTTTTCCAGAGACTCAGAAAATTCAAACATATACTCAAACTTAAATATTTTTTTCAATAAAAATTTTCTATCGAAGATACCATTTTATTGATTCGGAACGTTCCCTAATAGTTCAAAGATTCTAACGTCTCTATAAAAGCACATGGAAAATTCAATTGGAGTGAGCATACGCCAAAGGAAAAATTCGAACGGAAAAACATGATATCACGCCTCAAGCCAGTGGTGAATACACTATTCTTCGCTGCTCACCTTGATCTTGTCCCTGCCGTAGGGCGTCGTGCAGCGGCCCAACTCCTTGGCCGTCGACCTCTTCTGACAAGTCTCGTACTCCTCCTCAGTGACGCGGTAGATGATCGCCTGTTCCGTGGCGTCAACTGGAACGTCGTCGTCGAACGTCGGGCACAGGATGTCCAGTGTGTCGCCGATCGCCGCGTACCGTTCAACTCTGAAATTGTTCCTTGAAAAAATCTTGAAAATTTGAAAGTAATCAGGTAATAATCACAGTAATCAAACAATTTTTTTCAAGATGCTTCAGTTTACAGTTTTATTAGTCGGCCACCCGTGAATAAAAAAAACATTTCCCATTTAAAAAAAAAACATTCCCGTTCAAAAAAATTGTATACCCGAAGTTAATTTTTGCTAAAAGTAGCCAAAAAAGCTCCAAACCACACAAAAAGGTCCAACAAAAGGGCCAAAAACATCCTGGTTCATTCATTCTTTTCATTCGTTCTTTTTTTTGATCCATTCATCTATTCAAAAAAGAGGAACTGTCACGCCGATATGTCAGATGTGCTCCTTGTCTGTCCGACGAGAGGGAAGCACAAAGGGACGAAAAACGGATGAATAATTCAAAAAGGTCCGTGCATACAGTAACACGCATGTTGATCCCTTCTTGACAATAGTCGTTCCATTTTGGGGCTAGCTCGATTTCGTTCATTCATTTCAGCGACCCGCCAAAACGCGAAATGAGCGAAAATGGGCCGTCGTCGTCGGCAAAACCATTTGCGAACCCACGATAATGTGTTCCTCTGCCATGCCGACAGCCGCATTGTGAAGATCCACGTATACATTGCCACCAACACCGAGGTGTCATTGAATATTGCCCTTTTTCGGCTGAGTGATGAACGATATGACTTTTTTTTATGAAGATGCAATAGTTCGAATTGAAGTCAAAGTTTTTTTGATTTTTAACCCTCAAACTCGAATCAAATTAATTTGGCAGATCAAGATTGACGCGATACGATACGCAGGGCATCTGGCCAGAAATATATATTGGTATCCAAGTTGACGTAACCGTTACAGTTTCGCTTCCGGTTGACTGCACAATGCTGGGCGACGCGCATGCCCAAATAATCGAGGAAAAATAGAAATAAAAAAATGAGGCGACAAAGACGCTCAACGGCTAATTTTAAAGCTTTCTTTTTTCTAAATTTGTTTTTTTACGCCTTCTTGCTGTTTCGCCCAAAAAAAAAAAAAAAATTCAGTTTTTTTATTAGCCTAATTATTGATTTTAAAAAAACCAATTCATTGAGCCTTTTTTTCAAAACTTTTTTGTCCGAATTTTCTCAGTTTTGTTGTGGCATCTATTTAAGACAACCAAAAAAGGATAAAAAATAAGGCGCCGGTTGACCGACGCAGCTGATCCCTTGCACCTGGGTTGCGTCACCCCGAAATCTGCACTGAATTGGCCTGGAATCTCTTCGATTTTCGGCTTTGACGTCGCTCAAAAACAGGAAAACGTCCGTCTTCATTGGGGCTTTTCGATAATTGAATTTCGTGAGCAGAAGTGGTCAAGTACTCTCATTTAGATGGCTAATTGTCGACGAATGTTGCGCGCCACGGCAAATCGTCACAACAATTTGAGTGTGCTTAATTCATTGACCAAGTTTTGGGATGAGACGATTTCGCTTCGTTATCACACGAAGAAGCTCAACGGGAAAATAAAGTGTTAGACTCTCTTCGAGGTCAAAAGTTTAAATTTAATGTTCAAGGGAATCAAAAAAGTTTTTAGTTCAATAGCTTGATCTAAATTCGAATTTTCAGGTTTTCTTCTGAAAATTTAAACAAATAACTGCAGAAAAATAAAATTTATCGACCTTTGAAAAAAATTAATTCATGTAGCGGATGTCCTCGGAAATTGCATAGAAATCATAGTTTCTCTATTTCTGTTCCCAAAATCAGTTTTTATAAATAATATGTTGTTTCTCCTCTTCCTGACATCTATTCAAAAATATACAGTACTCATGTTTCAGAAGTGCGATCGGTTTATGACACTCGGAAATTGTTCGGCGGGAAATGTGTTGCGCCACACAAACACAGCCGTTTTGACAAAGTGTTGCCGAACAAGGAGAGGAAAGATTTGGATGGATTCAGTGAGAGAGAAGTAGATAGTTGACCGCCGGGGATGAGAAAGGAAGGATACGCGAGGTTAAGTGCAACCCCTTGATCCGTGCCGCTCCCTCAGCCGCCACCGCTCAACTAAAACCGCAAGAACAACCGACTGCTGCGTCCGTTTGGACAGTTATGTCATAAACATGTCTGTCGGATCAAGGATCCGCAGGCCAACAGGTGCCGTTTCATCTGTTTTTTGCGAGCAACTTGTCATTCTCCAGCAACCTTGCTTTGTATCAAACAGAATTTCTCTACAGCTTGGATCTCAGTTATCAAGTAGTAGGATTTGTGGTACGGCCCAGAAGTAAAAAAGACCCAAAATGGCTTCGAACTAAGACCTTTTTTTGATTTCAAAAAGAAAAAAAAATTCTCTTGGCAAAATATTTTAAACAAGAAAAGCGTTCGGAAACTTTGGTCAATCTAGCTCCTCAGATGCTTTAAAACCTACAAGGGCTCAGAGTGACCAGACTCAATCAAGCTCTTCAGCCGGTCTTCATACTGTTTCTGAATTTGACAGGGCCCTTCAAATTCCACACTTTTCAGCTGTCGTCTTCGGAATTCAAGTCGGATGTCAAGAAGGCCACCCACTGGCACCAAGAACAAGGGACAGGAAGTCGACAGTCTCGGCCTTGACAGAACAGACGAACAGACGCCACCTGGTCTCGTATGGCAGGGCCGCTGCGTTGAGTAACTTGTGCTCGGCACCTGCGCCCATTTACGAAATTCCAGGTATCACATTCGGAATGCGATGGCAGGACTAATTGTGCTCACCTGTTGGACCACATCATATTTCTCCAGTTCTTTTTTGCTAGCGCAGACTAACGGAAGAAGAGCGGAGTCAAATGGAACATCCTATTAAGAGCAAGAAGCCTAATACTTGACGAAGAAGCTAAGCATCCGTGGATTCTATGCTACTGACTATGAACCGCAAAAGCAATACGTTTAAAAATCCGAAAGATGTTTGATATCTTGTGTCTCGCTAACCGTGGAGATACTTTCAAGGTAAAAAGTCTAAAAAAAACTTCTCCAAGACTATAGTGATTTTTTTTTCTTGATTAGGACTTCATCAAAAATGTTTAACTTCTTACAGAAAAATAACCACCATTTATCAAAACAAGAAGCGCCATTTTTGGAGTGTCTCTTCGTGTAAGCGGTGCACTCCTTCACCTTTTAGGGAGGCTCTCAGCCGAAGAACATCCACCTAATCTGCTCCCAAACATCGTAGCAACACAAACACAACAACTGTAATGCAAACAAGGTGCGGCACGGCCCTCACGTCTTCAACTTGGGCACAAAACTCACAAATTAAGTCTATCGATCGAAAAACTAAAAAAAAAATGAATCTATCAAAAGCGATTGAACATTTAGCGGACCGCCAAAAGGCTCCTCTAATGACAGGAGATTAGTGGGATTGACGGCGACAGCGGCGGCGGCACTTGTGCGCGAGACTTTTCCTCCCAAAAAACGTGCCACAGGTGTCTTATCCTTATGACTTATCGCTTGTCGAAATATTAATGGATTTGTTGGCCCCAACAAAAACTTCAAAAGGTGCTCCAGACATCCCGCCGTGCAATTTTACGACAAAGCCATAAAAAGCCGCAAAAAGGGTCAAAAGGCGGTATGGAGTTCCTCAGAAAGGTTAATCTCAAGGATATATAGGTGCCATAAACGGTCATAGAAAGAGCCGTGCACCCAAATTGAGAGCATTTTGAGCCACTTAGTCTTGAGGAGCACTTTCAAAAAGTGTAGCGACCATTGTCAGCACAATATTTAAAAAAAAGTCGAAAGAAAAAAGCATTTCTCATAAGCCACCGAGAATTACTTTTGTAGTAAATTATCCCAAATATTCGAATCCTCAAAAAACTGCTGAAGAAAATCGCGAAAAGTCACCTAGGCACTTATTTGTAGAACACCACTAACGCGGCTACTTCTTCTCATGCTTCAAATCCTCACGAAACTCTCCAATAAGCTAAAACCGGAGGATTAAGTTACACGCCAAACTTGTTTACATGGCGAAAAGCGATACGTGGACAGTGGCCACTTGCTGAAATCCGAGCGAGGTTTCTGCTCCGCGCTGAGGCGAAATTGCATGTGTTCTCCGTCATGGACACCTCTCAATTATGATTGAACTAATCAAGCCGAACTCTTCTCTCTCTCATCAGGTTCGAAAACCGCGGCTTATGCGAGCAGACTGAGGTCGGTCCACGCGCAAAACGTCTCTCATTATAGGCTTATCGCAAGCCGCATAAATCGCAGCCCATTGTCCTTCGTCAACCGTTCATAGCACGGCGATTTGAAACTCCCGCATTTAGCTGAGAGTAAGAAAGGTTCAGGAACAAGTCCACTGCACTCAGAATCATTTTTGTTGGAAGACTGTAAAACGGCAATATCAAATGAAAATTATAGTTCTTCAAGGTTTTTTCAACCTGTAAAATCCCTCAAAACCGTAATTTGAGAAAATTGAGTTCAAATAGAATCTAGTCATATTCTGAATTTAAGAGCTTTCTTATGAATGTGAAATTAAATCAAATTGGGAAAGCTGGATTGAGCTAGAACTCCAAAATGACCATTTCTTTGCACCTGCTTTCGTTTCGGACTTAGAAAGTCAAGAATACACAAAGGTAAAGTACAGAAATATAAGTAAAATACTTAGATCGACTCATAAGAAAATGTTCAAGGATCTTTTTGAACAATCGGAAGTTGAAAACGAACATTATTTAGTTTTTTTTTTATTCGTTTGAGATCCTAGAAAATAAGAAAACTTTCTTTTCAAAAAGTTATACTGCAAAAAGGCTTCAAAAAAACCAAAGGAGATTTTTATTCAGTACAGTTTATTGATTATTAATTCGTCAGAACAAATCGAAGTAAATTAGACTTTCCGTTGGAAGGACTGGAATCGCATCTAAAATCGCAACAATCCAGAACAAGTGCACCTCGAGATACCTGCCAGCGGCGATAAATCCCCGCGGCACGAGGAAAGCGTTCCGAAACCTCCGATGTGCTCTCAAAACCTTCGAGCTCGTAAATTAACGCAATGGACAGGCGCTTCGCCTTTGACATGTGTAGTACACGCTTTACAACAAGGCCATCTCGTCCCTGCAAACCAACTGACCGCGCGGCCACCATCATCATCGTTTGTCGTTTCCTTCGATTCGATCAACTTTTCGGGATAGAGCATTCCCACAGATCGACGTGTTTTTTACGACCACAAAACCCGGTCGGCGTCGGCTCTTTTAGGTGAGAACAAGGTTTTACAAGGCTCTTCGCCGTCTCACATTACTGGCACATTTGAAAAAATAAGTGTCGAGCTTGTGGGAAGGTTTTTCGGTGTTTGGCGAGAGGTGGCAGTCCAGTTAAATAGAAGAAAAGGACACCGCAGAAAAAGAATACCGTCCTGTACTCAACAATACCAACAATATGATGTTAGGAAGTTGAAAATTCCTAAAGGAATTTGAAAAAATTCCCAGCCGCGGCCCAGCTCATGTGAAATAAATAAAAGATATTTTTTTCTCAAGAGATAAGCAAATTTGGCACCGGACTAATTACTGAGATATTCTCTCGCTAAAGTACATTCTTGTGTGCGCGTCCTCAAGTGGTAAGTCGATCTCCCCAAACATATGGGTGAGCTGGAGAAACTGTCCGTCGCGTTTGAGGCAGATGAGCCAACGTCTTCCATCTCGTCCCTCACGAGCTTGATGTGTTTATGATATGCTCCCAAGACCTTTGGCAATATGTGCTTCTACTGCTGCTGCCTATATCATCAGGCCAAGCAAAACAAAACAAAACAACGCGACCCGAAGAACAGCTGCCGAAATTAGCATATATTGGCAGCGAGGGCAGCTCTGATTCATTCTTCCCGCGCAAAAACTCATTGGAACATTAGACGATATTAGAAAAGGTATAAAAATATCATACCTCAGGAAAAAAAAATGATAAAATTTTTTTTTGAATTAGCCTATGAGACTTGAATATCATATCTTATCTAAGATTCTTGAAGAAAAACTTGTTTTAAAACAGTTTGCGTTTAATATTTAATCGTGAATGCAAGAAAAATGAACCCGCATTCAAAACTGTTCCAAAATCTTCAAGAACCGTTCACAGTGAGTCCAGTTTCACAAATCCGGCGAGGATTATGGCGAAAGCGGAGGCGCCGCCAAGTCGACACCGGATACGCCGACGGCAAGGACGATCCTCTCAGAAAGTTTGAAAACCATAAAACCTTCAAACATCGGCTGAAATACGGCCATGGTTGCGTGCCACGCGCCCAGCGATTAGGCCTCTTGACACAATCTTCTCGCTTCCGGAAAAAGGAGCGCCATGCGTTTTCCGGCCCTTCTGGCGGCCTTGAAAACTCATTTTTGTCTCTGATAAACGTTTGATGACCAAAATTGGGCAGTAAAATGGTATTCGGGAAGATCAAGTATGTAGGAGCGGCGGCGAGCAAAAACTCAAGGGGCAATGCCGCTGAAATCAAATATTTGATCAGTCATTCCTCACAAGGAAAAAGGAAAAAAAGACTGAAAAAATTTTAATTAACATCTGAACAAAAACATCTTTGTGAAAACTAGAAATGAAATGGATTTCAAATTACCAAATTATTTGTAATTATTCGATCAAGACTGGACACGAATATATTTGATTTAGTGTAACTTTCAACTTTTGGTCTTGAAACTTCCTTTTAAAAACTTAAGCAACCCATCTTCTCGTGAATACTAGGCCAAAAAATAGATTTTTTATAAATCACTGGATGATGATTATCCCGACGAAACCATGGCAATAATCCAAAAACAGTAATCCGTTGCATCTGTCGAGAAAGAGGCCGGCTTCTTCTTCTCAAACACATGACCCGACGGATAATACATCAGGAGGTTCCCATCCAAATCCGTTGCGGACAGGAGGTACAGCCGATTTTCCCTCCATAGTCCGATGAGAAAAGCTTCTGCCCTATTTGTACAGTGTCCCGATCACACAGACACACACATGTCTTTCTAATTAACCGCCCCAAAAAAGGATACCGCTTAAGCAAATCGTCACGAAATGATTGACTGTACATGGGCTGTGGTGGATTCGGTGCCATTGTGCGCCAAATACAAAACAGTCTATTCGAGGGTGCCAATAAAAACGTTCGCTCCAGCACCAATTATCGCCCCAATGCTAATTGAGCGTCGAACTACCAAAAAGTGCAATAACCGAAAGTTCTGTGTAGCTCAAGCAGAATCATTCTATCTGCCAGCTTCTTTTTGAAAGAAAACTTGTAAAACCGACCTTAAGAGCTAGGATAGGAAAAAAGGCCAATATCGTATCCTTTTTTCAACTATTAATAGTGAACGAATATCATCGAAATCTACTAAAAAAAAGTTCTTAACTTCTTTAAAACTCAGATATACATCAAATATTCACAAAAATAAGCATCGTTTCGTAAAAAAAAACCAAGAAGAAGAAAAACATGTAATAATTGGTCGAAGAAAAATCAAGTCTAAAAAAATCCAGCGAAAAAAGTCCAAAACTTTTCAGAGAAAAAAAAAAATAAAAACTAAAAAGTTCACTATTCCAGTTCTGAATATTTTGAACAAAAATAAACTGAACCACAGTAAAATCCAAAAATCGATAGAAAAACTTCAACTCAAAAAAAAACGTAAACTGACAAGGGATTGGTGGAGTTCCAGTAGATTTCAGGGAGCCGTTTTGCGACGGACAGCGTCGTCATAATGAATAGAAGGCTTAATACGGCCCGCATTTTGTCTGCAAAAAAAAGTTTCAAAAAAGGAAACCCGGCAAAAAGCGAAGCAAAGAAAAAAAAAGAAGAAAACAGAGAAGAGGTTCGTTAGAAATCGAATTCACAACGTATTTGTAAAAGCAAAAGGCGGCAAATCTGGAAAGAAGAAGAAAAAAGTCGACCGCGCCATAGAATGAATTTGAGTTTGCTCGAACTTTTTGGAATTACTGGTGAAAAAATTGATAATTTTTCCATTTTTAATGAGCGATGTGGGAAAATGAGTATATTTTTTGGTTCAATATATAAGTTGAAAATAACAGCTACCACAAACGGTGAACAAAAAAACTCTGGAAATTTTTGAAAAAAAGATACCGCTTTCGAAAAAAACGAAATTTGAAAAATTATCTTCAGAGCAACTTCTCACTACCAATTTACTTAAATTTGCGAACTGGCTATTTCTTTTTTTAGACTACTCGAAAAAAATTTTTTTTAATTGATAAATTCAATAAATCAATAAATGAAAAAATCTGAAAAATCAGAAAATTAATTCTTTATTAGAGAGTAGTAATTAGAGAAATTACTTTATTAATCAAAATTAAAAAAATCAAATTTTAGGATCGGACTTCATGACGAGGCAAATTCTATGAAAGAAAAAAATATCATTAGAATGAAAAAAACTTTAAAAAAATGGTCACAGAGGCATAAGCCTTCAACAAAAATGCATTTCCCTTTTTTTCATTTTTCTTTCATGCTTAATTTATGTTGCATAAATATGGATTTTAATTGAATGAGTTGTATTTTAAAAAGAGAACTCTCGAGAAACATGAGCGAGTGCGAAATCAATCAAAAGAGTGATTAGAAAGCAACAGCAAATACTAATAACTCACTCTAATCACCTAAAAAGAGTCATAAACAATCAGAAAACAGTAGAAAAAAGAAATAATTAATGACATGGGACTTGTGGCACAACTAACGAAAAGAGACGAGGCGGAGATTTGTGGGGAGCGATGAAAAGGAGAGGAGGAGCGCCACCTCCTTCTTTTGGCGCCCCGCCCTTTCCTCTGGTCCGCGACCTATGGTGTACTGTTTCAAGTGTGCAGATTTGCATGATATTATTTAAAAATGAGTTTCCTGGCAGCTGGAAACCAGGTGGATTTGTGAGAGAAGCATAATCTTAATTTACGAATTAATTTAGAAGAGAAATGACTATAAAAATCCATGTTAAATATTGAAAAGGAAAAAAAGAGTTCATCTCTCCATGAACATTTTAAATCATAAATTTGACTTTTTATGGAAAGCTATTTTTTTCTTTCCAGAAACTTCGGGTGTGAAGAGAATAAATTTGCAAAAACGAAAGTTTTTTTATTTTTTTCAATAGAGATTTTTGGAAATAAAAAATTAAGCCTTTCGATCCCTTCAAAAAAGCGATGATGAAAAGCGTTAGAAAACAATAAAGTATTTAACTTATAGTCTGTTCAGATTTTAAATGTCAAAAGCAGCTAACTCCGCCCCTGCTGAGACGGTACCCTTTCGCGTCGATTTTTTAACGCGCGGGACTAACTTTGATCTTTTTTTGATCTAAAAGATAGAAAAGAAGTCAAAAATGCAGCCTTATTAAAGGGCCATCGTCATCTGTAGATAAAACATTGACGCGAAAGATATTGTAGCCTTGGGGGTGGAGTTAGCTGCTTGACATTCAAAATCTGAACAGACTATAGTTAAAAATCGAAAATGCACTTTACTGCTTTGAAAAAAAAAGAAACAACTATAATGATCAAAGTCAGAAGTTAACTTAAAAAGATTTAACAGATAATCCGGAACCCTTCGAAATCCTAACTAAAACATGAGCCTTGAAAAAAATTAACACTCGAATTCCAAAATAAAAAAATCATAAATTTAAAATGAGAATGTTTTGATATCAACTCACATCATAAATTGGCAAAAATCCTCATAGGTTCATATTTCAGAACAACAAACAAAAATTTGAAAAAAAAACCTATAAACATGCTTTCTCGGAAAAAAAACCTAGTGCTTATCCAAGACGATAGATGCAGATAGGTCGTCAGAAATTCAATTTGAACCGTCAGACGTCTCAAAAAAAAGAAATGCAATATGCGTGACCGAGCCGCTGCCGGATACGGTTCCAATATAGGGATTTGCATGTTATTAATGTGTCAGATATTGGTTTCCACCCGAGTGGCCACTCGAAATCGAGAAGAAGCACGGCCGTCGGAATTAGTGGACAGGGAAGTGTTTCTAGTGGCACCACGGCTCGGCCCAAAAAAGGTCAATGGCCAGCCAGGTATTCCGAAGGTTGACAACTCGTCAATGGCACAAAGTCCTCATCTAAAAGCTAGTCGAGAAAATAAAAACTCTTTCGAAATTCGCACATTTTTGGTAAATTTTCGAAGGAAAAAGTTCCGAGCTCAAATCGGGTAACTAATAATTTTCACAACGATGTGTTCAATTGCGCAAGAAAAGTTTTTGATAAAAAAAAGTAAAAAAATTTCGTACATTCGGGTGAAAACGAAATTTTTACTTATTTTATCAAAACTTTGTTTGCTCAATTGAACAAATCTTTGTAAAAATTATTAGTAACTAGATTTGAGCTCTTTTCAAAATACTGTAAGGTTTCTGCAAAAAAAAAAGATGAACCTTCCAAAAAAAGAAACTCAATGAATTCCAAAAAAACTTTTTACTATATTATAATGGGGAAGTTTCAAGAAAATGTTCATAAAGATCGGAAAAACAGTTACCCTGCCACAGAAGGAGGTTCGAAACCGCTCGGAAGAGGACAAAAGAAAGAACCGCAATAAAATAAAGTTGAGAGAAAGAATGAAAAAATGGAAAGTTTTGCCCCGAAACGGAAACCACATGCAACCACCTCCAGCCAGTGCAATTAAAACGTAGCAAGACGCAAAATTAGAGAATCCGAGAGCGTTTGGCTGAAAAATCCACACCTAGGCTATCATTATTTCTTTTGACCGTTTTTTCTCTTCTTTTTTATTTATTTCTCTCCCTTGGCCAAACAACTCAAAATAATGAGCTGAGGTCGCTGGCCAGATTGCCCTGATCAATGCAGAAAGTTTCTGACTAGGAACAAGGAAATATTGAGAAAGAACCAAAAAAAATTGTTTTCTTAAAGAAGTTATCCTTACTTAACAGGACATCATTTCAAGAAAATCTTTTTTGTTGACGGATGGAGCTTTGCTAAAATTTAGGGTCTGGCAAACGCATCCTTTCGGATTTGCAATCAAAAAAAAGACACATAAAATTTTAAAGTTATTTCTTTTTGAACTTATATTCAGTTTTTTTAAAAATAAAAAAATAAAATTTCCAGTACGTGAATTTTAGACACTAATGGAGAGAATTGATAATAGATGAAGAAAATGAAAAAGAACTTCTATCTTCGAGGAAAGTTTCCGAATGATGAAACGTTTGTCAAATAAGTATGAGGAAAATTTTCAGAGGGTTCTTTTGAGTCATTCAATATTATCAAACCCCGAACTCGTTAAAATCTTCCTCGAAATCAGTGGGAACCTAGTCGAGGACCAGTAGAACTCTCCTTCAGTGGAATAAGGAAGATAATTAGAATGTAAAAAGTGATTTAAATATAATATCTCGAAAAAAATATTTAAGCTTAATTGAGCTCATGCTATATAAAAATTCATGACTGCATCACTAGAAGCCGTTAATTCAAAAAAATTCAATAATTTCACAGAAATAAATAAACATTTTTCTTACTAGAAACTTGAAGAAGGTACAACTTTTGGAGAAAAAAATCAGTCAACTCGAAACGAATCGACTGCACTCGGGGGCTGGTGTAATCCAATCAAAATCAACCAAGAAAACTGAAGGAACCTTGATTTCTTCGACTCGAGCTGTAAAGTTCAATTAGCAACGAGAAAAAAAGGGGCGCGTTCATCTTGACCCAAAACTTCTTCCAGTTCTTTTTTTTTCAACCCTCTCCCATTCCTTCACTTCATTTCATAACACGTTTTTGCCTTTTCCAGCGTCAACGCGGCCATTTGTAAGGGAATATGGTGTGTGGGTGGCTGGAGGACGCATTGATATGCGGTAGATTAGTTGTGATATCGGCAAATTAAGCCATTATTTAAACACAAGCGGATTCTCTTGTTTATTGAGACGGTAGTGGTAAAGTCATGGGGCTATCAAAGTTGATTCACAATATTTCGCTGTGATTGTTGAGGAAGCGAAATAAAATTGATACGAATACCGATTAAAGAAACTATTTTCGAAAATTTTGATTTTTTTTTCCTCCGAATTTGTTTTCAAACACTTCGGAAAACATTTTTGGACAGAAAAACTTCTTAGAATAAAGATAATCAGAACTAATGAAAACATTTTTATTCATCAAATAATTTTATTCATTCTCAAGCTTAACTCAGTAAAATTTTCATATGGAAAGTTTAAAAAAGTAGATATGGGAATAATCGTGAAAATTTTTATCGTTAAATATTTCCTTTTCTCACATTTATCAAACTGAAAAATCAAAATTGTACAAAAGCTCAACAATTTTGGCAAACAGATAACTTTTGGAGTTTTCTGAAAATTAAAATTTCTTCATTACACAGCTGTATGAAGAAAAACTTTGAAAGGTTCATTGAATTATTGTAGAGAATTGTCCAGCATGACAAAATTCTAAGTTTCCATCAGAAAACCTTTGAGGAAAATCCTTCTCTTCTGAAATTTCCTACCCCACCCATCAAAAAATCACGTAAAAGCCCATTAAACAAACATTAAGCGATGGCAAAGAAGAACCGCTCTTCGAGGAACAATTTTTCGACCACCGCAACCATAAAAATCGAAACGAGTTCTCCCATCGCTCGTGATAAAGCTATAGAAAAGTCAAATAGAATCCGAAAAAATGAAGAAGGAGTATAAAAAGCTGGAAAATGCGCCACACGCACACGTGTTACGCATCAGATCATTGCTCGGAGCCGCATGGCTTGTTTTTTTTTGTCTTCAATTTTTTATTAGCTTCTGCTGTGCAGTGAATC